ACTTTTTTAATAGCACTTTTCACTTATTTCTAGCTTTCTTATTATCTTGATGACTATTCTTAATCATCAGCTTAAAGTTCTTCATTATTTTCTTGATCTTAACTTTATTCTTATTAAGATTATGATGACATTTATATAAAAAAATATTTAATTATCAAAATCAAGCATCATTTCTACTATCATAATTATCCTTTGTATATTATCATCCATTTAATTGTTTTTATATCCTTATAATTAATCTCTTAAATTGACTCCTTTTTAAGGATTCAATTGTTAAATAAACTGAAATATAAAGTAATTCTCCATATACATTATAATTTTCATTCACTGATAATTTTGATTAAGTTTAAGATTTTTGTTAATCAAAAAAAATAGATTCATACTCAGTTTCGACTATTTGATGTAGATTATGATTGATTTTGTTAAAACTGATAACGAACCCACTCTATTCAAATTTAATTTTTCTGATTATTTCATTTTCATTTTCTCACCTTCTACGTTATTCTCATATTATCTTGATTACATTTACTTCTTCACTAAGTAATTATTTCTCACTCATAATAATAAAATTAATTAAATTGAAATAAATCAAAAGGCCTTTCATATATTCCTTTGATAAATTTTATAAAAATTTTAACTGCAAAAAGATTTTATTTTCTTTAATCCAAGGCAAATTCATTTATTTCAATAGTAATAATGACAGTATAATTCAAGAAACTATTAGATCTATTTATTATCAAACCAACTAGAAATAATGAATATTTAATATATTTTGACATTATTATCTTTTACAATCATATTTTCATTATTAAAATAATTAATTGATTCTATGATAAAGAGAATTTTATTGTATTCGAAAAATTGAAGTTTGATAATTTAGGTATGAAAATAGATTTGATTATAAACTATTGATCACTTTCCTTTTTCTTATTTCAAATATTTTATGTTAATCAAAATTTTTGATCAATAGTCTTTTAAAAATAATTATTTTAAATGATAAAATTCTTACTTTTTATATTCTCATTATTAAGTATTTTTCAAAAGTTGGAGATTATACAAATGCATATTGTGGAAACTAATTAAAAGCTTGAAGAATGGAAGAGATTATAATAAGATTGCTGTAAAATGTGTTAATTAATTTAAATAATATGTCCATCAAGCACAAATAATTGGTGTATGTAAAAGAATTGAAGCTGAATATCGAGATGTATGATTTTTTTTTATCCTTAGTATACTTACTCTATGAGTATTAATTCAGCTATAAAAAGTTTTAACAGTTGCAGAAAAAGTACTTTATGAAGAGAGTATTAGAATAGATGAGATTATTTAGTCATATTGAATATTAATTCGTTTTTATTATGAAAAAAATCATCATTCTAATAATAATGCTAGCAATGGCTTTAGCAGATGTTACATGTCTCTAAGAGAAGTGCAAAACAGAATTTTACAATTGCAATAGAGATAAAACTTGGTATTCATATTTTTTATTAAGTCATGATTATATTGCAGATTGCTCTTGGTAATTTGTTGGAAACTTGGGTTTTGAAAAAAATTAACATTAAAGAGCCAAAGATAGTGTAAAATATAGTTTATAACTTTAAGTATGAAATTTGCTTGAAAGGCTCAAGAATATCTAAAGCTTAAATATTATAAGAATGTAGAGTTAAAAATTGTTAAGGAACAGTCATTAAATTCTGAATTATATATTAATATATAGAATATTGTTATTTGATTTATTGTTAAAATGTATGGTCTTTTTAAAATATTACAATTCTAATTTGTATATTCATTGAATATTCTAGCTTTTATTATTTTTAGGATCATTATACTTAATTAAAAGAATATCATTAAAACAGATTCTATACCTTCTCTCAAGATTTTCTTTTTATACTTCCTTTTATAAATTTTCGATTTAAATTACATTATAGTAAAAAGCAAAGAATATTTTTAAGGAAAATAATTGAATTTAATCCATTATTGATATTTCAACTTAGTTTTATTAAGAGAATCATATAATATGTAATAAAAAAGGAAGATTCAGATTTGAACTCAAATAATAATGAGAGTAATAAATTACTTTAATCAGAAAATATTTTTTAGAAAATAAAAATATATTTAATATTTTTAATGGTTTAAAGAAAAAAATAAATTTTTAATAAATAAAGCAGAGAGTAAAAATAAATAATTGAATATTAATACAATTGAACTAAAAAAAAGATTAATTAATTTGAAGTAAAAAATCATATTCATAATTAATGAAGACTATTTTTCCTTGAATTGTAAAATAAATATAATGGTTAACTTTATTTTAAATATTGTAAAATTGAAAAGCAGATAAATAGAATGAATAATGGATAATTTTGAAAGAAAAATAATTATATAATAATAATATTAATTAATGGATAATTGAGAGGAGAAAGAGGAATAATTAGAGAAAGAGGAATATAAGTTGAAGAATAGGATGAAAAGTAGAGAGAGGACTTAAATAAAAATTAAAAAAGGAATCAGAAAAAAAAGAAAAGAAGAAAAAGTTAAAAGAGTAGAATTAAGAGATGATTTAGTAATTTGAGGTAGAGAGATAAAAGCAAAATTGAATATTAGTGATAGTGAATAAACAGATGTTGAAATAGCATGGTGCATAAAGCAAATAAAATTATGATTGATATAAAAATTGAGTCCTGAAGAGCGTAATAAAATAATGGATTGTTGAATTGTAATAATATCTATGTCGATGATTGAGTTATTAGAAAGTGAGAAAGTAGCATTAGTAAAGAAGAGAATGGCAACGAAGTCTAGTTTTGAAGATTATAGAAAACTAATGAAATAATATAAATGAATTAATAATTATTAATTTTGGTTATAATATGTTTAGATATGGTTTAGTAGGAAACATTGCGACTTATGGTGGCATAGTAGCAATATTTGGTTATGTAGGTATGATTTTGTAATAAAATGAAAGGATATGAATTAAATAATATAGTAGAAATGTCTCCAAAAATAGACGATGAAGTACTGTGAAATAGATGATTATAGTTAGCATCTGAAGTATTGAATACAAGCAGATCTCCAAATATATCAATAGATGCAAAGACAGATATGAGAAGAGCTGCAGCTAAATAAATTTTATAGGATTATCAACGTAAGAAGAAGGGTTAAGTTGAGGTATTTGAATAGATTGAATAAAAACAATAAAGAAAGCCTTAATCTAATGAAGCAGATATTTGATTAATTTATTTAATATGAGTTATCTATATTTTGGTACACTCCCTTCTTCAGTGCCACCTGTCTTTGGTATGACATTTTGATTATCTAGACACAACTCCATGCTTAAAATAAATGCATGATTATGAAGACTGTGCTTTCGAGTAAATATTTCTATTTATTTCTAATAGATCAAATACTAAATAAATGGAAATCATTCATCCAAGTTGGCCTTCAATGTGGCCAAGAATGCTAACTGATGGCAAGTCTATTGTAATTATATTCCATTAATACATTAGGATTTTGGACATACACCTATGCATTAAGATAGTTCAACTCATNTTTTAAATATTGTAAAATTGAAAAGCAGATAAATAGAATGAATAATGGATAATTTTGAAAGAAAAATAATTATATAATAATAATATTAATTAATGGATAATTGAGAGGAGAAAGAGGAATAATTAGAGAAAGAGGAATATAAGTTGAAGAATAGGATGAAAAGTAGAGAGAGGACTTAAATAAAAATTAAAAAAGGAATCAGAAAAAAAAGAAAAGAAGAAAAAGTTAAAAGAGTAGAATTAAGAGATGATTTAGTAATTTGAGGTAGAGAGATAAAAGCAAAATTGAATATTAGTGATAGTGAATAAACAGATGTTGAAATAGCATGGTGCATAAAGCAAATAAAATTATGATTGATATAAAAATTGAGTCCTGAAGAGCGTAATAAAATAATGGATTGTTGAATTGTAATAATATCTATGTCGATGATTGAGTTATTAGAAAGTGAGAAAGTAGCATTAGTAAAGAAGAGAATGGCAACGAAGTCTAGTTTTGAAGATTATAGAAAACTAATGAAATAATATAAATGAATTAATAATTATTAATTTTGGTTATAATATGTTTAGATATGGTTTAGTAGGAAACATTGCGACTTATGGTGGCATAGTAGCAATATTTGGTTATGTAGGTATGATTTTGTAATAAAATGAAAGGATATGAATTAAATAATATAGTAGAAATGTCTCCAAAAATAGACGATGAAGTACTGTGAAATAGATGATTATAGTTAGCATCTGAAGTATTGAATACAAGCAGATCTCCAAATATATCAATAGATGCAAAGACAGATATGAGAAGAGCTGCAGCTAAATAAATTTTATAGGATTATCAACGTAAGAAGAAGGGTTAAGTTGAGGTATTTGAATAGATTGAATAAAAACAATAAAGAAAGCCTTAATCTAATGAAGCAGATATTTGATTAATTTATTTAATATGAGTTATCTATATTTTGGTACACTCCCTTCTTCAGTGCCACCTGTCTTTGGTATGACATTTTGATTATCTAGACACAACTCCATGCTTAAAATAAATGCATGATTATGAAGACTGTGCTTTCGAGTAAATATTTCTATTTATTTCTAATAGATCAAATACTAAATAAATGGAAATCATTCATCCAAGTTGGCCTTCAATGTGGCCAAGAATGCTAACTGATGGCAAGTCTATTGTAATTATATTCCATTAATACATTAGGATTTTGGACATACACCTATGCATTAAGATAGTTCAACTCATTATACATAGTATCTACTTATTATTATACTGTTAGTATGCGACCATTAACAAAAAAAATCAAGCATTATTTATGGGAATGTGAGGAGGAAAGATTTGTTTATAAGGCTTGTTTAAGAAAATTAATTAGTCTCAAAAGAACAGATAAACATACAAGTTGGGATACAGCATCAGTTAGTAACTTAAGTCTGGTGTGATTTATTCAATAAAACAAATAATAAAAACAAAATTTAACATAGCCATTTAGAAATATACATAATAAATAAATCTTTTTTATTTTTCCAACTCTTTCTCTTCATCTTTCCTTAATTAGTTATTCCAATTTACTTTAAAATGATTCTACTTTTTTTATTAATAATTGAGGTAATGTAGTACATGGACCATTATTGTTTGCTTAATAATTCTTATAAAAATAGGTGTTGAACTCAAAAAAATTCTTCTTTGGATTTTAGTTTATTACTATCTATTATTTATAAAATTAAAGTAGTTCTTAATCCTTAATCACACCACAATTATTGTTTATTTCAGGTAAAGCATTTTTTAATACATCATATGCTTTTGATATTTCTCGAAGATCTTTTTCACCATCTTTTGTTGCTTCTTTTCTAGGCAATCTTTACTATCTAATTTTTATCATTTCTTCAACTTTCTATTATATAAAAATTAACTCAGTACTTAAGGGTCTTTTAGGTTCAAACCAATTCTTCTTGAAGAATACAATTCCTATTAATCAAATGATTGTTTATCCAATAAAGAGCTTTTCCTTGAAGTCTAACTTCTTGGAGTTAAAGGTGTATTTGCAACTAATGATCCTCTTTACATTTCCTTTTTTGGAGCAAGCATTTATTACATAAAATTATAAATAAGATGAAAAAATCGTATAACTTCTTAAAATATGATTTTCATTAATTTCTTATGCAAAATAAAATTAAACTTTAAATCTCTCTAAAAATAAGAATTTTAAAAATATTTCAAATTTACTTAAAATTCCTTTACATTATCAAAATTCAAAATAACAAGTAAATTCTAAAATATTTAGAAAATCAAATTAATTAAAATCACTTTTTTTCAATTACACTTTTGACATAATCTAAAAAGATGCTTTTGTTATTCTTTCTGTAGACAAATTCCAGAAATTCTTTTCCTTCTTTGAAATTATTATTCAATAAACTATCAGTAATCTACTTCATTTATCTAAAATATAATTCTAGTTCCTTAATCGAAGGAAGTCCTTCCTAAAAATAATATTTTAATAACTTACAATTAAATTTTCAGGTGGATGGCATTTAAAGAATTTAAGAATTTCAATTAAAATACCAAATACATGTAAATTTTCACTATTTTAAATTAATCTTTCAATACATTTTAAATTTAATCTTAACATCATTTTTTCATCTAAAAAATATCTCAAAATAAAAATACTCTTTGAAATTTCATTTGTAAAATCCATAGGTAAATGATCATTAAACACATGTATTAAACAAATTAAAACTTATTCAGTCTCTTTTGAGTGTAAAAGCACATCTAATATTTATTATAATGACTTAGTCAATTGATTATCATCATAGCCTAATGAACTATTATAGATTTCTGATTAGGTTGCAGGCTATTTATATATAAATAATAAATTACAGTTGTACACAATCTTAAAACTATGGCAATGATAACAGAGAAATTTTATTGATTAATATTTGTTAATAAAGTTTGATTAACTAAAGATAATTTAAGATCATTTATAAATGCTAATTTATCTTCTGCCATATCTAAATTTTCATATTAAAGAAGAAGAGTTGATGCTACATCAAAATATAATGATGTTGATGTCAATAAAATTTCTTGCATTTACTTAATACATTCATTTCTTTTTAAATTTCTAGCCTAATCAAACAATGATGTTGTTTCAATAGGAGCTAGAACATCTCCAAGAAGACTTTTTTCATTAAAATTGCCATGTTAAGATTCGTTTTAAACCTCTTCATATATTTTCTCAATTTTCTATTTCATAGGATCCTTTTATGGTGGTTATTGATATGATTCTTAAACTTATTTATGGCTATCTCTTTTGTGTTATCTATAAGTTTCATTTTGTAATTTAATCATGTCTAATTCTTTTAATCTTTGTGTATCATTTGAATAAAGATTCTTAGCTAAATCCTAAATAACAGTATCATGCATTTAATTACTAATTTAACTTATTTATTATAAAGGACTAATAAACTATTAAATGTTTAAAATATCTGTCTATTGTTATTAACTATCTTCAGTAAATCTTAGAGTTTATTAAGAATGAAAATTCTTAGTAGTACTTTCTAATAATTCAAAATCTTCCTTGTTAATGTGAATGAAATTTTCTTATTAACTACTATTTACTTATTCTCTAACTGTTTCTTCTCTTTTAGATGCACATTCATCAATTTCTTAAAGATCTACAATCAAAATATCATTTTATTATTATTTATAGAGTTTTTAGAAGTCAATTTAAGGTTTTTGATATTTTTATTATTATAATTGTTACCAATTTAAATAGGTGTCATATAATTTTTTGTAATTTATTAATTCGGTTTCTACAATTTAATTAAAATTATTGGTTTACTATTGATATTTATTTAATAAATCATTTGCTAATTAATAAAAAATATTCTAAGTTAACATATATGTCAAAGTAGTGATAAAATATTATATGTTTACCAATAAATCATTTTCAAATATTTTTTGAAAAAGAAAATTAAATCCTGTATGTATTAAATTAATCAAAACTTTTTCATTTTCTGACTTCTAATATAATATATTAAAAGCTTATCTATACTAATATGCCATAACACTTTTATCTAATTAAAGAAAAGTGCTTAAAAAAACTTCAAAATTTTCTGAATATTCTGTTTTTGGACATATATAAGCAAAAATGAGATAAATCAGACATTATTGACTATTTGGAAAAATATGTTTAAGCAAATAAAAAACTTAGAATACTTAATTTTAAATTTGAATGTTGAAATTTTAACATACAATCTCTAAAATTCTTGTAAAATCTTCAAATTTAGAGCTTTCATATTATTATCTATATGGTGAACTTATAATCATATTATCTCTGCCAATTCCTCTTCTCCAATGTTTACCTGGTGAAGAGGAATTTGGGCTTAGAAATACTGTATGTTAGGATTAATTACAAAGTTAATAGGCTCGATATCGATTCAAATAATGGATAAATTTTTCTAATCCTTACAGTGTAAATTAAGTAGAAACCTAATGTTCAATTTATTGTAATGATTCAAAATTTTCATTTTCTTCTGAATCTGAAAACTCCAATTTACTCTAAGTTTTGTTTGGGGTTTCATAAGGAGAAAATCGAGATTAAGAACCAAAAGATTTAGATTTTGATTTTCTTTACGATTAATTTAATAAATCTTAATATTAATCCAATTATTCCACTTATTAATTTATCATACGACTTTTTAAAGCACTTAGTAAGGATCTTACATCTAATTAACTTTATGGAAACATTTTAAAAGTAGTTTCAAAAGTTTTTTAAGAAGTTCTTATAAATGTAGGATCCAATTATTATTAAGTTGCAGCATTAATTTTTTATGTTATCCAATTAATGAATGCTTGAAAAATTTTGATATTACTGTTTGTTTATTTTTATAGATATTTATTAGTTATTCTATAACCAATTTTAATCATGTTTTCTAATGAATTGCATATATACAAACTCTCTAAAAGGGCTAAGAGTTTTTAAATATCCAATTGATTTAATTAGATCAAACATATTTTATATTCTTAATAAAGCATTTCTTGATCCAATGTAACTTGTATTTTATTCATTTTAATTAATAATGAAATAATGAAATCATACAATTTATCAGCAATTGTTTTTTTTTATACTTAAACTTTTTTACAAAAATGAAGTAATTCCAGTATTATGTTGTTAGTCATTTATTATAAGAAATCATTACTAGTAATATTCTTATCTGAATAATGATTTTTAAATTAATTTAAAATTTCTTCAATTTTATTTTATATTTATTAATCTTAATTATTTTAAGATAGTTTTCTTAACTAAATGAGATCACTGCTAAATTTATTCATAAATTCTATTTATTCTTTATTTAATTAAGAAGTAGGTAATTCTATACTTTACCTATTTTTATTAGCTTAATTAAAATTTTACATATCTTCTCCAATTTAAGCAAATTCACATAAATCTTCATCAGTTTAATATCTACTCTTTACAGAATTAGTTTATTATTTTCTAGGTTATTTTTCTGTGATTCTAGATTCTTAAAAATCAAATTATGGATTAACAATAGCAATTTAAGATTCAATAACAGTAACTTAAAGATTTTGTTCATCAAATTGCATGGAATTGATTAAATCTAATAAGACTTTTTTATAATTCAAATTATTTTCTTTTTTTAAGATGGACTATACTTTTTTGTATAATACAAGGAGGGATTTGGATATTTTTTCAGAATTAGATTAAGCGAATTTTTTGAGTACTTCAGAGTCAGAAGATTCATAAGAACCAGTTTAAACAGCTAAAGCTAATGCTAACCAACCATCTTTAAACCATCTTGCACAAGCTATTTTTAATCCAATATTTTTAGATGATTCTAATTAATTAATCATTAATTCCATAAATTAATCACATGATATATTCTCATATATTAAAATATCTTCTAAAAGATTAAATACAGCAGATTATAAGGGTTTAGATAAAGAACCTTTTAATTTATCTAAAATTAAAATAAAGAAATGTTTAGCCACAGGTTAAGGAATTCCTCTTCTTAATAATCTAACCAATCCTTTTACACATCTCATACCTTAACTATATATTAAATAATTGCTTTCTTCAAGCAAAGTTATGATAATTGCATAAATACTACCATAATCTTTTGAATTATCAATGTCTCCATCATACTTCTCTAAATTCTTAGCAAATTATTCTGTTATATTCTTCTTTTCATTATGTTTATAATAAGGCATTTCAAAGAATTTATCTGGTAATAATGTATGTAAATCAATTATTTAAATAATAGGTTGTATAGATTATATTTCTATTTTCTAAGTTCTTTTTGTAATTTTACTACACAATTATTCCAATTCTTTAATTTAAATTTATCTCAATCGTTTATCTAAATAAGTTTTTTTGACCTATTCAAAATTCTCTGAGATCATTTAAAAGAGTTTACAAAATATATTTATAGACTTCTATCTTATTACTTTATTAGTATGTTAAACTAGTGAAACACATAACTCAATGAAATCTCTAATTTGATCTCTAAAATTAATTTTATATTATATTATACTTAAAAAGATGGTTGGGGAATAATTCAAGTAATTTTTCAATAAAAGTTAAGCATAGTGTCATAATCTTAGGATGTTTAGCTTCTATTTTTCTTTAAATTTCTGATAGGATAAAAGCTGTGTCTTATGCTGTTTTACAACATTATAATAGTATTTCAATAACAAGATCTTGGATTTGTGATTTTACAAATGAACCTCTTTCAATAAGATCGCCAATAAAGTATGGTAAAATATGATAATTCATTTATTGACTTTTAACGAAAACTTAAATAAATTTAAGGCCTTCTGTCATTGCAAATTAATTGCTATCATTAATAATATTTTTAAGCCAAGCGGATTAAAATTCATAAACAGTTTAGTTTTTTTAATATTCATCTGTTAAATTCATTAAAACTAATCTTCTTATCTACCATTTATGATGAGTAATCTTTTCAAATAATGTAAGATTGCTATCTAAAACAGACTCATCAATTTTCGATGTCTCTGCAACATCATTTAATATTTCTATGGCTTCTCTTTAAAATGTCTATTGGCTCTAATTAACTTCACTCATTATATTCTCTTTATCCGAATAAGGTGATCTCTGATATCGAATTTTATCTTAGTAATAAGACTGATTTCTAATCGGTGAGTTGTTCATATATAAATTTGAATTCAAATTATTATACTATAAATTAATTTTATAAGGCAATATTTTTAAAGAAATTTATTAATTCAAAAATATTTCAATGTTATCTTATATCTATAGACTTGATAAACAATATTATAAGATCATAGTAAAACTTTCTTTAAACCTTAAATTTTATCAATTCAATTTTTTATTTAAATTTCTTAACACTTAAAAAAAAGTATGACTATAATAAACATAAAGACTTTCTATGAAATAACAAATAATTTTGTAGTGTTAGCAAATATTAACTGATTAAACAACTCCAAGTTATTTTTTCAAATAAGATAATTCAGCAGTCAAATTAGTATTTATTGAATTTTTTATTTTTATTTCTTTTATTTTAATAACATTCTCTCAATGGTTGAGTATGATATTAAATACTAAAAGTAATTTAGTTATTATTGTTTTTAATAGTAGGAGATTGTTAAGGATATCCACAAGTTTTTGATAGTAGATTGTTATTGTTGAATAATTTATAAAGTATTAAAAATAATTAATACGTCTTAGAATCATATTCCGTAGTATATATTATCAATTAATTTTATGGTGGATTGTGATTGAATATTTTAATTCTTAGACGTCATTATATAATAAATAGGTATTATATATAATAATGAATTCTAATCATAAGGTTGATTGTGAATATCCTGAACATTATATGCTTGATATCGAGGAGGTAATTATTAATATTATAATTCAGAAGAAACCAGCATAGTAATAGAATTTAATAAGTTTGATGCCATATGGAGTAATCTCTAATATTGAGAACTAAGTAAAAAGAGTTAGAAGTTCGGCTGAAATCAAATAAGAGGATAGACAAATGATAAAGAATGATTCATAAGCATCTTTAAAAGATGATGTTTTATGTTTATAGAATATAAAAGGAAATGTGAAGAATGCTTATATAAAGAAGATAAGTTCACTTCTTAATGTAAGTATGGAGGATGATAAAGAAAAACTACTTCCATCAAAAAGAGTAAAAGAAAACGTCTCTTCTAATTCATCTAAATAGTTAGATAATGATGATTTGAAGATGTAAAAGAATAGAGAAAGTGCTAGAAATTCAAGATAAAGAAAGAAATTATATATTGGTTTATTAGAAAAGAAAGTTGAAGATTTGAATGGATAAATAGAAGGACTCAGATAATAGACTGAAATTACATTTAAGCATATTCATAATATAATTGAACATAATGCATGTTTTAAAGGGATGATTATTGAACAAGCACAAATTTTTGATTAATTATAAAGTAAAGATCCAGAAACAAATGAGGGATAAGAGATGTAAGCTTTGTTGACGGATTCATACAAATTGAAATTTAGTGCCACAGGTTCAAAAAGAAAGCAATATATTAGATATTGCTTTTAGAATATAGCCAGAATATTAATGGATGGTAATTATGGTACTCTACTTTTTGGAAGTAATTGTCTATCTAAAAATTGTATAATTTTTAAAAGATTAATTCAGTTCAACTCCTAGAAGATGAAGAATTGCATGAGTATATAAAGCAATTCAAAGAAATCACAGGATGTAGCGAAGAGAAATTGTAGAACACAATTACCCATATTGTGAGAAGGATTTTAGAACATAAGCGATCATTCTCTTAGTATTATAAATTAAATATTTTTAGTTTAATTAAGTAAATGAAATGTAAATCTAAGGATCTAAGAATTTGTTAATAACAATTAGATGATCAAATAGATGAAATGACAACTTAAATGACTCCTTAATAATTTACATCACTCCTTATTAATCTTAATAAAGTATTATAATATATAAATTTTATTTTAGGATGATATAAGAGTAAAAGAAAATTATCCTATGGTTAAAACAGATATTTCAGCCTAATAGTAATAACAACAATAGTAATAGCAATAACTTTTGAACCAATATAAGTTTTTGCCTTAAATATCTCTTGAGTTATTACTTAATAATAAGAATACACCATTCTTAATTCCTAATAATCTAATGATTGACCCACTTTAATTTAATGAATTAATTTAAAAGAAGTTTTGTAAATAAGCATGATTTATTATTATTATTATTATTATTATTATTATTATTATTATTATTATTATTATTATTATTATTATTATTATTATTATTATTATTATTAGAATATATAATTTAAATAATATTCAGTTTTAATCAGTTTTCAGTTTAATTTTTCAATTTATAAGAACAAAGAATTAGAAGAATTTTTGAATAAATTTTAATTTTATAAACTTAATGAAAATAACTAAAGTATACCCAGAAAGTACATTTGGTATTTAACTTATTAATTCCAATAACCATGTTTAAACATCTAAATCATTAAAATCTTCTAATATAGTAGATTTATAATTTGAGAATATTGAATATTCTGTAAAAGTATTTGATGCAAAAAACAATAAAAAAGGTATATAGTATAGTTAAATTTAAAGAAAACAAAAAGATATTGAAAGGATTAAGTGGTTTATGTCCAGGAGGATAGGTGACAGCAATTTTAGGAAGTTCTGGTGCTGGGAAAACAACTTTATTGAATATTCTAGCTTGTAGAGTACCTTAGAATAATGAATCATAATTAAGAGGAAAGGTATTAGCAAATCATTAAGAATATAATTATGAAAAATTCTGTTAATTTGCATCTTATATAATGCAAAATGATATATTAATGGAAACAATGACACCAAAAGAAGCATTTGCATTTGCAGCTAGTATGAAATTTTAAGATGCTACGATTTAAATGTAGAGAGTCACAGATACTATAAAAAGTATGAAATTAGAGAAATGTTAAAATGCATTGATTGGAGGAATAACCTTTAAAGGTATCTCAGGAGGTGAAAGAAAAAGAACATCAATAGGTTATGAATTAGTATCAAATCCAGCATGTATTTTATTAGATGAACCTACTTCTGGATTAGATTCTTTTACAGCATTTGCAATAATGTATCTAAAATTTATATTCAAGAAATGAATTAAAGTAATTAGCAACTTAGTAAGATCGTACTGTCATATTTACTATACATTCACCTAGCACTGATATATTCTAATTATTTGATAGAATAATGTTATTGGTTGGAGGAAAATTTATATATTAGGGATAAAAAAACAATGTAATTTTATTCTAATTTTAATAGATTATTGATCATTTTTAAAATATGGGATTTAGTTGTCCTCAATCTTCTAATCCAATGGATTATTATTTAAGTTTAATGTAGGTAGATAATCAAGAGAATTAAAAACATTTTAATAAAATGTTCTAATATTATGATCAATATTGTTAACCAAATGTTTTATAGCAAATTAATAGTTCTGATAATTTATAATTACCTTTAAAAGTCAGAGAAATATCTTAAATACAATAAATCAAATTTATAGCAAATAGAAATTTAATAGCTTTTACAAGAGATTCTTTATAATTTTATATCAGAATATTTTAAACTATTGTATAAGGTTTATTATTAGGAGGAGTATTTTGGAAAGTGGCAGATAATTAAGGATCTGTTTCAGATTTAATGGGAATATCTGGATGTATTTTATTATAATAATTTAAGCACTTTTCTTTTGTGTATTTAATTTAGTTATTTCAGCAGTTTTGGCAATTATTTTAACATTTCCGATTGAAAGAGAAGTCTTTTTAAGAGAAGAAAGTTCAAAACTATATTCAATATCAGCATATTTTATTGCTAAACAAATACTTGAAATACCTTTGTGTATAGTACTACCAATATTATAAGAACTTATATCATATTGGATGTGTGGCTATCATAATACTACTGAAGCTGTTATTATGCATATGTTTGTATCTGTGCTAATATATAATTGGGCCAGTGGCTTAGGTATAATTTAAATCTTATTATTAAGGAATGTTGATTGGTTGTATATTTAGTGATCTTAAAGCCATTCTCGGAATTGCTCCTTATACTTTATTACCATATGTTTTATTCTCGGGATTCTTTGCTAATCCTAAATTCTTCTATTCATGGACTACATGGATATAATATACAAGTCCTATTACATATTCTTTTGAAGTTCTATCAAGAATAGAATATAAAGATTAATTGTATCAAGTTGATCCCATTCAACTCTATGATTTTAAGTTTGGAACTTGGACTTGCATTTATGTTTTAATAGGATTTATATTCCTATTTAGAATCTTTGCATTCTTGGCTTTGTACATTTTAAAATCTAAATTATAATGAATATTTCTAATTTAAATAGTTTTATACAATTATATTTATTATAAAAAAGTTATTATAAACAATATTCTCTTACATCTTTTTGAAATCAATTACTCGAATTCTATTCACTCAGCCATTGTTTAAAATGTACTATATTATTATGGGGAAATAAGATCTCATCCAAATTTTATATATGTAAATATTCTAAATGATGGACCAAAATAAAATAATCATTTTAATATTATTTTAGTTTCTGAACAATTTTCAAGAATTTCTTTTCTAATATTTATTGTCTAAATATGAAATCTTATTAAAATATGAATGTAAATTTTTTGATCATTTTATTAAAAATGATTTCATTATAATAATAATCATAATAAATAATTATAAGAGCAAATAAAATATGAATTGTTTTAAACTATTCAGTAAATAAAAGATGATCTTCGAAAACAAAGACCTAAAATGCATAATAAATTCAGATGATAATTAATTTAAAGCAATTAAATAGATTGATATTTTATGTGTGCTTTATAAACTATATTTATAATCATAAATAAGAATATATATATATTGTTTCCATATATAGTATTGCAATCACAATTATGAATTTAATTTTATAAGTAATGAAAATATTCTTAATTGGTTCATCATTATTTATCATGTAGAGATAGTTAAGAAACAAACAAGTAGGTATAGTCACAAAAGTTGCTATAGCTGTGCATACTATCTTATTATTTTTATTAGTAGTGTCAGTATGTTTGAAATTAAGTCAAGAATTTTTAATTTCAATATTAGTGGCACAAGGTTTATGGTAATAGCTTATAATCGAGACTCTTCATTTAAGATTGAATAGATTTAATTATTTAGAAGAGTAAGAATAAATTAGAAAGAGATTTGGACTTACAACTTAAAAAAACAAAGAATCCTCTTTGTGGTAGCATTTTCAATATTCTCTAGGTATTATAGAAGAAAACTTTTATTACCATCAGCTGTTTTGACTCTTTTTTTCTTTACAGATTAATCATTAGAAGATTTGTAATATTGTTTTATTTCTGTGCATGGACTTCTATAAATTTATCAAGGTTCTAATATTCTAGTAATTGGAATTAAATAACATATTGAAAAGAATAAAGATTATTATAATGATTTAGAAAGTGAAGGACTTATAATGAAAAGGAATATGATGTTAAAAAGATCAGAAGTAAGAGCATAAAAGTGGAAGACATTAATAAATCTGCTTAAGAAGTTTTATATTGCAATAATTACAATATATTTCTTTTTTAGTATCTTTTATGAATTCTATGCCATCTTTTTAAAATTACCACCTTTTGATTTACTTTCATTTGCCTATAATCATTATCAAATTCAAGTTTCAATATATGCATTAGTAATATGTTAATTATAAATACTTTTTTTAATACTTTATATTGGCAATACAATCATTTAAAAGAAAGTTAATAGAGTTAAACGACTCTATGAACATGTAATGAAGGAATAAGAAAAGTTGTAAGTAGAAGGAGGAAAATATTTAAGTGTTATGATCTACTTATCACTTACTATTATTATATTTTTATACTATAATAGTATGTCAGGAAGCATTGTAACTAAATTAATGAATATGAGAATAAATTAGTTTGGATTGATTGCAATATTAATCAACGCGTTTAGAAATTATATTGAAAGAATTCATAAATCATATTAATATTGAATTTACTATCATGTAATCTAATAATAACGTCGGACATTATCTTTATAAATTCTAAAATTCTACATAATATTCCATTCCATTATCATATAGACATTTAAATAGTAATTTCCCTATCAATAAGTAATGCTATTCTATTATTTCTATATTTATTTTTTTTAATTTGACTTCATTTAAATCCATATCATATTAAAAAATTTCAAAATTCATCACATCATTTTCATTATATTAAACTTCAATATCTTTTAATTTTGGAATTATTGGTACACTACATCTACTAGTCTTATTTAATGCCATCTTCTCCAATTATAACTTTTATATTTCTTCTTAAATTTATTAACTAGTTTTTACACTTTCAGTCATTTTAGGTTATTTGAATAATAACTACTTTAAAGTAAAGTTACTATATTAATCAACTTATTTTCCTTTTTATTCTTCTATAATTTCTAAAATAAATTATTTCTCTGTCTTATATTAAATTTCAGAATTCTCTGAAATTATATTTTAAATTTTTTTTGGATTAAGAACAGATTTTACGACCCTCATTTGCGAAAATGAATTTTTTTTATTGGTAAGGGTTATGTTATCCTATATGCAGCTTTTTTGTGCTTTTTCTATTACTTTTAATTCTTCACTTTATTTTTATTGTTATTCATCAAATTCAACTAAAATTAAATCTATTTCAAAAGATTCTTCACAAGGATGACTGATTGTATCTTGAACATTTAGATTCTCAGAGTTTTTTAATTTTGTTTAAAATGTTCTTAAATCAAATTCACTTGCATTTTTTAAAACTTTTTTATTATTTTACATCTATTATCTTATCAAGTTTTCAGGTTAATTTTATGATTTGATATTAATCGATGCTGAATTATCAGGTTAATTAAGAATTATTTAACATTCCTAGATATGTTAATTATAATTTTTTTCTCTTGATGATTCCTATATTGATAATTATGATTTTTATTATCGCTATTTTTATTGTTATTTTTCTAATTATTATTATTAATATTATTATTATTATTATTATTATTATTATTATTATTATTATTATTATTATTATTATTATTATTTACATTATTAAATTATTTTGGAATTTCGACTACTTTCTTAATCATTTTTTTATGATAAAATTTATTAGAATATTTAAATTTAAGATTCCGATTATTTGTGATTTTTTTCTTTCTTTTCATTTTAAATCAATAATTCAATGTCTCTCTCTAATTCTAAATCAATTTTATTCTTCTAATTTAATTATTTTTTTTGATTTTTGGAATCAGAAATCTTTTTTTTTCCTTCTTTTTATTAAGATAAACTGTTAATAGAAATAACTTCATATTTTTCTTATTAATTAAGAATTTTATTTAAATGATTATTTGATTTCTGTACTTTCTTTTGAGTTTTTAAAGTGTTCTTATCATTATTTGAACATAAAAGATTCTATTTCATTTATGTAATTATCTTCTCTGCTTTATCATATAGATCTGATGTATCAGAATAGTGAGATAGAGTCTTCTTTTCAAATTCAATAGCTTTTGATTTTACATTAGTATCAACTTATTAGACTTAACAAAATTTGCCTTTGACATGAACTCTTATACCTCTTGAACTAGGAGCAATCTTTTTGTAATATTAGGCATAGCAAAGTCTAGTTTCTAAACGTCTAAAAATATTTAATAAATTCTAGTTACCTTAAAAGATAGCTTGAGATAGAAGTAAAGTTAGAAGATGGCTCCCATGACATTTAAGATTTAGCCCATCCTAGCCACTTAACAGCATAGAATGTTTAGAATGTTTTTTTCTTAAACATTTTCTTACCATACACAAATTCTACTTCATATATACCTAAGTGTGCAAATTAAATATTTACTGCTATCATCGCTGTCAAATTCCCTACTACCCTGATCACACATAATATTTTAAATAGTATGCCAAAATAAATGCAGGAATATTATAAAACTGCATTTTGATCATAAATGTAAATTGTAATTGGTTAAATATAGATTATGATTACTTTTCTCTGAAATTTGAAGTTCTTGTTACATATTTAAGGCTAACGGATATATTTGAATTTCATAGAGTAGTCATTTTCTTAGTTTAAATTTTCTCAAAAAACATAATACAAAAAGACAAATATTAAGTTAATATTCATATACTTTTTGTATTATGAACATCTATTTATGTAAATGATAGATGGAGGTTATAAATTAAAATAAATTTTAATTTAACAGATGTCCACTATGTTATTAATTGAAACTATTAGAAGACAAGAAAAGAAAATAGATGATTTAAGATTTAAAATTTAAAGAAGTGAGAGTGTAAAAAAGAGTAACAGAAATATAGATAGTGTTCAAAAAAAAGAATATATTAAATCCAAAACTTTTAATAAGATAAATACATCGCCTGCTCAAAAAATGAAAGAAAAAGATTTAACCATCAATATTTTAACTGAGAGACTTAATAGAGCCTTTGTAATTGAAAGTGAAGTAATATATGTAAAAAAAATGCCAAGTTGAAATATTAATTTAAAAAGTAAAAGGTTATGTTTAAATGCCTTTACAATGAATTATATAGTGAGGTTCAAAATATGAAAAGTGAAATCAAACGATTGACGACACCCTAGAAATATAAAAAAGTACTTTATTTTTGATTTATAATATGAATAATAATTCATTAATCTAAGTTTAAGTCAAAGATTATATCCAATCTCCAAAATAGACAACTAATAGAAAGTTAATATCAAAAAAGATACAACCTTTTATGAAGGCTTATAGTCTAAAGCCAGAATTTTTTGAAATTAAAGGTAAGTAAATAGTATTCAAATATAATAACTCAACTAATCTTAGCAATCTCAATAAAACTATGTTTTCTACACTACATCCTATGAAGTAATAATTGTAGAAGAAATAGATGTATCAAAAAAATGATCTTGTCTAAAAGTCAGTTGTTTCATTACATGATTTATAGGTGTTGCCTCTTTCTACAAAATATGCCAATCTGCTTGAAGAAATATAAAAAAGCGAAGTTTCTTAGATTTATAGCGATTAAAGAACTTAAAAACTTTCAATGTTTGAATTAAACCAAGAGGAATAGTAAAATAAAAACAAAAACTATTAACGCAATTCTCTTAAAAAAGGCATTTTAGAACTTGAAAAGTAAGTTTTTATTATTACTAGGATTAAAAAAACTAAAATAGATGAACTATAAAATTTATAGAATAAAATTGAATAAATAAAATTAATAGGCTAGGACAATACTTCTTAAATTTTAATTAAAACTTAAAAAAAACCTACTCAAAGAGAAATAAAAAATAAAGCTGCGACAAAAATCTAGGCCTATGTAAAAAAATGGATTTAATAAAAAAATTATAAAAAATGGAAAAATAATAAATTAGAGAAACTAAGAAAAGCAATTTTTATTTAGAAATGGTGGCGATATTAATTGAAATTTAGTAAGAGAAAGAATAAGTTTGACCTTGGTCATTATAATAAAAAAGTAAAATTAATTGATGAACATCCATTTATTATATTATCTAATTATTCCTATTATTTGAAAAGAATTAGAATATTATTAGTCGAGAGAAAGGGAAAAATAAAATAAGATTTTAGATTTTACATAAATCTTATTGATTGTTAAGCTATTTTAAATGAAGAAATTACAAAAGATTCTTATGAGTTTAACATTTTAATAGACTTGATTACAAATTCTATTATAAATTAGATCTTCTTTGAGAATAAATTAATAAAAATTGATTTAGAGAGAAAAAATATTTTACATATTCCCAGATTAATGTTGTATATTGAAATTTAAATAAATTAGATATTAGGTAATAAATATTAAGTACTCATTTTTTAATAGCAAAATTAATTCATTGAAAAACAAAAATTTATTGAGATCATTGAAAACTAAGAATTCAATTAAAACTAAGAATTGATTGAAAAAAAAGAATTCATTGAAAAACAAGAATTGATTAAAAAACAAGAATTAATTATTGAAAAATAAGAATTAATTGAAAAATAAGAATTGATTGAAAAACAAAAATTCATTATTGAAAACAAAGAATTCATTGAAAAATAAGAATTAAAGAGTTAATAATACTCCGAATAAGAGAAAGTTAATGATTATGTAGACCAATAAATTATAAATTATAAAGGAAATAATGAATATTTAGAATAAGCAACAGACACTAAAATAGTAGAATAGGAGGTTCATTTTTTGGAAGAAAATGATGATAAGGCAATTAAAATTAATAATTAAAATTTGAATAATTTTATAGAAAACTTTTAATAATAAAATGAGCTAGAAAATATTTAATCAAAAATCGATTAGAAATAAGGAATTTCTAATTTAGATGAAAATAAAGAATAATCAAATTCTTAGCCTAATAAAAATATTAAAGATTTCATCTAAGAAAAGTAATATGATAATGAAGACATTAAACAAATTGACTAAGTTGATATTCAAGAAAAAAAAGATGAATTAATAATAGATTATTTAGAATAAGAGAAATCATAGACAGATGAACAGAATAATGTATTACTTAATTCAAAAATTGATGAATAAAAGGAGCAAAATTTATATGAAATACAATAAGTACAAAATACAACAAATAAAAATTCATCTATTGATATTAATGAATATCAATAGAGTTTCGATAGAATAAATGATGATTAAATTATATATGAAGAATAAAATGAGTAAATTAAATAATTTGATAATTATACGGATATGTAAATGAATTCTTAAAAAGATAATATTATTGAAATGGAAGAGAAATTTGATTAAAAAGAAGATATCCACATTTAATTTAGTAAAGATTTATAATAAGAAAATAATAAATAAGAATATTAAAAAGAAATAAGATTGTAAGCATAAATAAAAAATATATAAGATATTGGAAATAAATCCAATATTGAAATTAGTTAAGAACTTTAATAAAATCAAAAAAGTAATACAATATCTGAAGAAAATAAATAATTTTAGAACGATTATGTAGAGAAGTAATAAGAAATTTAAAGAGAGTAACATCTAAATAATTTTGGAACTTATAATTATCAACCTATTGAAGATGAAAATAATAATTAATTTAATATTCTAGATTAAAATTAAAAATAGGAGAATAACTAGGATAATAAAAGTCAAAATAATATTCTAGATGATTAACAAAATGATGATTTGGAGAATAAATGCATTTCTGAATCCATAGAATCAAGGTAATAAAATAAAAATAGTCAAATTTAAGTAGAGGAGGAATTTTAAGAAAAATTCAATTCAAGATAATCATAAATTTATGAAGAAGAAAGTTAAACGAATAAATTTTAATAAAGTATGGGATTAAAAGATTCTTAAGAAGAATTTCAAGTATTCCCATAGTTTAATAATACTTTGAAAAAATAAGATTCTTTGGAGCATTCTTAATAAAATATTTAAGAATAATAAGCGATTTAAATAACAACTCTTGTTATAGATGGAATAGAAATAGATGTATTTAAGTTAAATTAAGAAATTTAATTTAAGGATAAGTAAAATTTTTTATTCTAGTGTGATTTTTAGATTTTTCAAACTTCTTAATCTACTATAGACTTTATTTAAGCTTAATTATTTATTTATATAATGAAGAATCACATAAGATGTTTAAAAGTTGAATATGTATTAAAGATTTAAAGGTTTGTTAAAAAATTTAGATTTGTTAAATCAGCATTACTAAATTTAAAAAAAGAATTATTTTTGATAAATTTATATAAATCGTGTAAGATTTATTATTTATATAGGTATTTCAATGTAGATTCTAATTTTTAAGGATGATAAATTTGAATAGAAATTATTAATGAAAAATCTTAACAAAAATTATAGAGCAAAATTACATAAATAATTTTTGTCTATATGTCCATAACTAATATAATTTAAAGGATTTGATGAAGAAGATATAATAAGAATATTAGAGAAATTAGGTTGCAAAAATTGATTATTTTTGATATTAATATTAATATATGGTTTTAATGATTATACTATTATTAATTGCTTATACATCATATGGATGTACTAAATTTTAAAATGATTCATTTCAAATTTACTTGACTTAAAATGAATCAATAAAACTAAAATATGAGGATATTTTTGAAAACAAAGATTACAGCAATATTACAATAATAGATTAATCAAAAACTTTGATTCCTATACCTCCAATAAAATTGCTTTAATAAGTTGGTTATGATTCAACATAAATTTAAGCATTGGATATTTTATTATAAGAGCTAAGTTATGAATGGATGAACAAATTTGCAGCATTAATTAAAGATGATTAAAAATACAGAATATCTATAAGTAACTAAATAAATACAGGTTAGAACAGTAGAATACCTAAATTTGATAAATTCAGTAATGATATTTAAGCAGATTTTTGTTATGACTTAGCATTTTTATCTCATTTTACAATCGTAGTTGATTGTATTTATGTAGAAGAAAATGGAGGAATGCAAAATATTTTTTTTATTTGGAATGATGAAACACAAGCTTTTATTAAAAGTGAAAATGAAAACTTAATGGGTTATAATCCTAGTATCAGAAGAAAACTGTTAGCAGCAAATAAATATTTATTTAGAGCTTCTCTTTATGATAATAATTAATAGTAATATAATTCAATACTTGAAGTATTTAATTAATAAGGAGTTTTGGAATACTATCTTGATACTAATACACTATAGTATTTATCTATCAACACATAAAAACTTTAAATTATTGATTTTAGAGTAAGCACTGTTGGTTAAATTGCTATTTTAAATTATGATGGAAGTATTTTAGTTTTAAATTATTCAAAAAAGGAAACATAATGGAAATTATTACATGAATTCTAACATAATGAAGTATCAAAATCTTTTGACTTTAATTTTAAGTAGGGAATTTATGTAATTAATTTTGGAGAAAAGATTTTATTCTAAAGTTTAACTGATTAATTTACATTATTATTAAATACTACAGTTGATTAGATTTTTATGACAGAATCTTTAATATTTACTTTATCTTAAAAAGAAATAATAACAACATTTGATTTTTAATTAAAAAGTATCTCTTAAATAAATGTATAAAATATTTAATTTATTTTAAATGATTACACATCAGATGATATTATACTTATTAATTAGTTTAATTCTGAGAGATATCTGTTAAACTAATAACACTATTTAGTTTTTTATTCAAATTTAATATATGAAGATAAATAAATCTCATAGCTTATATAAAATCTATAAGATAATGAGAAATGTGTATTATAAATTTATCATTCAACAGTTTCAACATAAGTTGAAAAAGTTTTTATATCGGAATTAAATTAAAATGTAATTTCTGGTCCAATACCTACTTATCCAAAAGATGCAAAGATTAAAATAAATGATCATACTATTTATGGATAAAATTTGCAATTAAAATTTTATAATATTTCAAATACTGTTATAAATCTTAATATTAGTTCAAAAAAATTAGATGAATAAATCATCAAAATAGAAAAAGACAATAATTCTTTAACATTTTTTTCAGCAGAATAGATTGGATCTGAATATGTTATAACTAAATAGTTTAATAATAGTTAGGTGTAATTAACTTATTGTGTAATAGCAAACTTAACTTGTTCAATACTTGATATTCAGATAGAATTAGATTATTTAAGATATAATAATTCTTGCACTTGGTCATCATCTAATACAATGTACATAGCATATTCAAAAACAGAACCAAATTAACTTAATTTGTTTGCTATTACAAATAAAAAAATACATTCTTATACTGCTTAATCAAATTATTAGATTAACAGTATTTAAATAAGCAAAGAAGTATTACTAATTTTATCATTAAGTAATTGTTCAATTGTAGCATATTATTCTTCAGCAATAGCTTTAACATAATTATTTGAGATCAATACTTAAACAATAGGAGCATTAGGAGTAAAATAATGGACTCCTTCAGGTATTCATGCTAATAAATAAACCACAAAAGTATTTATTAGAAATTAAAATGATACACAAATTATTATCTTAGATTGTTCTTGGATTGGATTTTCATTAATTGATATCTTAACATTTGATATTGAAAATAAGGTTTAGGATATTTTAATATTTGAAAACTATTTTGCTATTATGATTGCCAATTAATATATAATTTATGATATGTTTAATGTCGAGGATGTTCATTAAGTCAGATTATTAAGTTCTTTTGGTTATAAGATGGATTAAGCAATATGTTATACATATGAAGGTTGGATTTACATGATCTCAGATAATAAATTATTGGTTTATAATTTAAATAAGATTAATGTTAATTCATTATGGCATATAATTGATATTTTTGATGAGAAATATTTAATAGCATTTCAAAATAAATTATTTATAAATGGAAATACAATTATTGAACTATATGATTAATTCTAATTATAATCTAATTGTATATTCAAAAATTAAATTTTTATTGCTTAATTTAATATGACGACAGAAATCAAAAATTTTAAATAGAATATCTATCTTATTTCAATTGAAACAATTAGAAATTTAAATACTTTCATTCAACTCAATAATAATAATGTAAATACTACTAAAAAATTAAATTAACAATATTAAAATTTTTGTTAAAATATTTCAGATGATTGGATCAAAAATTCAATTGTAACTAATATTGAAATAAATTGTGAAGATTGTAATCAGGCAATTTAAATAAAAAAAAATATAAGATTAAATACATCCAATTATTTTGAAACTGGACTTGATTTCAAAGAGTTGAATCAAGATATGTTGATCATTTTATATTAAAAATAATTTAAAATTCTCACAAAATAATCTAAATAAGTTATTTAAGTAATTAAATTTGATTATTAATGTATTTAAATACTTTATTAATCTAGTTTAAAAATTATTTTAAAATGTATCATACAAGAATCCTTTTATATTATTTAATGGAAAAATATAAATAATATTTATTAAGTTGATAATGAAATTTTAGAAATACATTCTAAATTATTGAAAATAGCTTTATTTGGTTAAAATTTATTTTTAATTCAAAAATTTTAAATAACTCTTTATGATTGTCAAAATGATAATTTCAAATTTAATGAATGCTAATAATTAATAAATATGCAATTATCAGGATATTATTTAAACATAGTAGAAATTAACCCTCTTTATTATGTATATTATTATGACTAGAAATTAAATATTTTATTGATTAATCCAAAATCTCTTGTTCAAAAAGTGGAAAATGAAAAATACACAATTGATATTAATTAAATAATTAATAATCATGGTTTTGAAAAAGTAAATGAAGAATGGCTTAATTTACATATAGTTAGTTCAAAATAAATTGGCGATTCTATATAATAAGAGCTTTTATTTATTTCTTAAACATCTGTTCATTTTTAAATATTAATTAAATTTTCTTCTTAAAAAATAGAATAGTAAGAAGGTTTAATAATTTTTTAAAATTATGGGGATTGGATAGCTGTTAAATCGATTAGTTATTAGAATAAATTAGTAATTTAATATCAAAAGGATGATGAAACCATCTTAACACTATATAAATAAAGTAAATAAGAATTTATAAATTAAATTGGAGGAATAAAAGTTGCAACTAATTAAGATTCTAATTATGAAATTATGAATGAAAAAGATGATGTAAACGTATTAAAATTATATTTTAGATTTTTCTTTACAGCTTAGATTATGCAAATGTTACATACTATAATAAATATCAACTTAATGATGATTTATAATTATGCATGAATGGTAAAATAGAGAATTAAATTGTTGAATATAATGTTTCAAATAATTTCTCTTATGAAATAGTTTAAATGAATATAGATGTTACATATGATTACTTTACATTTTGGTAAATATGGGTGCTTGTATTAGTAATTGTATTATGTGTTGGTGTAGGATTTTATTGTTGGAAAAAACAAAGAAATTAAAAATAACAGAAACTGTATTTATTAGAATGAAATAAATTATTTAATTAATTAAAAATTAGTAATAAGTTATAGAATTATTTTTTATATATATTTAAATAAATCATTTTACATTGGATAAATATCCAAAATTACTAGAAATTACTATATTCTTAGATTGATCATCCCAACCTTTCATATTTAAACTTTTTTCTAACTCTTATTATAATTTATCATATTTATATTTCCATTCATCAATTTACTTCATCTAAAATATTATGATAAATATTATACCTTTAATTAATTAAGTCTTGTATTCTCATTAGCTAGTAATGCACATTTATTTTCTAATTCTACTATTCTCCTATTTTTATCATCTAAAATAGATGTTTCTAATCTACTATTATCTTCTTTAACTACTTCTTTCATAAATGATACTTCTCTTTAATAAGACATCAATTCATTTTTTAAATTTGCAATTTCTTTATCTTAACTTTTTATTGTTTAAACTAAAATTTAAATTTCTTCAAACATTTCATTATTTTTTGTTTCCAAATTTCTATATTCTGAATTATTTCGAAAAGAACTTTATTGATTTTCTAATGATTTTATTTTTTGTAATAATTATTCCTCTTTTTTTTATGCTTTTATTAGATTATTTTCTAAAGCCATTACTTTAACATTTAAAGAATCTGTCAATGATTAATTTTTAGATTAATTCAATTCTCTTAATAATTATTCTTCTTTATTTGAAAATTATTATAATTAATCTTCTAAATCATGAATATATGTTTCAAATTTATTTAGTTTCTATTAAATAGATTGATTATTAGATTTTAATTAATTAATTTATTCATTTTTTTATTTATTTTCTTGTTTTAATGTATTTATTTCATTATTTAATTATTATTAAATTTATTCTATTTATCTTTTGCTATCTAATGATAATCTTTCATATTTTTCTAAACTCAATCTTTCAGTCTTAATTTGAACATCTTCAACTGATGATTATAATTATCTACGTAGTTCTTCATTCTATTTTTCCCATTTTTAATTTAACTAATTTATTAATATATAATATACTTATTTTTCTTTTTTATAATTTTCTATCATAATTTCTAAATCTTCAGTTACTTCTTTTATTTTTTCATTTGCTTATTTCAATTTCTCTTCATACTTTTCTTATTAATTAACAATTTCTTCTTTCAATTATCTATTTTTTACTTCTAATTAACTCAAATATACTGCTTTATCATTTAATTATAAAGAGAATCTTTAATTTTCTTTATAAATTTTTATTCATTTTACTCTAATTCAATTTGAAATTTAGATTTAATTTCTCTTAATTCTTATATTACTTTTTCTAATTATTAATTAAGAGATTATTTATCATTCTTAAGTTCTTTAATTTCATTTTCATATTTACGTTAATTAAGCTTAAGTTTTTCTTCTAAATCTACAATAAATCTATTTTATTTCTCCGTATCTAATGAGTCATTTGTTAATTTTATTATTTAATCTTCTAAAGTAATTATACGAGCTTATTATTTTTTAATTAATTAATTTGCTTATACTAATTCCTATTATATGGTTTCCTTTTATTTAATTGAATTTCTATATTCAATATCATATTCTGTATTCTTCAATTATTTAGTTCTTTTATTTTACTCAGACAATTAATCGATTTCTTTATAAAGTAGATTTTTTTCTTCTTCTATTTATAGATTCAATTAATCTAATTATTATTATAATTTTCTGTTATTTTATTCTAAAATCAAAATTTATTTATTTTTTAATTCAATATCACCATTATTCATTGATCTCCCTAATCTTTCGCTTTCAATTTACTATTACAATTGCCTAATTTTCTCTTCCATTTCATTAACTATTTTATATTAAGTATTTTTAGTTAATCTAGATTATTATGATAATTTATCATCTTATTCATATTGTAATTGTTTTTTCACAGTTAAAAGTTCTTATTAAATTTAAGATTTCTATTGATTCAATAGATTGACTTAATTATTAAGACTTATGATTTTGCTGTTTAATTCTTCAATTTATCTACTATTACTAGAAGTAGATTATCTAGGTTATTAATCACTCTATCTTGATTTATTTTCATAAATATTTTAAGCTAATTTATTTTATAACTCAGATATCTAAACTTCAAATCCAGTAATTTAATTTAGATATTATGAATTCATATTAGTCAATTAAGTATTTTAATCTGATAAATCTTTAAGTCTTTCATTCAATTAAAGTATTTCTTCTGAATGTTTACTCAATTACTCATCTAAGGTTTACTTTATAACTAATAAATCTTTAATTTATAATTAATCTGCATTCTTCTAATTGTTTAATTAAGTTACTTAAGTTATTAATTATTAATTCATTTCACTTAACTTATATATCTATTTATCTTAATCCTTATAATAATTAGTATTATCTTTTTGTACCAATAATAATTACTATTAAATTTAACTATTCATTATATTAAGCTTTTCAATCTAAGCTATATAATCATCAATCAACACTTCCAATTACTATTACTTTTTCTAATAAACCTCAACCTAGCTCAATAATTTAATATTCTCTTATTCTATTTTTTTAAATAAAACATCATTTTCCAATTACGTTCTCAAATATTAATCTTTATATCTATTCTCTAATAACTTTTATTTTTCATCAAAATCTTAAATCTCTTTACTTAACTATTTATTATTCAATTAAACCACTTATAATTAACTAAGTAATTTAACATTTTCTTCCTAAGCTATTTATAAATCAATTAGTATTTTTTCTTAAGATTATCCTGTAGTATTATATTTTAATTATTAACTCTAAATTGTATTTGTTGTTATTTAAATATTTTAATTTTATTAATAACAATGACTATCAATTTCTTATTTGCTTGATAAATATCTATTTAGATTTGTTTATAATTGATTATTATCCTCCTTTAATCTCTATACCAACTCTTACCATTCTCTTTTCGATTATTAAAATTGAAACAATTAATTTTGTAATTAATTATTCAAGCTTATATTATATAAATAATTATTTACTCTTATTATTATAGTTTCTCTTCCTGTAATTGTTTTTGTAATATCTCTACTTGATTCTACCATTTTTAAACATCTGTTTTAGATTCTTTGTATACATTCAATTATTAATTTAAGTGATCTAATTATATCCTTAAATTTTATATTTCTTGGTTTCTTCTTGTAATTATCTAAGAATTTTCATTCATTTCACATAAATATTATTATTTTTATTTTTCAAAACTGCTTTATAATTATTTAATTTCATCTTAACTATTTTAAAATTTTATAAGAATATCTTAATATTATTATTCATTAATAATCTATATTTAATCTGTATTTTAATTATTTTTAATTTATTCAAATTAAATAAGTTACTCTCTTATTTTTGTTATTTCAGCATTTAATTTTGCTATTTTACTCTCATATAATTATTATGTGATTTAAGCCTATTGTAATAATGATTTTAATTCTTGAATTTCTAATTCTAATTTAAATTTTTATTATGATAACTCATTATTGTTTATTTTAATATCTTAATATTCTTATTAAAGCATTTATTAGATCTATTCTTATTAATAAGTTATTTATTTAACCTCAGATTACTTTTGTCTAACAATAGATTATTCAGATTTAAGATTATTTTATAATCTATCAATAATACTTTTTAATTCAAAAATTTAATTTTCTTTAGTATTTTCTGAATCATTCAATTATTATATTTATTCTTTCTATTTTTTTATTTCATTTTAAAGTTCATTTATTCTTTATGATAAATTATTCAATTATTATTCTTATTCTACAGACTTTTGTTGTAAATCACGATTTTCTAATTTTAAACTTTACATATTAGACTCATAATTTTTCATGTTAATTGTATTTTATCGTTCATTAATTTAAATATCTATAAAAAATAAGTAAAATATTAATACCATTTAATTATACTTTATTTTTCATTTAAGAAAGTTCAAATTACAATTATTCGATCTTAGAGTTACTTTGTTATAATTCAAATCTTAATTAGCTTGAGACTTATTACTCATTTGATAAATTTAATTTAACTTATTTTAATTCTTATTATAAGACCATTATTGATTAATTTAATAAATTTCTTTATTATGATTCCTCCTAAGATTATCTCAATATTTATTTGGTTTCACTTATTTAAGGATTAACAATTGAAATAATTTATTAATTAGATTATTATTTAAAAGAAACTTCAGTAACTTTTTAAACATATGAGATAATCTCTTTTTAAGATTCTTCATTAGTTAAACTTTTTTTGCCACTCATTCTATGAGTTGAACTCCTAATACTTTTAGTAAAACATTATTAAATTTGTTTTGGTTATGTAATACTTTAATTTTATATTTATTTTTTTTCTACTTATGATTTAAGGTCAGAAATTAATGAAGCTTATTATTATATTATATCTAGTGAATTTTATCGAATTTTTAATTAGTCTTCTAATTCTAGAATTTAATTTTTATAATTTTATAGTTCTTCTTTAAGTTAAATAATAAATTTATCTTTTTCATTCATAATTAATTCCAAATTTTCTGCTTTTTCAATAGCCTCATTTTAATCTGATTGATTATTTTCAATAATATCTACTTTTGATATCAATTCTTCTAATTATTATTGTAATGATATAATTTAATTATCTTTTTCCATAATTGTTCTATTTGCCTACATTCTTATATTAGTTATTTCATTATTTTTTTTCATTAATTGATCATTTAATGAAGTAATTTAAACACTAAAATCAATAACTGTAACATCCTATTTTGTGTTAATTTTATTTTCTCTCATAAAGTCTATTTCTTTTTATAGTTAAATTACTTATTGTTCATAATGTTCTTGTAATTATTAGATTTCAACATTTTTTGCATTTTCTTTAATATTACTATTTCTAAGACTATTTTCTTACAAGTTTTAATATTATTTATTCAATAAATCAAAATCTTATTTTAATTTATCATATTGAATTATTATCTATTCTTTTTACTTATTCTATTATTAAGTTGTAAATAGTTATTATGTAATTGTTTCTATTTAATTTTATTAATCTTTATATCTTTCTGCCCAACTCTCAAGTTCAATATCATGACTTTTTAATAATTCTTGGAATCTTTCTGATTCATCTTTATTTTATATTTTGAGCATATTAATTCTTGTGTTTAAAATATTAATATCATTATTTAGATCTTTAACTTATTATTTTAATTTAATATTTTCTTAAGATAATTACCATTCTTAATTTGATAATTATTTTTATAATTATTAAATTCTATTTTTTAATTCAATTTCAATTTATTTTGATTTTGAGATTTGTAAATCTTTTTCTTTTAATTAAAAATCATCAATTAATTTAAGATCTTCATTCTATTCATTAATTCTTTTTAATTCTAAAGTAGTTTATTTAAATAAATTATCTAATCTTTCAACTTCTTTATTTAATTTAATAATTTCTGAATTTTTCACAGAGATTTCATTTCTTATTTCCATTTCCTTAATATTTTATTAATTATTTATTTATAAAATCTGTTTTTTTAATCCATCCTTAGCTACTCTTTCTAAACTTAATTCTTTTTCTTATACATCTTTATTAGCACTTAGAGTTTACAATTATTGTTACAATTAGAATATCTTAGCATCATATTCAATTTGTTTCTCCTTTATAAATGCAAATAACTCTAAACATAATCAAATTTTCTATTTACCTTCCTTGCTACTTTATAATCCATTTATTTATAAATTAGCTTATTCTGTTTTTGTCTAACCATGATAATGTAATTCTCTAACTTTTTACTCAAAATCTCTCAATTAAGCTTATGCAGTTACTAATTATGTCTACAATTATTCCTTATCACTACTTATCTACTTTAATTAATTTGATAATTAATCTATTTGCATTTAATAATGTTATTCCTATGCATCTAATTAAGATATATAAGATTATTCCTAATTCTTAAATAAATTCTAAAACTTTCTCTCATTCTCAGCAATAATAGTTAAATATTATTATGTTATTCTTTACTAATCTTATTATCCTTATTCAATTTATTACTTACATTTATCATTCCAAAATCTATCCAATTATGCAAGTTATTTCTTATGTTCTTCTACTGTCTTCTCTAATATGAATTTATTTTATTATAATAATCTATTTGTTTATATTTCATTATCTTAATGAATTTCACTTTATCTTTATTCAAATTATTAAATCATTGAATCAATTTATTTTGTTGTTGTACTCTTATATTAATGAAATTATTACTCACTTGATTCTAATTATTATTACTTAACTGTTAAATCAGTCTTCAATTTACTAATCTCTATATTTAATGTATTAATTAAAGCATCTGCTTATGATTTTTATTCACTAAATTATTAATGTTTTTATGCTATTTATTATTATAAATTAATTATTTCTTATTTCAACTATTAATTCTCTTTCTGCATAGCCTATGCAAATTATGTGCTTTATTATTATTAAATATTTAAATCCCTTGATAAATTCTAAACTTTTATTTAGAAATCATCTTTTGTTCTTCCAAATTAATTTTATTCTTTTTCTGCTTACAATTATAATTCATTTAATCTTCCCATCATTTCTTATATTTTTTATTAGTATTAATTACTAACTTATTCAAAATGTTAATTATTTACTTAAATTTCTTATTTCCTTTGTACTATCTCCTAATTAGCTTTCTCAAGTATTGCAGTTTTATTACTAATTTCTTAATTTAATTAATCAATCTTCATTTAAGCTTAAGATTAAAATTGATTCAATTTATCATTGTATTCTTATAATTGTTTTTTAGACAAAGTTTCTAATTAAGAAATCTAATTGTTCTTAGCAATATTAGTTGTTTCTATTTTTTATTATTATTAATAGATTTCATTCTTTTTTTATACTACCTCTTAATTAAGTCGATCAATCTCTTACTTTTTAAGAACCAACTCTTATTATAATTGTTCTATTTATTTTTATGATTACAATGATATCATTCTTATCTTATCATTTAAATCATCTATAACTCTTTTAGCATTGGTATCTTATTAAATAAGTTATTAGGATTTAACTACATTCAAATTTTCAGCATTTTTCTATAATAACAATATCTCATGTTTTGCTGACTACAATTCATTTGATATTTTATCAAAACTTGTAGTTTTTAATTTCAATTCTTATGATAATTAATCTACTCTCAATTGATTTTATTATTTAACAATGTTCAATTATTCATTTGTATGACCCAATTGTCTCTTGAATTATTATTCAGTATTTATTAATTACTATGTTTTTATTGATAAATCTTATGACAGCTTTTACACTTATTGATTCAACTATGATTATGATTATTTGAAAGCTTGTTCTTACATTTATAGTCTTTAATTAAGTTATTATACTTCATTCAAAGAAGACTTTACTTACATCTCAAGTTGCTAATTTCTTTAATATATTGCTCGAATTTCTTCCTACTATTTAGGAGTGTAGCTCATCTGGAATTTAATTTTTATTGTTATTGAAAAATTAGTTAAAACAATAATTTAAGACTGTCAAATAATAATTGAGATAATACTAGTATTTTAAGACATAATACAAATATATATATGTATCAATAATTAATTATTATGTAATATACTCATTACCTTTTTCATAATTCTTGCTATTTTTAAAACTGAGGATACCAATTCCAATTCATACATCATCAATTCTTTTAACATTAAACTCTTTGCAAAATTGGAGAACACCATTATAAAAATAAACATCCCATTATTGTAAATGCTTTAACTATTGCCAAGGTTTTAAGAAGATTTTTTCAAAAACGTCTAACATTAATTAATCTATTAAAAATATTTATAAATATCACCTTTATTTCAAGAAGAATTTAAATATAATACTGAATTCTATATTAGAATAAGTATATGAAACAATAATCCCAAGATCAATCATAAGATTGAGTTATGCATAAGCTCATTAAAAACAATTTACTATTAATTATGTTCATTATTTCATTATAATAGTATTTTAGTTACTTTGAGATATTTACAAAATGATAAACTTGATTATTATCTTTCTATTGATGGAGTAGTAAATTCTTATCTAAAAAATTTCAATTTACTAATTATATTTTATTTCGATATTCTTGATAAATTATTCCCCTTTAAACTAATAATATTTTCTATTAAAATAAGTTGATGAATAGCTAAAAATTTAAGGATTTTTTAAAAAGCTGTAAATTATAAATTTTCTAAATATGAATATGCAAATTTTATTTTTAAAACAATTGTTTCTAATAATAAATTATTTTAATTTTTATTACTCACTAATTGTTTATTGATTTATATTGTACTCGAATTGTTTTTTTCTTTTCAAAGACAGATATGCTTCTTTTATTATTCTCATTTTATTAATATACAATTTTAGAATTCTAAAGTTCTGATTTTATATTCTTCTATTGAATTTATAAATATAACAATTTCTATAATTCTGTAAGTCTTAAAATTTATTTATTATTTATTCATTAATTATCACATTCAATAATAATAGGAATAATTCCTTTATAATTCTTCATTTTTATTAATTTATTTTTTATTTAGTATGTATCAAAAGAATTATGACTTATTTTACATATATATTTGAATATTTATATATATGAAGATTTTTGATAGATTTCTAGAAATAATTAGTTCTTTTATGTTTTTCTTATTTTTATTAAAAATTTATTTATTATTTAAGGCTATTTACACAAAAATTAAGTAAAAGATAGATCTTCATCATAATTCATTATTATTTTAAAAAATCAATAATCGTTATATAAAAATTAAATTACCTCTCAAAATTTTATCAATAAAATTTTATCAAGCAATAAAATAAAATAATGAAAAGTAATTTAGAATTCGAATAAGAGATTGAGAATTTAATTAAAGAATCTGTTTCCAAGCATAATTCTCCTATGAGAGATGAAGAGGAGAATAAAGGAAAGAACAAAAAAAAGCAATTCTTTTATAATAGAAATAAGATTGATATTAATGAAGCTTGGAAAGAAATTGAAAAATTATTTGAAAATTTCTCAATTCAGGATAAAGGTTCAGTTGAAAAGCCAAATTTGGGAGAGGAATAAAAAATAAAAGAGTAAAAAGAATTATTGTAGACACCATAACCAAAAGTTTATTCTCCTTCAAAATAAACTACATAAGTTAAAAAGTAAAATGAAGAAGGAATTTAGAATAAAATTAACTGTAGTGCTAAGAGAAGACTTGTATATGACTTAGATTGATTTTGATTATAACTACATATTAAGTTAATATAACTCATAAATAAATTCTAAGAAATTATTTTTATACTAATATTTTCATTATTTTAAAACAATTAAAGACATTATTCTATTATTCATAATATAATATAATAGAAAGAAACTTAATTAATAGTTTAATGTATTAGAAATGATTATCGTTTTATTAGATTGCTTAATAAATGATATGGTTTGGTTCAAATATTCATTTTTGATATTAAATCTTAATACTTTTAGTTGTTCTAGATATATCTAATTAATCCTACATATATTTGGATATTAAAATATTCTTTCAACTAAATTTTTATTGTAACTTAATATATAAAGTACATTTTCAAACTCCATTCTTTTTTCTTGATGTCTTATATATCATAATTTTTAAAATTTTACCAAAATATTTATTTTTACAGAATGATTTAGCTCAAACTATAATTATTTGTTTTAAACTATTTAGGATCTCATTTTTCAAAAAAGAATTATTATCATCCAATCAAAGAATAAACTTTCGATATCTAATATTATTATTAGAATATGAATTTCTAATTCTCAAAAATAATTCTTATAAAGTAAATTCTAACATATATTTCTAAAATCTAAATTTTTTTAAAATATTGAGGTCTTTTAATTATTCAAATAATTAATAAAAAGGATTACAAATCTATCCAACATTTATTAGTAAATATTTCTTTATCGATTTGACAAGATTAATTTGATATAATTTTTGATTGTTTATTAATAAATTTATATTATTTTAGAATATATTTTTATATAAAAATTTATTATTGTTCGAAAATGCAGCTTGCTCTTAATTATAAATTTGAAATAAATAGATAATAAATTGGTTATTGTATTGGTGATTAGTTAGTATCATCTAAATTTAAAAATATTAGATTATTAATAATAAATTTAAATTATATAAAAAAGTGAGGGGAAATAAATAATTTGAAATAGATAGTATTATATTTTGAATAAGAAATCCATTTAATGGAAAGTACAATGATTATTTTTATAGAAAGAAAAGATTTAAATATTATATATAATTATATATAATTATTATTATAATATAATTAACGATTATTATTACATATTATAAGATATATTATAATTAGTTAATGAACGTCAATGATTTTTGATTTACACAAAGTTATGGTGTGGTTTGAATAAGACTTTATTGTAAATGAGATCTAAGCCAAATAAGGTCGCAAATAATATGGCATACATAGAGACAAGTTCGAATTTGGAGAGTAATGCTTGAAAGCCATAGACATGTTATTCATAGATAAAATAATGAAGTCCTATTTAAATATATAAAATATATATACCATAAATACTAAAATAGAGTATAACATAGGTAAAGTAAATGAGGCCCTTGATTCTCATCTTTAAATGAGGTTGTTTTTCAAATTGGTTGAGTTACCTAAAAATAATTATATCTGTTACATTAAAATCCAGTTTCCTCCATGAACATAAAACATAAGAATCATGTCAATTTAACTAACATCTCTGTCAGCAAATATTAGTTTTGGATCTATAAGGAACATTGTCCAAAACATTGTCATTACAATAAATATAATTGGGTTCATGCATTGATATGCATAATGAGTAAAGGTATGATGTCTTGGAATGTTGATAAGCCATCCTCTTCTACGAATGAACTTTATGTCTTCAACAATTTATGGAATAAGAAAAGAGTACATGCACAAATTACTAATATTTGTCAAGTACTTTATTTAGTTCCAGAATTCTTCAATTGATTTTGAATCAAAATTGATATACATAAAGTATGTGTGCACAAACAATTGCACTAAATGTATAATTGTTGGAATCATTTAAGTTTAATATTATTAATGACTTTAAGAAAAATTAATTTTCTTTTTAAATTGTTTACTCTAATCCAATATATTCAAATGAGATCATTAAATTATCTAATCATTTTTCTATCTATTTTATAGTTTTTTATTTATAAGCATTAGAATTAATGATTAAATTAAAAACACCAATTTTTATAAACTCAATGGATTTAAACAAATCTTAATCTCATTTAATGTTTGTCAAAAAATAATATTATTATCATCATTTTTACTACTTTAATATAAAAATAAAAGATTTTATAATTTTTGATTAATAATTTCAATTANTTAGAATATATTTTTATATAAAAATTTATTATTGTTCGAAAATGCAGCTTGCTCTTAATTATAAATTTGAAATAAATAGATAATAAATTGGTTATTGTATTGGTGATTAGTTAGTATCATCTAAATTTAAAAATATTAGATTATTAATAATAAATTTAAATTATATAAAAAAGTGAGGGGAAATAAATAATTTGAAATAGATAGTATTATATTTTGAATAAGAAATCCATTTAATGGAAAGTACAATGATTATTTTTATAGAAAGAAAAGATTTAAATATTATATATAATTATATATAATTATTATTATAATATAATTAACGATTATTATTACATATTATAAGATATATTATAATTAGTTAATGAACGTCAATGATTTTTGATTTACACAAAGTTATGGTGTGGTTTGAATAAGACTTTATTGTAAATGAGATCTAAGCCAAATAAGGTCGCAAATAATATGGCATACATAGAGACAAGTTCGAATTTGGAGAGTAATGCTTGAAAGCCATAGACATGTTATTCATAGATAAAATAATGAAGTCCTATTTAAATATATAAAATATATATACCATAAATACTAAAATAGAGTATAACATAGGTAAAGTAAATGAGGCCCTTGATTCTCATCTTTAAATGAGGTTGTTTTTCAAATTGGTTGAGTTACCTAAAAATAATTATATCTGTTACATTAAAATCCAGTTTCCTCCATGAACATAAAACATAAGAATCATGTCAATTTAACTAACATCTCTGTCAGCAAATATTAGTTTTGGATCTATAAGGAACATTGTCCAAAACATTGTCATTACAATAAATATAATTGGGTTCATGCATTGATATGCATAATGAGTAAAGGTATGATGTCTTGGAATGTTGATAAGCCATCCTCTTCTACGAATGAACTTTATGTCTTCAACAATTTATGGAATAAGAAAAGAGTACATGCACAAATTACTAATATTTGTCAAGTACTTTATTTAGTTCCAGAATTCTTCAATTGATTTTGAATCAAAATTGATATACATAAAGTATGTGTGCACAAACAATTGCACTAAATGTATAATTGTTGGAATCATTTAAGTTTAATATTATTAATGACTTTAAGAAAAATTAATTTTCTTTTTAAATTGTTTACTCTAATCCAATATATTCAAATGAGATCATTAAATTATCTAATCATTTTTCTATCTATTTTATAGTTTTTTATTTATAAGCATTAGAATTAATGATTAAATTAAAAACACCAATTTTTATAAACTCAATGGATTTAAACAAATCTTAATCTCATTTAATGTTTGTCAAAAAATAATATTATTATCATCATTTTTACTACTTTAATATAAAAATAAAAGATTTTATAATTTTTGATTAATAATTTCAATTAAATACAATTTAAAAATCATTAAAAAATAAATGCACTACTAAATTATACAATAATAACTTAATTATATATATTTATATATGATTCTAAGTAAATTGTATAAAATCAAGGAGACTAATCTTAATAATCTTATTAATCAAGTAATTAAACTTATAATGGAATTTCCATGATTTCATCTTACTCATTGCATTATTCATCTTCTTCAATAATTTTTTATAATTCTATATAATCCTCTTCATCATCATTCATTTTAGATTTAACCTTTTCTAAATTACCTTCTTCTTCATCTGAACTTGATGCTATTAATAATATATAGATTTACCTTCAACTGAATTTTCATTTTCATTTTCATTTTCAATTTCTTCTTCATCACTATTTACATCATTTCTAAATCTTACAGAATCTCCATCTGATTAATCTCTTCTTTCACTAAATGGAAAATTAGAAAGAGTCATAAGTGATCTTCCTTATTAAACAACTGATTATTCACTAAAATATAATTATTAATAATAAATACTTATCATCAGGTTCACTAGATGACTCTTCTCTTGAATCAGATTTTTTAATAAATTTTTACACATTCATTTTAAATAAGCAATAACTACCATCATTATTTTGAATTAATTTAATTCTATCATGACTTTAATAATTTTTATTATAATTAGAAATCATTTTCTTAATAAAAATTAGATTAGATGGTTTAGTTTTTTTACTCAAAAAAATTCTTTTATGTTTTGTCAAATGGTATAAAATACCTTTATAATCAGTTCTATGTGGTCTTTATTCTGTTTATTCTTATTCTTCTTTTTCAAATTCAGGTTCTTAAAATGCAACTTTCAAATTCTTTTTATTATTTTATTCTTTTCTCGGTTCTTATATTTATTTTTCTATTTCATTTTATGTAATCAAATTTTTTAATGATTTTGTTTTTTTAAGTGTTGGATTAGCATTATTATCTTAATTTCTTCTCCTTCTTTCTTCATTTTAATCTTCCTAATCACTAATATGATTAATATTGTCTTTTTTTTCATCTTGATCATCTACTATATAATTAACTTCAGTAGTATTAGTGAGATTATTTTAATTATCTCTATTCTCATTTTTAAAACTTATTTCATTAAATTTTTATACAGATTATTGAATTAATACTTTTGGATTAACTTTATCTGGTTCTTAAGTAATAGTTGTATTATTGTCTGCTTATTCTTATTATTCATTCATTTTTTGTAAAAATTATTCATATATTTCAGTCTTATTAACTTAACTATGAATATAATCTTTAACTTCTTTTGAACTCCATGCATCACTTATTACTTTATTAAATTCTTCATAAATTGGTAATGCATTTTTTAATTCTGTAACAGATTAATCATCTGATAAGTGTTTCATATATTATATTATTGTTCTATGAATAGTATCTATACTTTTATCAATATTAACATTATCTACTTTAGGAATTAAAAATTCATCAGCTTTTTCCATAAACCATTTTTAAATCAATCTAATATTTTAAAAATTCTCAACATATTTATTATGTCTGGAATCTAAAGTCATATATTTTGATCTCACAGCAAAGCGTTCTTTATGTTTTGATTCTTTTTTTATGCATATTGCAAATGGTAATACTTTGTTATACTTTTTCATAATTTTCATCATAAACATAGGTGTTAAATGTACTCCTTCAATGATAATTGATTCCATTTTTTCATAAAAAGTATTAATTACATGTTCTAATCTCTATTAAACTAATTCACATTATGCCTTATATCCTTTGATTATTCTCCTTTAATCACTAATATTTAGATCAGGTAATGTTTTGCCAGCTTCATAAGTACTTGCAAATAAAACAGGGTTTTATTCTTTTGATAAAAAATTTCTCATTATATGTCTTATAGAATCCGTACTAAACAATTTAGATTGATTATACCTTAAGACTGTAGAAATTCCAAATCTTGAAGCTAAAATACTGCTTGCTGTGCTTTTACCAGTACCCGAAGTACCACCAAATAATATTATGAGTGGCTATTTTTTCTCTGTTAAACTCCATGCAATCTAAAAATCTTCCTTATAAAGGTCTTCTTTTTCTCGAATATATTTTTTCTCAAATACTGAATTAAATACTAATTCTTTAAAGTGTTTTTCAGTTATTGTGGCTGAATTTAATTATTTATTAGATTATCCATTTATTGGTTGATGGTTCTTTTATTTATCAAAATTTTCTAAAAGTATTGAGTGTTTTTGTACCCAACAATTTACTGAATATCATTTCAAAGATTTTTTCACAAAGAGAATATGAATGAGCTGCTTTGCATCCACTAATTTGCAAGATTATTTTTAACTTTTCTTTATTAATTTTACGAACTATAATTGGTAAATTGAATACTTTGCTATTTTTATTTATCATTTGATGTACTATCTTTGAGCACAAATATTACATTCTAATCAACATGATAAACATTTGAAGCACTCATTTATAAATTAATTTTTTAGTATTAATAATTCTATATATTATAAAATAAAAGATTTATCCACTTTATTAAATATAAAATACAAACATCCTTAAAACTAAATTACCAAGTCTGTCGTAAACAATATTATGATGGTTAAAATAATATATTGAAATCTTCAAGTTTTTAAAATAAATTTAAAGAATATAATATATTTACTATTCAAAAGTCATGTTTACTGTCTAAAATTATTTACTATACAAAAATCGATTTCATTACATATTTATTCCTATATTAATTTTACGACATTTCCAATGGCTATTACTCAATCTTTTTTTTCAAACACTTAGGATACAAAGTTTCCTACTTGGTGTTATGAAAAATGTTGTTGCGATAATTAATCGATCACCTATTCAGCTCATCTTAACATTTAAATAAATAATGGTAAATGGAAAAAGAAACTTCTCTTTATAATAAACGACTATCTGATAACTAAGACAAAATAAGTAAACTATATAACTATTTTTAGAATAACTTAAAATGGATATGTTATCTAAACTCGACATTAAAAGTTGTAAAGAATCCAAGAGAGTAAACAAGTACTCTCTTCCTATCATAAAGTGAGAATCAAATAACTATAAATGGAGATGTTGAAAACTTACTAAAAACAATTAAACGATATACAATTTAGGAGGAATTTAAGTTGAAATTCTAACTCATAAAAAAAATAGGATAAGGTGCCTTTGCAGAGGTATTTTCGATTTATATATAATTTTAGGTTTATTCAGCCAAGAATAAATAATCAGAGGATTACTTTGCAGTAAAGATGTTCGAAAAATCATATTTAAAATCGAACTTAGACTTATAATCATTACAAAAAGAAATTAAAGTATTACGAACAATATATCATGAATCTTGTGTGATATTATTAGAATTATATGAAACACCATGTTATATCTATATAGTAATGGAATTATTAAAGGGTGGAAATCTTAGTCAGTACCTAGATAAGTACACACCTCTTTCTGAAAAATAGACAGCATAAATTGTCTATAATTTATTGATATCTCTTAATCATATAAATAATTTTGGAATTTTTCATCGAGACTTAAAACCAGATAATATAATTTTTCGTGAAAAAGGTAATTTGGATTCTCTCTGTGTAACTGATTTTGGATTGGCTGATTTCTATAATAAAGAAGCCAAATATTTATTCAGTAGATGTGGTAGTGTTGGATTTGTTGCTCCTGAAATTTTACATGATTGTGCTTATGATTTAAAAATTGATTTATATAGTATTGGAATTATTATGTTTTGTGCTTTAAGTGGATCACAACCATTTGAAGGTAATTCAATGTAGAAAGTTCAATAGAATTATAAAGGAGAAGTTAATACTAATAATTTAAATATGAGTTCAAAGGGTTAATAATTTATAAATAGTTTACTTTAACCTAATCCTTAAAAAAGAATAGATTTATAATAAGCATTGACTCATTCTTGGTTTTTAGAATAAAATTTAAGTAATAGAAAAGGATTTAAATTAAAAAGTAAGAAATAATCAATAATGAATTAAAATATAATGTTAACTCCTCCTTTAGGTAGAAATAGTCCTTGTTCAACACCAAGATAACCTAGAAGTCCTATGACTAATCCTACATAATAATCTTCTTTTTTAATGAANCAAAGTTTCCTACTTGGTGTTATGAAAAATGTTGTTGCGATAATTAATCGATCACCTATTCAGCTCATCTTAACATTTAAATAAATAATGGTAAATGGAAAAAGAAACTTCTCTTTATAATAAACGACTATCTGATAACTAAGACAAAATAAGTAAACTATATAACTATTTTTAGAATAACTTAAAATGGATATGTTATCTAAACTCGACATTAAAAGTTGTAAAGAATCCAAGAGAGTAAACAAGTACTCTCTTCCTATCATAAAGTGAGAATCAAATAACTATAAATGGAGATGTTGAAAACTTACTAAAAACAATTAAACGATATACAATTTAGGAGGAATTTAAGTTGAAATTCTAACTCATAAAAAAAATAGGATAAGGTGCCTTTGCAGAGGTATTTTCGATTTATATATAATTTTAGGTTTATTCAGCCAAGAATAAATAATCAGAGGATTACTTTGCAGTAAAGATGTTCGAAAAATCATATTTAAAATCGAACTTAGACTTATAATCATTACAAAAAGAAATTAAAGTATTACGAACAATATATCATGAATCTTGTGTGATATTATTAGAATTATATGAAACACCATGTTATATCTATATAGTAATGGAATTATTAAAGGGTGGAAATCTTAGTCAGTACCTAGATAAGTACACACCTCTTTCTGAAAAATAGACAGCATAAATTGTCTATAATTTATTGATATCTCTTAATCATATAAATAATTTTGGAATTTTTCATCGAGACTTAAAACCAGATAATATAATTTTTCGTGAAAAAGGTAATTTGGATTCTCTCTGTGTAACTGATTTTGGATTGGCTGATTTCTATAATAAAGAAGCCAAATATTTATTCAGTAGATGTGGTAGTGTTGGATTTGTTGCTCCTGAAATTTTACATGATTGTGCTTATGATTTAAAAATTGATTTATATAGTATTGGAATTATTATGTTTTGTGCTTTAAGTGGATCACAACCATTTGAAGGTAATTCAATGTAGAAAGTTCAATAGAATTATAAAGGAGAAGTTAATACTAATAATTTAAATATGAGTTCAAAGGGTTAATAATTTATAAATAGTTTACTTTAACCTAATCCTTAAAAAAGAATAGATTTATAATAAGCATTGACTCATTCTTGGTTTTTAGAATAAAATTTAAGTAATAGAAAAGGATTTAAATTAAAAAGTAAGAAATAATCAATAATGAATTAAAATATAATGTTAACTCCTCCTTTAGGTAGAAATAGTCCTTGTTCAACACCAAGATAACCTAGAAGTCCTATGACTAATCCTACATAATAATCTTCTTTTTTAATGAAATTGGCAGGAAAAAAAATGAGTAACTTTCAACTTGAAGAAGATTCAAGTCCAAGAGATAAAGAATTATGTAATACTCAATCCAATTTTTTAAAAAAAGTTGTAATAAGAAAATCTATTTTTAATCATTTAGAACCTCTCAAAAGACATAAAAAAGTAGAATGAATTCGATAATATTTATAGAAATATTATAATATAATAAATAACATAATTACTTGTTAAAATTAATTATTGATATGAACGAAAATCAAGTTTTGAATGAAAAGAGAATTATTTGAAAAATATATTATTGTTAATATGATGATGTAAAATAATCTAAATTTATCATTTCTTAACTGAAGTTGTGACTTAAGTCAAAGGTTTTTAGTAATAACTGGTAGATGGTCTTTATTAAGGTTGTTGCTGTTAAGATTAAACTGCAGACTTATTGACTTTATTAGGTTAAGCAGCCATCTACTATTATATAAAAGGATAATAATATCCTTATTTAGTTTACATAGATTAAATCATAGAACTGCTTTTATGATGAGTTGGTTATTAAGTAACTATTGCTTATTATTATTATATTTATGATTATTTTGGCATTTCAACTGATGATTGTCTTCCTCCCATTTAACCAGATTAAGGTCTCTAAGCTTTTCGTTATTATTATAATAACAATTATTATTAATATATTTATTGTTAAATGAGATCTGGTTGAGATAGTTTTTATTCTAAAATTATTTCTTCCTTTTCTTAATGTTATTATTATTATTAATTTTACTTATCATCTATAGATACTCCTAATTAAGCTAAATACTTAGCTTACCATTTCTTTCTTTATTCCTTTTTTCTTTAACTAATATCTGCATATAAAGCTTCTCGATATTCTTTTATAGTAAATTTTTTATTATCATTCATTGTTATTCTTATAGGATGTTAACAAACTATTTCTTCTTCAGGAGATGAAAAATCTTTTACATATTTATGTTTCAAAGCTTATTCAGCTGTCAATCTTTAACTTGGATTGTAACATAACAATCTTCTTATTAAGTCTAAGGCTTCTTCTGAAGCTCCTTGGAAAAATGATGCAAATGCTTTTTTCTTAGATGTATTAATGGATGCTAAAATATTTGCTGCTAAAGGACTATCAAGAGATTCTATTTCATCTCCTCTTGGTTTTCCTAAAAGTTCTATTATTCTCTCTATTTAATTTAAAGTAGATGTTCCTGGGAAAATTGCTTTACCAACTATTAATTCCCCTATTATACAACCAACAGACCACATATCTACAGCTTTAGAGTATTTTGTAGATCCTAATAATATTTCAGGAGCTCTATACCATCTTGTTGCTACATATTCAGTTAACACTATTTAACCTAAAATAATATTTAGTTTAATCTTATACTATCATCTTCTGTTTAAGCTAAACTTCTTGCCAATCCAAAATCTGCTACTTTTATTAAACATTCAGAATCCAATAAAATATTTGATGGTTTCAAATCTCTATGAATTAATTCTCCTGAATGGATGAATTTTAATGCTTTTAAAGTTTAGTATACTATGTATTTTTTATGAATCTCTTCTAAAATATTTGCTCTCTTGTATTTATTACTAAAATTAATACTATCACTGCATGAAGATCAGTTTCCATATAATCAAATACCAGATAAAGATCTTTATTATTCTCTGCTTTTATTATGTTTAGTAATCTCACTATATTTTCATGGCCATTTAACTCCTACAAAAACATTACCTCTCTAAATGTTCTTTATGCATCAGTTGCATTATGAAAAGCATCAAAAACTTTTTTTAATGCAACGACCTTCAATTATTATATTCCAATACCTGTTTCAATTTCTTATCTACTGCTTTCCATACTATACCATATGCACCTTTTCCTAATTTCTAGATAATCTCGAATTTTCTAGCTATATGAGGTTCTATTTCTTCACTCATTTCGTTATAAAAATTTTATTATCAAAACAAAAAATATAAATTATTTAAAAAATCTTCACACTAAATTAATACCTATATAATACTTTTATTAATCTCATATGCTTTAAATTTTCAATTCATTCCACCAATCTAAATTTAACAAACTTATTTAATAAATTTTTATATAATATCAAACATATATATAACTTCTGTTTAAATTAATAATTTAATAATCTTTCTAACTCACTATAATTTATAATTAGATAAACATCATATACTCTCTAATTTTCTTAGATATACTCCTATCTATCAAATTCATATCTTATTCATTTCATTTCAAGTTAATAAAAATATCATTAAAGTTTAATATATATTTTCAAATCATTATCAAGATATATTAACTAAAAATAAATAACAACTGTTTTATGATATAAAATCTTCAACTATATCTTACTTTTAGAAATGATTATAAACATTTAAAAATATTCTTATCATTATTTATTTAGTTTACTAAATTGATGATAATTAAAAAAATTAATAAAAATATTTATTGTAACTTTCGTTAAAAATTTTAATGGAAAATAATGATAGATAGAAATGAATATTAAATAGAATATGAGATACTACTATATAGGTTGATGATAATATTTATAATTAATCTATATATCAATTTTATTAGGTAGGATTTTATTCAGATTTATTCTAATTTTCTGCCAACTCTTATTATTATAATTTTTATTTTTGATTCATCTATTGTATACCATTATGAAGTAAGCCGGCTAATTCATTAAGATCATTTTTGATTTCCTGTTATTAGGTATTTGAAAATTAAAATCCATCAACTTAAATTACAATTCTTCCATTATTTTAATCAACAGTTCCTGGTTATACTCTTGGTCTTTTTTTTAACAAAAGAAGATTACTTATTAGTATTACCCTAAATTAATGCTCTCCCAACCAAAGGCATAATTAGAAAATAAAAGCTAGAGTATTAATTAATTCCAAATTGCTAAGAGCAAACCCCGTGATACAAACTGGTAAAGAGCAAAATAAATTGAAAAGGCAACAAAATCCATGGTTGTACCAATGTTAGACCATGAATAATCCACTTGCAACAATTGAGCAAACCTAAGAAGCTGTGTTTTCATAACTGAAAACTTTAACACATAACACAATATGAATTGCTATTGCACAAGCAGAATAGATAGATACCAGCCCTTTATTTACTTGTCGATGAGTTTCTTCTTCTTATTTAAATTATTCTTCAGAAAGTTGAACTTTTTCTTCAACCTTCCCTAAGGTTAATGTCCTCATCATTATTGTAAAAATATTAATTTGTGTCTTTTACTAAATTTCATTTATGAACTTATTAATTAAAAAGATTTAAATCCTTAATCCTCATATTTTAATAAGAGTTTACATATTCATTTATTAGTTTGTAGCAATTATCAATAGGTAATCTATAGAACTTAGAAATGACTTAATTAAATGAGAATGTACAATTATAGGATTTTAATAAATATTTACTTAATATTAAGAGGGATTAATATAAGAATTATTAGTAGATTGTAGAAATTAAATAATCAAAATAAAACATATAATTAAAAATAATTTACAGTTATTTTTATATTTAATTAATAAAAGAATAATAATAATTTAAAGTAAATATAAGATCACTTAAAAATAGTTTAACATTTTATGATAACTAAAGGTAATGTATATCATGAAATAAATCTAATTAAAGTTTTTGATATTATAATATTTATTAAAATTCTTAAATGGGTTAATAAATAGTTGGAAAATGTAAATAATGTGGTCCTGCAAATGATGAAATATTACCTTAAATGGAAATCTAAAAAGAGATTAAGAGTGAAGTCATAAAAAGTTTAAAATAAAAGTTAGAGGAATTCGATTAATTTGCAATATAAAAGGTGACTACTTATAGTTTAAAATTTGATGGAGTATTTAGAAAATAAGATATAATAAAAGAGAAAGTATGCAATAAAGTAAAAAGGTAATAGATTCGCTGGGTTTAGTGAAACCAATGGATGATGAGAAAATAAAATAAATTAATGTAGATTCCGAGATAAAATTTAAATGTGGAATAAGTTTAGGAGATCCAATCAATATGGTTTTTTAGACAGTTCATGGATCTTAAATTGAACTAAATGATCATGGATACATATTACTTAAATTATGGGGTTTTGGAGAGATGATGATGAATTTTTAATCTTGTATATAAATATAGGGAATTAAATTAATTGGAATAGTTAGAGGAGAAATTGAAATCTATAAATAAGCAATTATTAATAATGGATGGGAAAAATATGATCATATTATTATTGAAGATAATAACATTCTTAATCTGTAATATGATGAATAAACTAATTAAATTAATCATAATACTCTTCTAAGTGGATTACTTTTATATGATGGAATTGTAATTTATAAACATTATATTGATAAATTATAATATTAATAGGATTATCATATAGTAAAAAAAGATGTATAGGAAATCATTGAAAAAGGTGTAAAGAAAGCTAAAATAATTAAGATTATTGCCAATATATCTTACATTACATAAGAACAATATATCAAATTAAAATAGTTTATTATGTTATCAAAAAATCATTCATTTAGTAGGAATGTGGAAGTCACAATAAAAAAGACAACTATTTATTATAAAGAAGATAAATAAATTTATTATGATTAGCCAATTATTTAAATTAATAGTTCTCCAAAATCATTCTCAATTGCAGATAGATTTGCCAATCAATTAGAAAATAAAAATATTAAGTGGGATTCTAAATTTTTAAAAGCTAAATTAACTGAAAAAATTAAAGAATATTCTTTAAATGTTTAAATCGCTTTACAAAAAGATATTATTATTTCAATTACAAAAGACTCTTGTGAAATACTAATTAATCATTGGGAATAAGGAATCTTAGTTCCATATTATAAAACATTAGAATATATATCTTAAATTAAATTATGGATAAAAGCAACTGAAGATATTAAATATGAACCTAATTAAGATCCAGTACAAGATCGAATAAATTATTTAGTAGCTAATTTATTTTAAACTATACCAAAGGTTGATAAAATTATTGGCACTAAATATTTTAATATACCTTTTGTAGAAAAATGGAAACCTCCATATGATTCATTTGATAATCATCAAAAAAATTTAGAAATTCATCGGAAATCTGATAAATATCTATTCATTTGGTTATTTGATTATGAAATTGATGAAAATGTTGATAAATTAAAAGAATTGATTAAATTTAAAAAAAATAATCCTTAACTAGGTTTATAAATTGCAATATTAGGTTATATTAAATTTACTACTTGGACCTCTAAATTTTCTACTTTCTTGGATAAATATGAATTAACAAGAGCAATTTTAGATAATACAATAGAAACATGGTTTCCTGAAGAAGAATAATTTGGATAATTTACTTTTAGTATTATTATTCAAAGAGTATATGGTCTAATATTAGATAAATAAGACATGATGATTATTGATTCTAAAGGAATAGTAAGAGTAATTGATAATAGCTTTTAAATTATTAATAATATAACTTAAGAAATTGATAAATTAACTTAGAATGTAAAAGTTACTGTGAAAAATTAGTATTAATATACATAAAATTAGTAATTACTGGAGGTAATATTAGAACTTAAAAAAATGTATTAGAGAAAATCCTCAATTAGCTGAAATTGTCAGAAAAATTTAAGATAAAGGAATTGTGGAGGAGAGCAAAGTGCTCATTGAATAAATGAAAGATAAAGTTTGGATTTTTGAAAATGGATAAGTAAAAGAAGAAAAATGGCATGAATAACCTACCAGAATTTTAAGAGATATAAAAGATTTTACTGATATAAATGAAATGGCCAGAATTATTGCAAGATATATTGATAATAATGACATTTGTGCATTGAAATGAATAATATATTGAATCATTATTAAGATTTTATTTTCTACTCTATCAATTATCTTTTCTCTTATTCTTACTATTATATCGATAAAATAGATTAATTTTGTTTTTATAACCTTTTGATTGTAAGTTTATTAGGTTCACTTAATTGCTGAATCTAAGCATCCTTACTTGTCAAAGTTTATTATAATTGGTTTATCTATTCTTTGTAATATTATTATAATGTGTCTATAAACAAGTATAAATATATGTTACTTAATTAATTTTTTAAATTTATATTTTCTTTAATATATAAATCCTATTTATATTTAGAATCTTCAATTTATGATTAAAACTATCCAATAATTAATTTTAATTTTTTATTCTCTTCTACACTATCTTTTAACGTTAATTAATATTTCTTCATTTATTCTGAACAGGCTTCAAATTTGTTTTTAAGTTCCAATTTAACTAAATAATATTGATACATATTTGTACTATTGTTTGAATTAGTTATCTCTTATTGATATTATAAAATTTTTTATGATATATCTACAAACTATTTCTTAAAATGATCTCGTTATTATGTAAGTTTTTATAATTTCTCTTCCAGTCCATCAACTTACATACTAAGTGATTCAATTTTATTAAGATTATTAATATTTTCACCCATTAACTTTTCATTAAATTATTAAACACATTTTCTAGTTTCAGCTTTTGTTTTAATATCCATTTATAATTCATTAAGACTCGATTATAATTTACAATTAAATAATTCAGTTGATATTAACTTATTCTATATTATATTGTTCTCTTCCTCTAGGTTCTCTAACTTCTTTACATAATCATTAATTTATTAACTTTATTTTTCCAAATATTTTTCAAATTCTTATTTTTACTATTCCATTTAACTTTCTAATTGTTTTCTGAGTTTTTCTACATTCTTCTCCTATTCAATGTTTAGTTCTTCAATAATTCTTTCGTGATTCTAATTTTATTTTTAAAGATTATTTTCAAGCTGTTAATTCAAATCTTCTAATTCCTTTACTCTTATTTTAATTTAGTTCTTTTCAGACAATAACTCTTATATTTATTATTAGTAATATGAACTATTTGTAATCACAATCTTAAATAATTAAATCCTCTACTTGAAGTTCTTTTTCTAAATTTTCTATTGTATTCTATTAAAGTTGAAGCCCTTATTCAAAATCTAGTATCTCAACATCGCTATCAGAGTCACACATTTTATAAACTTAAATTATAATATTACATAAAAAATGTCAAAATATTATAATAATCATATTGATAACCTGAAAATTGAGAACTAGATTCAACAATATAATGATATGATTTGTTTAAAATTAACTGAAAAACTAAGTGAGGAATATTGAATCATTTTAAAAATTTAGTTAGATTTAAATAACTCTTTAATATCAACTCGACCTATGAGAACTTTAAATATCATTATATTGGTTTTAAAAACTCTCTATCCTAAATAATATTACTATTTAATAAATTTACTTTCAGATATATATTACTTATGATAGCAAAATTAAATGTTAAAATGAAATAGCATTCTCAATTTGATAATAAATCATAAATCTAAACATAAAAAACTTTTTACGAAGAATAAGATGATAAATATGAAATTTTTATAATAAATCTCTTCATTATAATTAAATATCTAAGAAGTTATTTATGATTTTTATTTGCAATTAATTATTTTACTAAAATAAAAGAATTTATAATAATAAGAATTTAAATAATTATAAAGGAATAAAAGTAATCCAATAGATAATATTAAATTTTAAAAAGATTGGTTATATATAAGTGAGCTTGCATTTATAATTTATGATTGATACATAAGTTACAAGTATTAAGCTTTATTTCTAACATTCATACTTTTAAACAAATTAAAAATCTTAATAGATTTATTTTTTAAATTATTCCCAAAATTCCTTATTTATTGAATTTCTTTTTGTTTTTAAAATTGCATTAAATAATTTTTTTTATGTTTTTAATTAAATGTAGAAGTAGAAAAATTGTTGTATATGTTAATTATAGAAATCACATAAATGGTTTTGAATAGGTACCAGTTCCTAAATTGAGTAATGTTCTTAATCTATCATTTTCATCTTTTAATCTCTTATTTTCTTGTAAAACATTGTAGTTAGAATTGGCTATAGTAAATAATTGATTTGATTACATTATTCAAGTCGATTAGATGATTATGGTCTTTAAATGATTTAAGATTATTATTGTTATTATTATTATTGTAATGATTAAAATTATTTTTAAAGTGTTTCAATTTGTATTTTAAGGTTTTAGTTCTCCAATTCTAAATCAGAAGCACTTTATAAAACATATTCTAATTCATCAAAACCTTTTCTATAAGAAATAAAATATAATAATATACTTAAGAGTATCTAATTCTTATTTAAGTTTTTGATTTTCTTTAGTTAAAGAATCAGCTTACTTTTTATGATCATCAAAAGAATATTTAGTTAATTTAATTTAATCTAATTCAATTCTTAATGATCTATTTTCTTATTCTAATTAATTTCTATCCGAAATAAATCTAGCAGTAAGTTCTCGTATTTCTCTATCAATTTAAATTCTTTTTGAAAGTTCATTTTAATATCTTTAATCCTCATTTTCTTTATCTCTATTTTAATATTTAACTCTCCATTATTCACATTCCATTTATAAAAGTGCAAGTTTTTTTTCATACTCTCCAATTTTAATTCTTTATGATATAACTTCATTTTCAACTAAATCTACTCCTTTAAATCTAATTTCACTAGTATTGAGTAATTATTGAATTTAAGCATTTTCTTCTCTTAATCTATCATTTTCAACAGTAAGTAGAAATACAACCATATAAATATCTTCACCTAACCATGGTTTATTAGGAGGTTATCCACCTTACATTTCTTAAAAATTAGGTCTTTCTTGAATAATTTTAGATTGAATTTGTTATAATTGAAATTTCATTCTTTATTCTTATTAAATTTATGCTATTGTTAAAGGAATATCTCTATTTGGTTATACAGGTGGTCTATACTCCATAATAAATAAATAATTTTTTTGATGAATGATAATATATTAATATATAAAATATATAGATATATATTGATTAAATAAATTTATTCATTTAGCTCTTAAATTGTTGTTACTAATCAATGTTTTCATTTCCCATTCAATATAATCTTTTTCTAGAAAACTCTCTTCTTTTTTTGGTTCTAATTTTTTATCTTTAAGTTATTCTATAATGAGACTCTACATTTTAACGATTTTATCTTATTTTTCTTTATCTAATTGATCTAAAATTTATTCATTAGTAATAAATGTTTAATGTTCATCATCATTATCATAATTTTAAGATTTAGGATTATCAGTATATAAGAGTAACAATTTCAAAGGGTTTTTTTCTTCAATTTATGGAGGAGGATTTGTTTAGATGGATTATGAATTTTATAAGTTTGATTATGTTTCTATCTATTGAATTTATATATATTTAGCTAATCTACTTGAATGAGTTGATTATTCAGATTGATTAGATTAATTTTCCTATAATAATTAAGTATTATTATAGGAAGATGATTTTTAGGAGAGTTAATCATCATCTAATTTGTCTAGCCAATATTAGACAGAATGTATTAATTCTTAATTATTTGACACTTATAAAGTATCTTAAGAATGGTTCTATTGAATTTCATTGAATTTGAAGGATGTTTCAACTTATGTGTTGATAATTTACGAATTCAGATCTATTTGATTAACTATGTCCTATTTAATTATTTTTAATACCACTGTATGTATAGTATCAGTTATGTAGGAATCTTAGTTATTATTCTAATTGATTTAGAATGCATTGAGAGTAACTGATATAATTATTACAATCAATATTCTCATTTAAAAACGTAAATTATTAATGGATAATCCATTGGGCAATCGAAACTTATCAAATACTTACTTATAACAATAAAATTACAAACTTATCAAACGATTAGGAATGGGTGCATTTGGAGAGATTTATTTAGCATAAAATAAACAAAAAGAGGAATTTGCTATCAAATTAGAAAGAACTAATTGTCAATATCCATAAATTTTATATGAAGCAAAAGTATATTCTTTTCTTCATTAAGATACCTAACAATTAGATAAAGGTAAGAAAGTATATTTGATATATTTAAAGGGATTCCAAAAGTATTTGGAGCAGCAACAGAAGGAGATTATAATTATTTAGTTATGGAACTATTAGGATAATCAATAGAAGATTTATTTGCTTAATGTCATCGTAAATTATCAATTAAAACAGTAATCTATATAAATATTAAGGTTTGCATGCTTGCAGAATAAATGGTCTCTAGATTAGAATTAATGCATTCAAGATCATTTATACATAGAGATGTTAAACCTGATAACTTTCTTATGGGAATAGGTAAGAAACAATCTAAACTTTATGTTGTTGATATGGGTTTAGCTAAAAGATATTTAACTAAAGATGGACATATTCCATTTAAAGATAATAAACCACTTACCGGAACAGCCAGATATGCCAGTATTAATACTCATTTAGGATATGAATAAAGTAGAAGAGATGATTTAGAAGGATTAGCTTATGTTCTTGTTTATTTAGCTAAAGGTTCTTTGCCTTGGATGAATCTTGTTTGTAACAATAAAAATGACAAATATGTTTTAATCAAAGAAAAAAAAATTAAAACCACTACTGAACAACTTTGTTCTGGACTTCCTGAAGAAATGACTTTATACTTAAGCTATGTTAAGAAACTTAAATTTGAAGATAAACCTGATTACAATTATTTGAGGAATCTATTTAAATAGGCATTATAAAGATAAAATTTATCTTTAGATTATATTTATGATTGGACTAAACCAGAAAAAAAAAGAATTGATAGTGATCAAATTGATGCCATCAAAAAACTTAAAGATGAAATTAATAATAAAGATGCAGATCCTAAATTTAAACAATTACCTCAATAATCTTAACATTTACCTCCTAAAGCTTAATCAATTATTGCACCTAAACCTTAACTTATTAATTCTCCTAAACCTATCCCTAAACCTTAATAATAATAAATTCGACCTTAATCTGCATAAAAACCTGTTGTTCAAAAAAAACCATTATTATAAACATAATAAAATAAAAAACCACCAGTTGAACCTAGAGTTGCGGCACCCAGAATTGTAATTAATAAAGAACCTTACACTAAATATTGATTTTTCGTATTTTTTGATGCTTTTTTTATTTCATCAAATGACTTTCATTTTATTTATAAATTTATTTATTTATTATCAATCATTCTATCTATTATCTATTTCTTAAATCAATTTCAATGCAAATGCAACGCTCTCAAATTAATTATTAGGTAACTCTATCAATTAATTTTTAAACTCTTTCTTGTAATATTTACGAAAGTTTTTCTCAAATTCAACTTACTTATCCTTTTAATATGATTTAATCTCCTTCAATAAATTTACAAAATCACTCTATATCTAATTTGCATAACTATTCTAATATTTCTATTAAAATTTTATCAAAATCTTCTATAAACATGTTTAATTTGCTTATTAATTTATTAACTCTTTAAATATCCTATAAATACTTGGTCTATAGTAATTTTTCTCTGTCCCTAAATTATCAGCATTCAATATTTGATTCTATATTTCCATCCAATTCTAAGTTCTCTTTTAATTTTATACAGAACTATATTATTCCTTAGAAACAACCACTTTTTACTTTTAGAAAATTGCTGATTACTACTTGTTCTCATAGATTTATTCATAATATAGGAACAATTTTTACAAAGTTTAACTTGATACTTTATAATATCTAAGTAATAATTCCATTAGAAATTTTAATTTCTTCATTCTAATATATAATGCTTATGGTTCTTTATTAATAATTAATTCATTGATTTCTAAACTCTCATATATCATATTTTCAAATTCATTTATTTCATCCACAATAGCTTCCTGTTATTCAGCCATAATAAGTATTTCCAATTCCCCAGCCTTATTTATAATTTAAGAAAAATCTTAATATTGTAGATTTTATCTTTTGGTTATACATGCCTTATCTTTTAACTATTGCAATTGTTCTTAATTAAAATTATTGCATGACCTTTTTGATAATTAATTCAAAGTTATTAGATCTGTCTTTAGGTACTTATAAAATTTAACAAATTTTAAATCTAAAGTACATTCCACATAGCCATAAAATAATAATTTTAATTAGCTCGAATGAATAGTATCAGCTATAAGATCAAAAATAAATGAATTTTATTTAAAATTTTCCTTTTAAAGAATAGTTTAGATCTAATTTTATATTTTTTTTTTCAAATTATTTTCTTTTGATTCTGATTTATCTGTAATTAAAAAGCAAGTTAATTATATCAAATCACATATATGATCTGGAAATTATTATTCTTATGATAATTATTACACATGTGTGCTTTACCTATCACAAAACAATTACAAAATTTCTTTATCTTCCTCTAATAGTTCATATTCAAATTAATCTCTTTATTTATTTCTTATTTCTTCAATTTCTAGAAAATGTTCTTTCATCTAAGGGTATATTGTTGAAATCTATAAACAATATGATGATATCTCTAAATTTTTACTTAATTATTGAATATGATTTACAAATTTTTATTGACTAAAAGCATTCTATTAAGTTTAATGAATTATATCTAATTTAAGTATTTCTTTAAAAGCAGCACTAAGTACTACAATATGTGGAAAAAGTTATTAAGCAATAATAATAGAGTCTTTTTTGACTAAATCCATAAATGTTTTCATGGTTGAATCCTTTTAAATGACTTAAAAATAAATTGTTTATGTTTCAAGTAGTTCTGGTGATGCAATTGTTAATTTATATTAATTTGCAAATCTCACTTCCTCTATATTGCCTAATAGTTTAAATAAAATTTATTTGCAATGTTAATCTTCAATTAAATCAATTATTGCTTATATTTAATTACATTATTCTAATCTAGCCAATTCAAACTCTTATTGTTGATTTTTGTTTGAAAACATTACATAAGCATTATAGATAGTCATTTTCATGTCTTAAACATTATTTTGTAAATATTCAACAGATTGTTATAATGAATTCTGTATACCAATTAATTATAAAGCTAAATATCTAGCTAATATGCTGCCAAATGATTCAAGTTATTAAGTTAAATGTTATTTTGGTGTTATTGGATTAAATCCCATAACTTATTCAGAAATAATAGTAGGCTAATCGCTCTCTTCTCCAAAACTATCAAAAAATACTTAAAGTTTACATAGCACTCTATTAAAGGATATTTGTTGTTGTTTGTTAATTTTCGGGTTATATCTAAATGAAAGAGAATTATTCTGAACTTTAATCTTATTACATTATTAAATAATTTTTATCAAATTAAATTATAAATTTAGAGCAACACTCATCATATTAATAATTATTTTTTCAATTCTATGTGAATTCCAGACTTATTATCTTGAGAGCTAGTTTTTATTTTATATGTAATTCCACAATATTAATCAATTATTTGTAAAGCAATTCTTACACATTTTTCAATACTTGCACTCAATCCATGAATTAAAACAGTTTAAATACTTTAATTATAATAGATTTCTACCCTTCTTCAAATAATTATATTATCCTTTTAATATATCGATTGATGTGAGCATCATGTTTTACAAATATTTCATTAAAAGCTGCTTTCTTGTGAATTTTCATATATTAAAAATAAAAAAAATAATTTAAAAGACATAATAAATTAAAATGATAATCCTTTTATGTCTTTCCATTTCTTTTTCATTCAAATATTTAATATAAATTATGAATAAAATAGAATATTAGTATTAATATTTAAATTACATAAATTCTATAGAATATTTTTTTTAATTACTTATTTTGTAAATCTTTCTAATAATTAAATTAATTTTTTGAGATTAATAAATAACTAAAAATCAAAATTTTATTCTATTCTTTAAATTCTTTTAATAGAATTATAAAATTCATTAAGTTTTTTTAATGAAAATTGAATATTAAACTTAAATAGATAGCATGAATTATTTAGATCAATATAAATAAAAGAGTTGTTATCTTGACCATGGTAAATTGAATGAGATTTGCAATAAAAATATGGAGACTTTATTATGGAGGATTATCATGAGCAAGATTACAATTTTTAAGCAAAATTATATATGAATTAAGTTTTGAGCTTTTTGATGCATCTCGATTAGGCTCTGTTCATGATAAACTTTCACATTTAGTTGGAATATATTGTACTTTAATTGGAGGACCAGTTCAATTATATATTAGTTGTTATCAGATATTAAAGAGGTTTTTAAGATAAATGTTTTAAATACTATTCAATAGATTTAGAGATATAATTACAATTGCAGTGAGCTTTTGGGATATGAATGTAAATTAATAAAATAAATTTGATGATTAGCTATATTTTGATAAATGATTCAGGTGAGACAATTTCTAATAATATTCTTTTGAAAAGTATATTTATTCTATATATATTTGGAAATTAAGATAATCCAATTTATTAAAAAAAAAATAATATTTTAATATAACATTAACTTAAATAGAATCAAATTTTGATTTAATAAATGATGATGTTTAAGGGGGCATTTTATTCAATCATTAAAATTTTTGAGGTAAAACTTTATTTAGAAAAAAATAAAGGCTACTAAAAAATTTATTGATTATTTTCCAATAGAAAATAAATTGATTCCTAAGTTACCTTGGATGAAAATTATGTAAAAGAATAAATAGTCTATGTTAAAAGGAAATTTGATGAAGAAATTAAAAAATAAATAGATTAAATTATGAAAGCTTAATAAATATTTTATCTATGATACTAATAAAATTTATTTATATATTTAAATTATCAATAATGATCTTATTTATTTCCTTAGTTAAAAATTAAACTAACAATTTTATTTAAAGAAATATTAATAGTATATATAAATATTATAGATTTTTATCTAAGTTAGATAAATATTGATTAGTATAGACAATAATTTAAAACTAGAAATAAACAGAAATATATTTATTAGTTAATTTGAAATAAATAAAGTAATTAAATGAAAACTAAAAGATCAATAATTTAAGAATAATAACCAGATCATGAATAGATTCGTAAATAGAATGAATAAAATTTACAACCAGCTGTATAAGTGTACAGAATGTATTCCCAATTACATACAGTAGCTTAAGCAGAATAAGTTGCTGACTCTCTATCATCAATAGATTTTATACAGAAATAGTGTGAAAAGAATATGAAGGTTCGAGAATTTGCAATGTATGCAGCATAGTTTTTTAAATATGAACATTACAATTTTGGTTAAATTATAATGAATTAAGGGGATTATGGAGATAGATTTTATTTGTTATTAAATGGTGAAGTTGGAGTTTATATGAAGAGATCAAATGAAGATATCTAAAATGATTTGGATTTTATAACTTAGTAAAATAGTGAAACCAATATTATTATAAATAATAATGTGTTGAAGAAAAAGAAAACAATAGTTTTGACTTAATTAAATAAATATGATCTAGCATTAAGAATGTTAGTAGATAATAATATGTATTTCAATAATGGAGTTCCTTAATTTAAAAAAGTATGGCAATATTATTCAGGTTAATGTTTTGGTGATTAAGCATTAATACATGATCAACCAAGATCAGCAAGTATTATAGTAGTATCAGAAGAGGCACATTTAATTTCAATGAACAAACATGATTATCGATTAGTGTGTGAGAAATAGATACAAGAATAGAATTCAAACATAGATTATTTTATGAAATTATTTAATGGTGCTAGTAAATTTACAGTGACAAAGTTTATTTAAAATTTAAGAACAATATAATTCTCAGCATAATAAATTTTATGGAAGGAAGGTGATGACCCTAAATTTTATTTTTTGATATTAAAAGGGAGAGTTTAATTGTATAGACATATTCCAGAAGAATAATTAAGTTAATTAACAACAAGAAAAAAGAAGAAAATAGTTTTAAGTTAATTATCAGATAATTCATTTGTTGGTTAAGAAGAAATAATAGAATCTGTTCCATATAGATTATATTCTTGTTAAGTATTGGATAATACAACTGCTTATTTTATGGAAGCAAGTGAATTTAATAATTTAAAGAAAAACTTTCCAGATATTGTAAAATTACTCAAAGACAAGAGTTCTTTAATATCTGAATATATGAATAATAGATAGAATAATATAATTTCTATACTAACATAACATGAAAATTAATAATAGGAGGAACCATAATTGATGATAACTGAAAGAAAAACTGTATAAGAGATATTTAAAGATCCACATGATAGACCAGATAAAAATGATATTCGTTCATAGAAACCTAGAATACTTCTACAAACTGAAATTGCTCATTAAAATATGTTATATCATTAAAAAAAATTACCAACTGATGCAAAAACTAAATTTTTAATGGTTGATACAAATCTTATAGAGTAGATTAGAGACAGAGTTTCTAGAAAAGTATGGACTGGAGCTGAAAAGAAATTAAGAGTTAAAACTACACATCTAGAAGATAATCAAATTTTAATTAGTAGAGTTTAAAGTGTTATTAGTACAAAACCAAAAAAAATGTAAAAGTTTGAATCTTTAGAAACTGTACTCTAAATTACATCATCAGAGCCTTATTTAACTTCTCCTACAATTGTTAATTCAACTACCAATACAATTCCTCTTATTTAAAGATCCTGGAATCCTTAGAATAGATAATTAAAAGCTAAATTAAGAAAGGCTTTCAGTGGAGCTAATACTCGAAATACTTTATAAACTAGATAAACTGAAAATGAAGATTTATTCGCTTAATTAACACCTCCTAAAAGAATTCACACTGCAAAATCTACTAATAGAAAAATGTAATATTATTTATTTATCTTATAAGTTGTTCTGCTTTTCGATCTCGTAAAAAGAGTGATCAACTTTTTGGTTATATTTGATTATTTATTTTAATTTCATGTTAAATTTTACAAATACTTGTAAAATCAACACAAAATTATTGTTGATTTCTTTCTAAAATTCAAACTTCTCTATTGTAAATTCATTTTATTATAACTCTTAGGATAACCAAAAATCTTAGTTTCCAACTAGCAAAACTATATAAAAATATAATTAAGGTCTTATCAGATCCCATTAAGTTAAAATTGCATTATCTATTAACACTATTTCTGAAATTTTATCAAAATACAAATCTTCCAAATTATAAACTTATCTATATACACTCATAACACATTCTAAAAGACTTACTTTTTTACAAAAAAATCAAAAAAAAAATTATTTGCATATTTCTAATCGAAGAATCAGAACAATTTTTAATTACTAAAATAATACTGAAACTTCTAAATTAAATCATAAAATCATGCTAAACCATAAAATTGCTTAGAGTTTTAAAATTATTAACAGAATAACATATAGTAAAATTTACTAGTTTAAGTTCAGTGCATTTTTTAGAATTTGTGCTTATTAGAAGTTCCAATATAGTTCAAAAGATCAATCCCCTCTCTAATTTTAAATTCGTAAGGTAAATTAACAAACAGAAGAAAAATTGGCAATAAAATTTGCCAGTACTACTTTAATAATTAATGCTATTAATTCCAAGGTTTTATTATAAAAACTTTAATTCTGTTTAATTTTGAATTTTATACATTAATCAAATTTTAGAAACATTTTGAGGGTAGATTAGTAAAAAATATAACTGAGTAATTTTTATAAAAACAACGAATATGAAGGTGTTGAGAGAAAGTTTAAATCAATATGTTTACTTAACTTAGTACTTAAGAAAAAATTAATGTAATATTTACTCATTTTGAAAATACATTCTAAAGATAATAAAAAGAGGAGAACAAGTCTTACATCTTCAATACTAGATTCAACATCAATAATTTTTGATAAACTTATTAAGAAAGGAGAGATGTATATTGAATTTTAATAATCAACTAATGACACAGAATTAAGCAAATCTGAAATTGATGATTTTAATATCTCAAAAAAATAGACTAATTGTTCACAAACATTTTAACAATTACCTTAAATCAATAGTAAAAAAACTATGAGTAAATTTTCTTTTATTATTTAGAATCCTCTTCTCAAAAATTATTGAAATCATCGAATAGAACTAAAAATTTAGAGTAATATTAATAGAAGGTTTCAATCATTTAAATTAAAACTATAATCGTATTAACTTTTGGAATTTTATTATTACTTATTGGTAAAGTGATTTAATGAAAATATTTATATAAAATAATATTTTTGATTATTTTATATCTTCTCTAAAAGTGGAATAAAATAAAAATATGGGTTGACGTAAATTTCGAGTATTATCAAGCATTTATGAAACATTCAAATTTAAATTTTTAGCAATTTTGATTATTTATAGAAAATTTGTAATTATTAAATTGAATCAAACCTGAATAAAGCACACGAGAAAATATATTAGTAATAATATCCTTCTCATTTAAGGATTTTTCCATAAAATAATACATATTTTAATTAAATTTAAATTAAAAAAGAGTTCAAACATATTAAGGGATATTATTTTCCGAAGAGTAAATTTGGAAAAGATTTAATTAAAGAGATTAAAATTAAAAATAGAATATGTTAGTAAAAATTCACCTAAAATTTGATAATTTATATTTTAAATAAAAGAGCGAAAGATTTTGCTATTGGAAGTTTTAATTATAAAAATTTTAGGACAATAAAATTCAAATTAAACTCCAAAACTTTAATAGAAAATTCCATAATTGGATTTAAGGAATGATAGAATAAAGTTCTATTTCTTTCTATAAATTTAATTGAATTTATACTTTAATTTCTTTTAAATATCTTTAATATTGTGTAATTAACATTCATTTGTAAGAATTAATTAATATAATTTAGGTCATCATTAAGGCTGAAAGGAGATTTAAAAAAAGAAGAAGTTTATAAATTTATAATTTTGATAATTGGATATTTTATAAATAGTTATTATTATGATTTTATAAGCAAACTTATTTTAAAATATATATTAATGAAATGAAATATCAATTTTAAATTAAAATTTGGAATAAAGAGAATAAAGAGAATAAGAGTTGTATTTGGATATTTGAGTTTATTAAATTTTGATATTGAAATGTTTTTATGTTCCATAAAATGATATCTGAATATAAAAGATAATGACGACTTATATTAGGTGAATTTAAAATTAATATACGATTACAAATAAATATAATGCAAATTCCTTAGATTCCACCTGAGTCTAGACCTAGTAAATTGACTAGAATCTCTAACTAAACATTTTATTCATTGGAAAATTGTGATGTTTTCAATAATCAAATTGAAAATACGGATTTGACGATGTAATAAGATTTATTACATTAAGGGATTAAATACCTATGTTATAATAAGTTTTTGAAGTACGATATTCATAACATAAAGAAAATCAAGTATAAAAATTTTATAACATGCCTTATTAAGAAAGAATGTATTTTATGATGGATAAGGATTCAGGCAGAATATTTGATATGCGTATACCTGAAGTAATAAATTTATTATATAATAAAGTAAGCAAAAGAAATATAAGCCATTTTAAATGGTAATACGATTAATTTAATTAAGGATTAGGCTTGGAATGAGTTTATGTATTAAAATCTAAGTATGTAGATTGTTGACAAAAAAAATGAATGAACATTTGTTAGATTATGCAGAATTAGGAGATGAGGAATCGATTAATACATTATTGATACCTACTAATGAATATTATATTAATATTGATACTAAGTAAGATTAAATGGTTATAATTATAAGAGGTTTAGATGATTGGACTGCATTACATTTTGCATCAAATGAAGGGAATTTAGAGATAATAAATATTTTATTAAAAAATGGAGCTACTGTGGATAGTTTAACTAAATTTTAAAGAACTCCTTTCTTTTTAACAGTAATATAGAATTTCATAGATTGTGCTAATGTTTTATTAGAACATAACGCAAATATTAATATTTAAGATAAGGATGGAAATACTCCATTGCATATAGCATCATAAATAGGATCAATTGAANTTTAATTTCTTTTAAATATCTTTAATATTGTGTAATTAACATTCATTTGTAAGAATTAATTAATATAATTTAGGTCATCATTAAGGCTGAAAGGAGATTTAAAAAAAGAAGAAGTTTATAAATTTATAATTTTGATAATTGGATATTTTATAAATAGTTATTATTATGATTTTATAAGCAAACTTATTTTAAAATATATATTAATGAAATGAAATATCAATTTTAAATTAAAATTTGGAATAAAGAGAATAAAGAGAATAAGAGTTGTATTTGGATATTTGAGTTTATTAAATTTTGATATTGAAATGTTTTTATGTTCCATAAAATGATATCTGAATATAAAAGATAATGACGACTTATATTAGGTGAATTTAAAATTAATATACGATTACAAATAAATATAATGCAAATTCCTTAGATTCCACCTGAGTCTAGACCTAGTAAATTGACTAGAATCTCTAACTAAACATTTTATTCATTGGAAAATTGTGATGTTTTCAATAATCAAATTGAAAATACGGATTTGACGATGTAATAAGATTTATTACATTAAGGGATTAAATACCTATGTTATAATAAGTTTTTGAAGTACGATATTCATAACATAAAGAAAATCAAGTATAAAAATTTTATAACATGCCTTATTAAGAAAGAATGTATTTTATGATGGATAAGGATTCAGGCAGAATATTTGATATGCGTATACCTGAAGTAATAAATTTATTATATAATAAAGTAAGCAAAAGAAATATAAGCCATTTTAAATGGTAATACGATTAATTTAATTAAGGATTAGGCTTGGAATGAGTTTATGTATTAAAATCTAAGTATGTAGATTGTTGACAAAAAAAATGAATGAACATTTGTTAGATTATGCAGAATTAGGAGATGAGGAATCGATTAATACATTATTGATACCTACTAATGAATATTATATTAATATTGATACTAAGTAAGATTAAATGGTTATAATTATAAGAGGTTTAGATGATTGGACTGCATTACATTTTGCATCAAATGAAGGGAATTTAGAGATAATAAATATTTTATTAAAAAATGGAGCTACTGTGGATAGTTTAACTAAATTTTAAAGAACTCCTTTCTTTTTAACAGTAATATAGAATTTCATAGATTGTGCTAATGTTTTATTAGAACATAACGCAAATATTAATATTTAAGATAAGGATGGAAATACTCCATTGCATATAGCATCATAAATAGGATCAATTGAAATGATATCATTTTTATTAGAAAAGAAGGCTGATCCAAATATTAGAAATATTTTCAATTAAAATTCTATGTAGATCTGTTGTGATGCTAATAGTTTACAAATATTTATAAAATATGGATATGTAAATCATGATGAAGTAATTGAATTTCATAAATTTCAAGAATTATGAGAGAACCATAATACCTGGAACCAATTTCCTTTTAAGAAATAGTAGATATGATCATGTGATGAAATTTATAGCAACAGATAAGTAATCAGAAGGATTATCTACGAATAATTGTAATTAAGGAATAAATAATAATAATAATAATAATAATAATAATAATAATAATAATAATAATAATAATAATAATAATAATAATAATAATAATAATAATAATAATAATAATAATAATAATAATAATAATAATAATAATAATAATAATAATAATAATAATAATAATAATAATAATAATAATAATAATAATAATAATAATAATAATAATAATAATAATAATAATAATAATAATAATAATAATAATAATAATAATAATAATAATAATAATAATAATAATAATAATAATAATAATAATAATAATAATAATAATAATAATAATAATAATAATAATAATAATAATAATAATAATAATAATAATAATAATAATAATAATAATAATAATAATAATAATAATAATAATAATAATAATAATAATAATAATAATAATAATAATAATAATAATAATAATAATAATAATAATAATAATAATAATAATAATAATAATAATAATAATAATAATAATAATAATAATAATAATAATAATAATAATAATAATAATAATAATAATAATAATAATAATAATAATAATAATAATAATAATAATAATAATAATAATAATAATAATAATAATAATAATAATAATAATAATAATAATAATAATAATAATAATAATAATAATAATAATAATAATAATAATAATAATAATAATAATAATAATAATAATAATAATAATAATAATAATAATAATAATAATAATAATAATAATAATAATAATACTACACCTGTTAAGAAAATATCGAAATTTTAAAATTTAGCTAAATTCTTAAATGTTAATCTATTAAAACATAAGATGACACCTAATATGTTTAATTTTTATTAACTTTTGGGTAAAGGATCATTTGGAGAAGTGTATTTAGTAGATAGAATAGGATAAGAAAATAAAAAATTATTTGCAATGAAAATATTAAAAAAAGAAAGAATGATGTCATAGAATTTATTGAAATATGCAGAAACAGAGAAAGAAGTACTTAGTGTAATGCATCATCCATTCATAGTAAAATTAAATTATGCATTTTAAACAGAATCTAAATTATTTTTAGTAATGGATTTTTGTCCAGGAGGAGATTTATCAAAATTGCTTGATGTAAAAAGAAAATTATCAGAAGAAGATGCTAAAATATATGTTGCAGAAATATTATTAGCAATAGAATGCTTACATAAAAATAATATTATATTTAGAGATTTAAAACCAGAAAATATAGTTTTAGATTCAGAAGGTCATGCTTTATTAACAGATTTTGGATTATCAAAAAAAGGAGTTACAGATGAAGAATTAAGTAAATCATTTTGTGGTTCACCTGCATATTTACCACCTGAAATATTATCAAAATAAGGTCATAATAGAATGGCTGATTGGTATGGATTAGGTGTGATGACTTATGAACTTTTAGTAGGTATACCTCCTTATTATGCTAATGAAAGAGAATAATTATTTGAAAATATTAGAAAAGGACCATTAAAAATACCTAGAAGTTTATCTAATGAAGCAAAATAATTTATAGTAGCTGTAAATAACTTATTATTATTATTATAGCTTTTAAATAGAGATCCAAATAAAAGATTAGGTTCTAATTCAGATGGAGAAGAAATAAGAGAACATCCTTGGTTAGCTAATATTAATTGGAAAGATTGTTATGATAGAAAATTAACACCATCAAAACCAGCAGAATAAACATTTAATAACCTTCCTTTGAGAATTAATTTTATGGATACTCAAGATGGTAAAAATAAAATTACAGGATGGTCATTCTATGAACAATCATGAAAAATTATTATCATAAAATCTCTTATTCCTATTTTCTATCAATTCTTCTATTATTATCTATTCCATGTTTTATCTATACTCTAAATTATTCATTTCCTGATTTCTCATCAATTATTATATTAAAGGTTGATAATATTATCAATTATTATATTATTGTTAAGATTCATGATTATTTTCTTTAAAGTATATTAAACACTATTTTATAAATCTATCCATGAGGATTTTGATTTAATAAAATATTTTTATTTCCTTTATGTAATCAATTTACTAAAAATAAATAATAAATAGAATAACGACAAAAATAATTTTAAAAATATATTAAACAAAATGATCTGTATATAAAATTAATTTTATAAAATGAATCATAAATTTTTATTTATTAAATCAACAATTTGCCTAAATTCACTATTAGGTAGTTTTAGGAGATTATTTGGATTATCAAATTCGATAATTTACCCTGCACTTAAAACAACAATTTTATCAGATTCCATAATAGTTGAAACTTTGTGAGCAATAGTAATCATAGTTTAATTTTTAAAATGAAGTTTAAAAATCTAAAATAATAAAGTAATTTACATTTTTGATTAATTCTTCAGTAGGATTGTCTATATTAGCAGTAGCCTCATCAACCAATATGATTTAACGATTCTCAATCATACATCTTGCAATTGTAATGAGTTATTTTTCTCCTAAACTAAGATTGCAACCGTTTTATGAAATTTATGTATTTAATTTATAATCTTAGAAAGATTTCATAGAATATAGTTAACAAGTTAAACAAACTTTTTCCAATAATGAAATATCGGCAAATCCATAAGGATCAAGATTTTCTTTTAAGGTTCCCTTATATATCAATGCTTCTTAAGGTATTACACTAAATTTTAATCTTAATTCTTATAAAATGTAATCATTAAGATCAGTTTAATCAATATATACATTACCATTTGTTTAATGAATCATTCTCAACAATGCCATTATTATTGAACTTTTACCTGCACCTGTTCTACCTACTATTCCAATTTTTTAACCAGATTAAATTTATAAAGTAATATTAGATAATACATCTTTCTAATTATTAGGGTATTGAAATGATGCATTAGATAGAGTAATTGTTCCAGTACTTTTGGTATTACTTCTAATACCATTTTGATAATCATCATATTCAATGTCATTAGATAAATGTAAGCATCTTTCAAATGATATTGAATACATTAATAAATTACCATAACTCACAGCTACTGAGACTAATAATTATGATACATTAGACATCTAAATAACAATTAAATAAGTCATAGCTGGATTTTCATTTGGAAAGAGAAGACATACTATAAATAAGATAGTTTAAAATATATTTGTTATAATACTAGAAGTCTAAGAAAACCATTATTGAAGTCCTGCTAAATACATTTAATTTCCTAAATCTAAATCAACATAATTCTGAAGATTTTAAATTACAAGTTTCTTAGGTAAACATGATCGAACAAATAAAAGTCCTCTTACTATTTATTGATAATATGCAAATACAGGACTCTTTGAAACTGATTCAATACGAGTCATTTCTGTTAAACATTTGTAATAGGATATTGTAAAAATAAGGAGTGTTATTACAAAAATCAAGACTATTGGGTATGCTATGTAATTTAAAAATATTAAGCTTGTAATTAGTGGCATTATTAAATTTGTAAATTATATGCTTAGATTATATATTTAATTTGGGAATAACATATCTATATTGTAAATATCTTTACTTAATCTATTCATAAGTCTACCTATTAAAATTTAATTATAGAATTAAGTAAACGAAGCTTTCATTAAAGAAGCAAAGATATTTTTATGAATAATAGAGCTAGTTTTTATCCCAATCAATAAGAAATAACCAGTTATAGAGATAATTGCAATATATATTGGGATATTAAAGATTGGAAAATTCTTTAAAGCAACCATTCTAAATTCATCTGCCTCTAATTAAGGATTCGATAAAATTTTGCTTGATAGAGTTGATAATATCATCAGTATGCTAAAATAAGTAACAATAGCTAATATTGCCCAAATACCTCCTTAAAATTTAAAAATAGTTTTTATAACTTTTTTATCTAGATTACCAACTCTTTAATCTTCATTGATTAAAGTGAATGAAGCTTTTGATGAAAGTTCTTTATCTAAAAAATGATTGTTTTCAAATTCTATATCAATCAAATTTAATTTTTCTTCCTCAATTTTTAATTAATGATTGTATGGTATTAATCTATCATTTTATAACAAATAGACTTAATCAACTCCTTATAAATTTGTTAATTAATTTGTAAATAATATTCTTGTTTTACCATTTAGGAATTTTAGGAAGCATTCTTTATATATATGGCATTTAACTTTAATATCCAAAGCACTTAAAGGATCATCAAACAAATATATATCTGCTTCTTTATAAATAGCTCTGGCTAAATTGATTCTTTTTTATTAACCTCCTGACAAGTTATCCCCTTTTTCACTTAATTGAGTGAAATCCTTATTAATAAATTAACTTATATCTTCTTCCAATGCACATGCATGAATTACTTTTTTATATCTTATTTCATCAAATTTATTCATATAAATTATATTATTCTTTATTGTATCACTCAGAATCCATGGTTCTTACATTGCTAAACTAATTCTTCCATTAATAATAATTTACCCAGATACACAATTAGTTTCGTTTAAGATTGACTTTAGAATTGTAGATTTACCTGATGCAGAACTAAATCAAAATGAATAATAAATACTTTCCTACAATAACAATATATTAACCTTTGGTAACATTTAATTTTAAATTGAATTAAGAATTTTGTTTCAGATATTAGTTTTCATCAATCTATTTCCAATCAAATATTCCATCTATTTTAATATCATGAATTTTGTCATCATCACTATTCCATTAAGAAATTTAATTTTCTCTTAGAAATTATGTTATTCTAGTGATAGAGTTTATTGAAGCATAATAATTTTTTAATTAATTAGGAAACGCTTACAAAAGATACATCAATTAACTTGAATTTTACATTATGACAGTTGTAATTGCAAAAGTAATAAAATCAGCAAAATAGAAAGTACATTCCCAAGTAGCAAAACTTAAAATATTTTACATAAATTAAATAAAAATTAAGAGAAGTACTTATTACTTTAAAAATTTTAATTCTTTAGCTCTTAATTGTTCAATCCTCTTTTCGAAATATTATTCATAACAATTGAATTTGATTTATTTGATTTATAATAATGCTTCATCTACTCCACTCATTCTTTCATCTTTGGCATGCATAAATTTATTTTGAATTATTCCAAAATAATAACCAAAAGCTACTCCAAAAGTTGCTTAAATTAAAACACCTATTGCAGGAGGCAAACTATTGTCTTTAACAGTTATGTAAAAAATAAAAAATGCTCCCAAAAGTTAATATGGTACTAAATAAACTTGAAATTTGTTGATGAAATAGTTAGATGATTATAAAACATCAACTTAAAGCATATTAATTAAATCACCAGGATTGTACTTTGATGAACGTTATAATGGAAATTTTAGTGTATGATCCATCAATTTAATTTGTAATGCTCCTTAAACTTTAATTGAAACTAGAGACTACAAAAATTGTTATATTGGTTAAAATATTGAAAGAATAATATAATAAAGCAATTGCAGAAAAGCAAAAACAAGGATATTTTTTGTGGTGTAGATTCTATTTGGATCAACAAAATAACTTTAGGCTTTGCTCATCATAAAAGGTAATATTAATTATAGTGTGCAAGTAAATAAATATAATAAGCAATTAAGGATGATGTGAACTAGAATATTAAACAATATTTACATCTGAAGGAAATCCATAATGATTATCTTAGATCTGAATTAAGTTCATAAGATTTAATAAATGTTTTATAGCTAGTTTGTGATGAGTATTCTTTAAGAACTTTAGGAATTTATTTTTGAGAGAGAGGTTATTTTGATCCTTGCTAAAATTTATTTAATATTGGATGAATACTTTAAATATATTGTATATCCATATAAATAAATAGGTTCGTAAGGTTCCTATTCTTTAGGTGGATGTATTGATTCGAAGCAAGCTCTCTTCTTATAAAGTTTAATTATCAACTTTATTCATATAAATATATTTATTTAATATGGATTTAAATATATATTAGTTTATATAAATACTCTATTCCACATGATCTATAATTTTTTAAAAATAAAAATGTATTGTAAAATATAATATTGAATTGATTGAATAATAAATTGGTTGGAGCAAATTGGAATTAATAAATAAATGAATTATAATATAGATTTTTGTACATCAAATTATACTTAATTTTTCACCATAAGGGTAGCACATATCACTTAGATAGGATGGAACAGTAGCAGTTGGTTCAGATTTAGAAATAGCCAAAATATCTTCAGAATTAAAACCAACTGTCTTTTTTAAACATTAAAGATTCTAATATAAATATAAGAAACTTACTTTTTTATCAAGGGCAGATAAATTGGGATGAGTTAAGATCATTCTTAAAAGTTATCTTAGATAAGTAACAGGATGGAATTGTAAAATATAGTACCTTTCAACTAATAGATTTACTACATCATGTAATTATTATTAAGTTGTGTTTTCATATGTGCATTTAAATATATTATTCCATAATTCTTAATTATTTTAATCCAAAAGTGATAGATCAAATTTTTCAGCAGATTTAGCATGTATCCAACTATAAATATTTTACAATGGATAATCAGTTTGATTCATTGAATCAACATGTTGATCTGAGACTTTGCCTATTTATAACATTTCTTTAAGATCTTTCAATTCTTCATCATTTAATTTAGATTCTTGAATCCAAATTAATTTTTCTTATTATTGCAAGTATAATTAATTGTCTCTTTTTCTAAAATTATATTATATTCCTTATTTCTTGTAATATTTGTTTTTTAAAATATCTAAGAATAATTGATCATCAAACAATTGACTCAATTATAGAAAGAGATCGCTTGCACTAAATTTATGGAACTGTTTGAAATCTGAATGAATTAGGTCATTGAATTACAAATCCTAAATTTTTAGTTGAGTCACTTAAACATTTGGTTCGTAAAGACTCAAAGAATCTAAAAATTATAATTCCCTATTGCTTAGTTAATTGCCTTCCATTTATTTGAACATCAGATAATAAGTAATCAATTTTTCTTCAGCTCTAGATCTCTTTCTTGTAACAAATTGATCGATTCCATATAATAAATCAACATCAAGATGTTTGTCAGGTGTTTACTAAACTTCTAATTTCTCTATGTCAGTCTCATTAAATAGAATATCTATATAATTGGTCTTTTATTTATAATAAGGAGAAGCATGTTTTCTTCTTAGCTCACCTTTTATTTCTTGAATCTTATCAGACACAATAAAATTGATTTTATGTACTATCTTTCTAGCTTATAATTTATTAATCTCATTATTCTTAATGTCTTCTTATAATTTCATGAGCAATTCTTTTCTCATTTTGATTAAATCATCCAAAGTTTTATTAACTTCTAATTTTTATCTTAAATATTGGGATGACAAAAACGGATTGTATGCTTTGATTTGTTCATGTAATAACATTTCTGGATCTCTTTACAAGAAGATACCTGCAGGTTTTGTGAATTTTTTTGAAGATAATCGTTCTTCAATTAATTGATCCCAAATCTTGAAATTGAATACGAAATCAACAATTTCTGGTAAGGGTTTAGTTTTTAATTCAGCATTTAAATTCAATAGATTAGCAATGAATAAATCGCTTGAGTCAGGATTATAATCTTTTTAATCTTTTTATAAGAAACGATATAGTTGATTAAGTTATTCAATTTCTTAATCTGATTTTTTGATTGAATGTTTTTTCCAAGCAAGTGAATAAGATTAAACTACAACTTATTTTCTTAATTTATCAGAGTGAGGAATAGGTATTAGATCAGAGATAAACCCATTTAATTCTAATTTTTTAAATAAATCTTAATCAGGACAATAGGTAGGATCATAAATTTTATTACTAATCAAGCTAGCCTTAAACCCTTCTATTGATGAATTAGGATTATATATTGATTAAGATGGAATCATGCCATACCATTTAGGGAAATTAATAGGTTGTACCTTGATTTGATCAATTAAATCTTAGAATAGATGGGATTGATTTACAATTTTTAATCTTTCCTACAAATCCAATAATGTATGTTTTAATTTCAATTTGTTTAAGTTATCATTCTTATTTAAATAATTGAGTGCTTATTTTTTTAAGTACTCCCATTAAACATTAAATATTGTTTATGAATTAAGTTCTTAAGTATTTGAGTTATCTATAGAAATACTATCTAATCTATCTTTGATTTAATTAAATAAAATGATATCAGAATTATCTAGATTGAATGCTAATTGTAATTTTTATTTAAATTGTTCTTTGTCTTTACCTAAGAAATCATATAAAGTCATGTAAGGAGAAGATCCAACCCTTAATTGAGCATATCCATTTATTTCATTGTTGACACTGAGATCATAGATTTCAATAAGTTAAACTGAATTAGGTAAGGTATCTTTGATTGCTTTGTATAATTCACTATGATAGATATCTTTTTCTTCGTAAATTAGTTTTTAACCTGAATGTTTTTCTAATACATCTATTCTTTCTTATTATTTATGTGTTAGATCTCTAATTGTATTAAGATTTTAGACTCTAAACTTAAGTTCTTGAATGAATGAAACATAATTTTAATTTTGGAGTGCTATATATGTTGCATATGCAATGAGTTCATCTAATGAAAGTATAGTTAAATTATCAGGTAATGGGAATTGTCTATCAACTTTATTGAGTTATAAATGAAGATGCAATGAATCAATAGAATTAAGAAGATCTTCATCTGTAACTTAAGTTAAATATTCTTTGCTTTCAGTATTGAGACCAGCATTAGCAAAAGCTTTAGCTAATTTATATTTATCTGAATGAACTAATTTAGGTTAAGCTTCTTTTAATCTTTATGCAATCTCATGTCCTTTAAATTCAGAGAGAGCTAACATTAGATTTCCAAAATCTGATAATTTTGGTTCAATAGTTTTTGTTCCCTCTTTATGAATAAATTATAATTCCAACACAGATTAAATAAATGCCAGAAAATCAGGATCTTTTCCTGCAATATAAGTAAGTGCAGTTTCTAATGATAATGATATATCTTCTTTTTCAATTTCAGCAGGATGTAATAGGCCTGCAGAAACTAATGCTTCTTCTAATTCTATCATTTTAATATTTGTATTGATATGAATAAAATCTTATTTTTGTATTTCTAATAATTTGATATAAATTCTTCTAATTTCAACAACTGCTTCTAAAACAGTGTAAATATCTGTTTATGTATCTTCAATCATCTTTTCAACTTAATAAACAAGATTATTAACAGGGACTTCTGGTTATTCTTCAAATATATCTACTAAGAATGCTTCAATTAATTATCTTTCTTCTGAATTTAATTCTTTAGACTCTAATTAATCAAATACTTTATCAACAATTTAATTACTATGATTAGTATTTACACCTGTTAAAGCTAATCCATGAATTGCTTATGCTAATACTCTATAATCATTTAATTTTAATAAATCTCTCATAAGTACATCAAAACCCATAGATGTTTCAATATTTTTATGATCAAAGTATGAAATATCTCCTCTTGCTTTTAAAGCGTGTCCCAATTATATAAATGTTTATCCAACAATATCTTCATTTGAATATTCTCTTTTCTATAGGAATGCAGCCAAAATAGTCTTTGCAGGCACATTTGAAGTAAAGAAAGCGTGATTTTACATGTTAAAGGCTGCTTAAGTATTTTAATCAATTTGTTTTTACAATTAGATAGCTAATGAATATTGATGAATTAGAGATACCTTTATTTAGAGCCTTTTTAAATTATTCAAGTTGTGTTTTGAATATTTATTTGCATTTAAAATATTCATACTCTTCGCTAATTCTAAAGAGAGATCTCTATAAATATTTAATCATAATTAAAAAGATTTTAATATTTTATATTCATTTCTTCTTCTTAGTTAATGCTGCAGCCATTTCTTACAATTTGGATTCAATTTCAACTTATCTATCTTTTAATCTAGTTTCTAATTCTTATTAAGCAATATTCAATTTATCTTAAATAGCATTCATAATAACAGATTCTAATAATTCTTCATCAGTAGGTTCATGATATTCTACTTCTTATTCTTCCATTTCTGTTTTCTTGAATGATTAAGTATCATCATTAACAATAGGTTTATAGTATGTATGATCTTCAAGAGATGGTTATGGTAATGGCAATTCTATTTGTAAATCCACCTAAATTTCTAAGGGTCTCTAATTATGTGAATGTGCTTGATGTAACAACAACCAATGAGATAAATAACCTTAATTACTATTCTTTCTATTTACCCTTCTCCATATAATCAATTATCGGTTACAATTATTTTGCTACAAATACTTTCTGACTTCCCTATCCTTCACTACTATGTTAACATAATAACTATTGAAATAGTTTCCTATCTCCCTATTATGATTTCCCTCTTGTCAATCCTCCCTCTACTAACTTTCCAAACTTCTCATGTTAGTTTATGTAAACTAAAAACATCATATTTATGAATATCAATGCTTAGTCTCCCATAAACCCTAAATCTTAGCATGCACTAAAATCATTTATCAACTATTCCCCTGCTATCTCAATATCAATGTCTCTCAATCTCTCACAATGATTCCTTTCCAAAATCTATATACTCCTTATATCATTCTACCTTGCATAAATACTCCTTTATCTGTATACTCCAATCCTCCTATTTAAATGCTTCATTTATTATATATTCACTTATTGGTAATAACATACTTCATATTATTTATCAACTCTTACTTTGTCGAATATCTACCACATCCATACTTTCTCTCCTCCTCTTATCTTAACTATTCTTCTATATGTCTTCTTCTCTCTTCCTCTGCTAATCTAGCTGCTTCCTCTTCTTTCTTATTCTTAGGAGGCATTTTAATAATATAATTTATGAATCAATCAAATCAATGTCCTACACACAAAGAAAGTTTTGTGGGCTATAATATTGAAAATTCTGATATTGTCAGACCAATCTGTTCACGTTGCATTCCTTCACTCAGTAAAGGATATTTTGGAGAATAACGATATCTTAATTTTGAATAAGCCACACTATTACTAGATTAACTTAAATCAGCTGGATTAAAATAATACAAATCAGAAATACTTGAATAATTTGAATAAACCATTAATCAATTAACTTCATAGTTGAAATTCTTATTAGATTAAATTTCTGTTGTTTTTGATTTAATTATTCAATCAGATCCACAATAAGAATTTTTAGATTCAAAAGATCCTAAATTTATTGCTCAAGTATTACATGATAATTGCTAATATGATATCCACTAATAAAAATATAAAATAAAATCATAAAATGCTATTCACATTAGATTCAATAAAATTATTTCTAAATCTTAAAATCATATGAATGATTTTTTTGAAAGTATTAATTCTTAGATTAATTCTCTGAAAAAAGAAGAAATAGAACTATCCCAATCAACGAGTAATCACAACAATAATCACAAAAGTTATAGAGAACTATTTAAACTCAATACAAAAATACTACAAGTTAAATCTCTTGTCTATTATGATAAATTTAAATGGTTATTCTCTGCAGATTAAGATATCAAAATATTACAATTTGATCTTAAAACTAAATAATTAATTCAAGAGTTATCTGCTCATTCAGATAGAATATCAACACTTCTTATTGTGAATGATACATTAATCTCTACTGCTATTGATAAATCATTAGTCATTTGGAATCTTGATAATGCTGGAAAAGTTGAAATAAAAACTAAAATTAATACTAAATCTATGATTCTTTAATTAATTAGATACAAAGATTAATTTGCCTCTATCAATGATGATAAAGTTTTGGCATTTTGGAATGATACAAAGTGTATAAGTGAATTAAAGAATAAAATTGAAATTACAAGTATAGATTGTAATCATGATTATTCTTAAATTGCCATAGGTTAAATAGATGGTATCATTAGAATTAGAAAAGAAAAAATTAACTTTAAATTAGAAAGCCATTTCGATTGCATCAAAGCACTCAAATTTATTAATGAATCTTATTTAGTTTCAGGAGGATGGGATAAATAAATTAAAATATGGATGGAATTAAAAAATGGAGATTATAATTGTATTTAAACTATTTATGATCATAACTCTTATATTAATTTTATTTAATATGTAGGAGGATATCTTATATCTACTGATGATGATAAGATTATAAAAATATGGTAATTTGATAAAACATGGAAAGAATTAACTTAAATAGGCCGATATCCTTTAGTGACATCTATTCATATTTACTAAAGGATTTGTTTCTTGGGATTCAATGATTCATCAATTTAGATACTTTAGTTTAATTGATTATTGATTATACATAAATCTGGTATTTCAAATTTGGTAATTAGATATAAGGCATGTTTTTGTAAACTTATAATATAATCTCAATTAATTTTGACTCATTAATTGTAAATTCTAGATTGAGTTTTTTAATCTAATAGAAATTATAATAGAATTTTTCAAGCTTTATGACTCTAAGCATTTTATTTTTAAACATTTTTGATAACCCTTAAAACAATTTTAATTGATCTAAATTTATGTTTATATGATTTTTTTTAGAATTATCTTATTATGATTTTTGAAATTGTTAAATGCAAAATAGAAATTTTATTGAATAACAATCTTTTTTAATAGAAAAAAAAAGCAAATTATTACCTATTTATCCAAACATAAATTAGATAATTATTAATTTATACATTTTAATAACTAATGGATTATTAAACAATTACCTAATTTCCTTCCATAAGAGCTCTAATTGTGGATCCTACAAGCATAAATTAAAATTTATTTTGCTTAATATGCTAAGAATTAGTTGTTGATCCAAAAGAGTGTAGTTAATGTTAAAATCTTTTTTGTTCTGAGTGCATAACATCTTGGTTATAAAGGGGAAGTAAAAATTTAAATGAATTCTAGAAACATGCCCATATAATTGTAGCAATCAAATGTAATTGAAGAATCCTCATCGCATAGTCAGAGAGGCTATCTCTTAAATATAAATTAGATGCTAAAATTAAGGATGTGATGAAAAAATGTTGCTATAAAATTTAGATTCTCACCTATTGTAATGTTAATATGTAATAACTAAATGCCCTTTTATTGATTGCAATTTTATGAATCATTTAAAATAAATTAAGATCCACTAATAAACATGTTAACACAGAACTGAGACTTGTATGAAATGTGAAACAGTTCATGGGATAAATTAATAACATGATTGTGTAGAAAGATTATGCAATAAATTGAAATAATAAGAATAGAATTTTCTGGCTTATTAACAAAAGACAGATTAAGCAATAAAGGATTTAACAACAAGAATAATTTAATTAGAAAATTTATAAAAAAGATTGAATAAACCAAAATGTTATAAGGGACATGAACTATTATGGATATATCCTAAAAAAGGAATTTAATGTGAATCCTGTAAATAAACAGATGATAATGTGAGATATATTTGTGAACCATGTCAAATTGGATATTGTTAGAAATGTAAAATCCCAGAATTTAAGGGTGATTATTGTCCTGCTAATCATCAAATGTAATTCAATCAAAAGGTACTTTTATTTTCTAATTATTAAAGCCTTCCAAAGGTTTAAAATGCGATTTCTGTAGAACAAATATTTATAATAAGGGAGATACTGCGTATAGTGACAGATAATGTAATTTCGATATTTGTAATACTTGTTTCCTAAAATTCAGGTGAATTAAATGAATTATGAAATAATAGCAATATACAAAAATACAAACGATTAACAATAAATCTTTTGATAATTTAATTCTAGAATCACTTATGATTATCATCTGATTTAAAAAGACTCTATTCTTAAAGTAGTCTTAGTTCAACTAAAAAACATTTAAGCATTAAAGAATTAAACAAAAAATTTGCTAATACTAATTAAATCTATAAATTGCTTGAATTTTAGGTAATAGTGACAAAATTTCAACACATAAGTTCTTTGGTTATTAAAACTTGAGTGTTTTTGTTTTACAATAATTGTTAATTAGAGCATTCAGAATTTAAATATTATTCTCTGTGAACTATTAATATAATTTTTAATTTTATTTAGATATTAATTTTTAGTTAATTAAATAACAAATTAAATAAAGTTTTGGAAAAAATTTGGAAACTTATGAATTCTCATAAATAATTGTGAAGATTATAAAAATAATATTATCTAATTGGATCATCTATGATGAGAAGAAAAAATGACAATTCTTAAAATTAATCTTAATGATAAAATAATTTAAATAAATTAAATTTAATAATGAGTTTTTTAAGATAAGAATTAAATCAAATTTAATATTTTCTGAGTTGTATTTATAAATCTTGAATTTATTTCTAATAGTTCATTTGCATTCTTTTCATTTATTCTTATAATGATTAAATTTGTTAGGAATACAATCTGATGGTTCTGTTCAAATTTACTATCTAATTAGTTTATAAGTAATTTTACGCTGCGCGCTTCTTCTTATTCAAAATCACTAGTCTATTATTCCCTAGATATTTAAACTTTGGTTTCTTTTTCTTTTTCAAGATTTTCCAATCTTTATCCCATCTTCTCAAACTTTTTTTAGTAATGATGATCTAGCAATGTAATTTTTGAATCTCCTAACTATTTTTATTATTTATCGACTGTATTTTCAATATGAGAAGGTCGACCACTAAAAAGCAACTTTTCATATTATTGGTCTCTAATGACACAATTCTATACTTTTCTCTCAATAGAATCAAGTAATTAATGAGTTTGTTACATACTTTTAGAATAAATTTTAATAAAAATAATTAATTAGAGTTAATTTTGAGTAAATAATTTATATAAAATATTTATTGGAATATCGATAATAATAGTCATTTCTTTTTTTTACCTGGCTTCTTTTTACCTTTTTCATCATCTGCAGGTTTCTTTAGTTTATCGATTCTTGCTTTATTTCCAGATAGATCATCATGCAATTTACGAAATTCTTAATATTATTATAAGAATGTATTTTATTGAACAGCTAAAGGATCAACAAATTCGCTTATTCGATATGGTATTTCAACAGACAATACAATTCTTCTCTCTGTTAGTATTTTTTTGAGAGCCTCTTTGATCTAAAAGTATATTAAATTATTTTACATTCCCTGCAGTAAATCCTTCTGTAGCATGAGCCAAAGAGCTTAAAGGGAAATTAGGATGAAGTTATATCTTTCTTTCTTCAAAAAACTTTTGGAAAATCATAATTCTGGTAGCATAATTTGGACATGGGAAATAGACTCTTCTTTTAAAAAAAGATTTTAATTGTTTTTTGTTAGCATTCCAAGGAGCATAACTACAACCAATAATAGTAACATTTTCTTTCTGTTTTTCAGTAAAATATTTTCCATATTTAAGTAGATATTTTCTTAACTTAACCCAATTCATTCCTCCAGCAGATGATGGTTATTATTCACCTTTCTTTTTCTTTTTTTTACCTTTAAATATACGTTCAATTTCATCAATATAAATAATAGCAGGTTAAAAACAGGCAGCAGTTTTAAATGCTAAAGATAATAAATAATCAGGTTTATCTTAATATTTATTTTCTATATTAGAAGGCGATAAATCAAGAATGAGAGCATCACATTCAGTTTATAATGCTCTAACAGCATGTGTTTTACCAGAACCATGAGGACCATAGAATAAAACATAATTACTTTCTTTAACATTATCCTTAATATAAGTAGATCCTAAAGGCATTCCAATAAATTAAACTAAAACCTATCTTAAATCATATATTGATGGATCAGCAACTTATTCTTATAATAATTCTTATTTTTATCTTAAAGGATTACAATTACCAATAAGATCTGAAATTTTAGCAGGTTCTAATTTTTTAGCAATACCTGATTCAATTAATTCAGCTAACATATCTCTTGGATCTTTTTTAGCAGTTCCTTTGTCTCCTGGAAATTTCTTTTTTTTCTTTTTAGCAACACTTCTAAAACCAAAATTAATTTCTCCTTCTTCTAATAGATCATCATCTTCTGATTTTTAAACTGATTATGCTTTCTTTTTTTTTGATTTCTTTTTTTTAGGATATTTCATTTTCTTAGCTTTTAATGCAATTCTTAAATTGATTAATTCCATATCAATCATTTCATCTACAACTTCTCTAATCTATTTTTCAACTCCTCTAGCTATTTCTCCTTTTAATAGTGAACTTTCATGCTTCTAATAAGGATTAAGTTAATCATTTCTCCATTCATCATTATGTTTTTCTATTAAATCTTACATTTTTATTATTGCTTCAGTAGGTCCTTATTCAACTCTTATATCTTCATCTTCTTGCTTCTTCTTTTTCTTCTTTTTACCTTTATTCTTTTTAGCAGCTTTCTTTTCCTTATCCAATAAATCCATCATCTCTTATTCCTCTTCTGTTAATGGTAATCTCACTAAATCTTTTTTATAAAATTAAGCAACTTTTGGTGGTACTAATTTACCTTCTGCTTTCTATACTTCACTCATATACCATCTTCTTCTTTCAGCCAACATTTAATTTTAGATATCATCTTACCAATCATTCATTAAATTTTCTCTTGCTTCAACCAAAGCTGTCTTATATTCTTATTATCTTTCTAATTATTTTTCTTTCATTTTTTATCTCTAAGCATGATATGTTTTATATGCATCTGTTTCTTATATTTATTTTTCCAAAGTAAATCCTAAAAATAGTGATTCCTACTCTCTCAACTCCCAACAGATCTCTCTTGCTTTAAATCCTCTATAATATTTTTAAATCACAGTTATAGCTTCCTCTCTTTCTGTAGAATCATGCACTTCCAATCCTTCCTGTAATTTCTTTTATTTCTCCTATTTCTTTAATTCTACTTTCTTCAATTGTTTTGCCAATAATACTCTCTCTATACCTTATCTTCCTCTCTCATTTTTTTATATAAACCATATTGCTTATTCAATATTTTCTAAAACTGCCTTGTCTACTAATACTTCTTCCTCTGGTTATGTAGTGTCATGAAATTCATTTAGAAAATGATTAAGCATTTATTTACGATAAGCTATTTTTCTATTTTACTCATCTGAGAAATAATGAGGCAAAGAAACTTCTGTATCTTCTATAAGTCTCTTCTCATCAAATATTACTGTATGTAAATTTACAAAATCTGATCTTATTACATTTCCTTATGTTGAATAAAATATCATTGCCTAAAATATTTTAAAAATCATTTATGTACCTGTTTAATTTGAATTTATCTTAACATTGTGTTTTCGAGCATCTTCTTTAATAACCTTCTTTTTTATGGATGCAACAATTAATCATAACAAGTTTCTAATGATTTATATGCATCTACATAAAATAAGTATAACTTTCCATAGTATACAAACCAATCCTAATCAGGTCGTACTAATTTTAAGTTTTGCTTTGCTTAATTTTCTATTAATGGATCCATCTCAATTTGCAAAGCCTCCATAAGTTAATTGATGGATTATCTCCATTTCAAATTAAAATATGAAGTTGACATATTATATTAAATATTATCAATTTAGGATAATTAAATTACATAAATCAAGAAATAAACTTAGTTAAATGGTTATCTAATAATTATATAGTTGTCTAAATTTCATTCAAAACACTTGATAAGGTGTTGATCCATTATGGAATTGACAATCTGGACAGAGATGTACAATATCTTTACAATCATCAATGTAACAAGGTAAACAAGTTAAACATAAAATTCCAAAAGAACAAAGAAGTAGAATACAAGAAACAATCAATGCACCTTTTCCAACTCTTCTGGTTAATTTAGTTTGAATCTTTTAACATATTTTATACATATATTACTTATTTCTTGCAATTCTGACAAATTAGTTTAACTGAGTTATGTTATCCATCACCAGTTACAAGAAGAGAGTTAACTAATTTAATTTCCTTTAGACTTGGAATCTAAGGAGAAATTGTTATAATAGGAATCATCAATTAAGGTGTTTATTTATCTAGGTTGTTGTTATTTTAATCTTAAGTTTAAATGTACATAGCGGCATTTCTTTCAAGATGTTCTAAAATTTCATCTCCAAGACTTTTAGAGTGAGGTTAGTTATCCATTAATTAATTTGTGGATTTTTAAAATGAATATATTTAATGGATTATTTTAAGATATAGAGAATATTAAATAAACAGTTAAGGCCTAATATTTTTTGTTAATAAAATTCTTTAGATAAATGAGAGAAATAATAATTGTTGATTGAAATATAATAATAGAAATATTAATAATAAACACAATAAATTGGGAGCGCTTATTTTAGATTTATAATTTAATTAATTTCTATAAAAATAAAGTTAACCAATGTCTGGAGATAAAAATTAATCCCCTAAGGTAAATACATATTCTCTATCTAATTCAAAATCAGAAATATTAGATACTTAAGAGAAAGTGGTTCATCGAACTGTTAAAAGTGAAATACAAAATATAAATTAAAATAATTTAGAGGAGGAGAACCAAAACTAATTGAGTAAATCTGAGTCTGGAAACTACTCAATAATAATAATTTATGGATTAATAATTTTGAGTTTGATAATTGGTTTAGTGATTGGATATAAAATAATCAAAGAAGGAAATGTTTAAGACGAATAATAAATGGATGTGTTTGTGAACATAATCTCGAAATCTTTATTAAATGATCTTGAACAACATAAATTTTTAATTATTGATGATTAAAGAAAATAACTTAAAAAATTTTATGAAAAAATATTTAGTAATATTCTTTGGCAAAAGGTAAGTGTTTATAATGTAAAAAATAGATTGTGAAGTATATTCAATAATAACCTAATGTGTTACTGAGTAAAGATAATAAAAAATGGATTTTGAAAGACTGAAAAAAATAATTATTTTATTATTGACATTTCACAAATCAAGAAATGATTTTACTTTTTTAATTGTTGCTTCATCTTAAATTTCCGAATTTCCAGTCATTGCATCAATTTTAATTCTTGTTTCTTTACAATAATATGTAGCAGGTACTAATTTGATAACTTAATGTAATGGAATATTTAATTTAGGTATTTCAGGTACTTCATGTTCATGGAAATAAGCATATAAACATCTAAGTATAGCTTAATGAGCAATAACAATAACTGGTAATCTTGATCTTTCTATTTCAAAAATTATTTATTCTACTCTACTTATTACATCTAGATATGATTCTCCTCTAGGATAACGATAAGTTAATTTATTCATTTTTCTTTCTTCATAATCTTAAGGAAATTTATCAGCAATCTATTAATAAGTTAAACCATCACAAATTCCTGGATTTATTTCATCTAAAGCCTTTAAAGAATAATATTCAACACCCAATAATTCACAAACTTCATTACTTGTATGCAATGCTCTTTTCATTGTAGAAGTAAACATTTTTATATTTCTATTTCCTTCTAGTTCTTAAATGAAATATTTCCCTAATTATTTAGCATACATTATTCCAGTTTATGTTAAATCAGAATCTCCACCAACTTTATGAACTACATTATATTGACTTTCACCATGTCTAGACAAATAGATAGGTCTAGGATATATATGTAGATTCATTAAATATGAAACTAATTTAGATTATAAGAATCCTTAGATATTGTAAATCATTATCTATTTTTATTATAATTCTGTTTTACATCATTTCCAATATCAATTATTTTTATGAATGAAATATTCTCATCCATATCAATTGGTTCATATACTTTAGTATATTATTCAATTCTCTATTGAAAATCTTAAGTAGCCTCATCATATGATTTCCCTACATAATCTGGATTATTTAATTTAGTCAATTAAATATTTCTTAAAATTACATCTTCATCATTACAAACTGATTCTACCCAAAATACTTAAACTTCACTAAATTTTTATTGCAATGTTTCCATAATCAATTTTCTTCTTTATTTAGTTGTATTGGTACCATCATACAAACTTACATCACCTTCATTTCTTAAATAATTTATCATATCATTCAATGCTAACAAAGCACATTCATCCCTTGCTTTTGATGCCTTCATTTTTAAATTTCATCAATTACATCTTTATTGCTTGGATCAAAAAAATTTGAATTACAATCTGTTCCACATATCTATCTCCTATAATTTCCAATATTAAAAACTTTGCTCTTGAATCCCATCCAATTTAAATATCTACAAATCTTTCTAGAAATGTAAGTCTTTCCTCTTGCTGGTAATCCTACCATCCCAATTACCATCTTTTATTACTTACCTAATTCTTACATTCAATTTTTTATTTTAATAATAATTATTTATACCACTCTTTTAAATTATCTTTATTTTATATAATGAGTATAGAAATAAATATTAACAAAACATTATCAAATTTTTGTTTATTTTATTTTCATATTTAACTCCAAATATAAATAATTTTTATCAAAACTATAACTATAGATATTAAAAATCATTACGCATTTACAAGTAATAATTATTCTTTATATTAATATCTCCTTAAATAGAATTATTTATTCATTATTTAATATTTATTAAAAATAGTTAAGTTATTAGACATAATCATTATGATTATGAGATAAGAGTTATTAAAAGATTCTTATGCTTAAAAGTGATTAATTCTTTGAAATTATGATAAAAAACTTAGCAAAAGAAAGAATTCATAACCAAATTTTATTTTTTATGTAACAATGCTTATTTATTATTAGAATTATGCTATTATTATATTTAATCTAAATCTTGGCAATTATGTATATTTATTTTCCTAAGCCTTTAAGCAGATAATTTATTTCTTTTTTAATTATATTATATTAATAGAAATATAACAAAGGTTTAATCATTTTTAGTATATAAATGAATTCAAAAATTTAGAAAGATAGATCGAAAATTAATGCCTCAGATCTAAATAAATTTATAGAAAAATTAAAGCTTTATTATAAAGATATAGATTTAAATGGAAAAAAAGAAAAAACAGCTGTTATTTTATTTGGTAAAACCAGAGTTGGCAAATCTACGATTTTCCATATTTTAAAAGGTGATGAATTGATAAAATCAAAATAAAAAACATTAATGGTAGATTTTTAAGGTGATTAAAAAAATTATATAGGCTAAGAATGGTAATCATTTACTAAATATCCAAATATATTTAGTTAAACTATTAAAAATAAAAATGGTTAGATTGAAGAAATAGATATTATTGATACTCCTGGATTTGATGATACTTAAAATAAATTTGATGATTTAATTCCATAAATTCAATTACTATAAATATTGAAATCATATAAAAAGGTTATATTAGTAATGGTTGCTTCATATGTAAAAAATAATATTGAATTTTTTAAAAAACCATTAAAATTAGTTTAAGACTTATTTGAAAGCAAATAAGATTTCAATTCTATGCTTTAAAATTCAGGAATTTTCTTAATTATTAACTAGATTAAAGATAATTACTTTTAAGAATTCAATAAATAATTGGATAAGGAGATTAATAATAATGATTCTTAAGATGACAATAGTATTATTTTTTAAAGTAATACAGATAAATATAATATATCAATTGAGTTTTTAAAATATATCAAATACTCCTTATGCATAATGAAACCGTGTGCTGAAAAGCATTAATAAATTGAACTTAAAGAAAACATTTTTAATTTTATCCAATAAGAGAGACAAAATCATGCTATTAATTATAAATTGAGTATAACAGTGGATGGGAAAACATTGATTTAAAATATTTTAAGTGAAATTCTAGACATTTTTTAAAGAGAAATATCTAATTCTATAGAAAAATTTATTCAATAGACTGAAAAACAAGTTGATTTAAAGAAATAAAGAGATTAATTAGTCTAATTTTCCTAATTATTACCTGAAAATATTTTCTTGTTAGACTTGAATGAATTCTATTTCTTAAAATTAACAGATTATTTTAATAGTTTAAATTATATAAATTGCAAATCAGAAGATTTAGAAAAGTTCAAATTTTTATTTTAAGAGGAAATCATAAAAATATTATTTTTTAATTTAAAAGAAACATTTAAAAATCTGAATTAATATTAAATTTAATTAGTTGATAATAAATAAAAAATTTGGTAGATAGTTAAAACTATCTAAGAATAAATAATAGAATAGATATAACTAGATAATATATAAGAGGAAATATGCAAATAAATCGAATAATCTATTAAAGCTTTTTAATAATATTCTGAATGCAATAATTTCCTCGTATTTATTGGGAATCCATTTTCTGGCAAAAGTACTTCAATTAATTTACTTTATAATTGTTAGCATAAATAAATGCATTTTTATAATACTTTGATGATGATACATTTTGGTCAAATAAAGTATGATGAAGTTGTGACATTTGGATAAAAAGATTAGGATTTAATAATTGAATTTTAACAATTCTCAAAAGATTATGTTATATTACTTCAATACTTTTTTGCCTTTTGTAAAAAAAATAAGAAGAGTTTTTCTTTATAAATTGTTTTAGATGATAGATTATTAAATTAAGATATTTAATCAGGTTTAAAAATGTTTATGGATTTGAATAACATCCAAAATATTGAATAACTTAATATAATAGTAAATATTAAACAAGGGTCTTAATTACCTCAAAAGATTGATCTTTAAACACTAGATTCAATCATTTAAAGTCCAAAATATTTAAAAATATACACAATTCATAAAGAATTCTAAAATGAAACTTTAAAATGGAATAATTTTGAACTTTTTTAAAATCTTCATTTTTAGAAAGATGAAAAATTATTTTTAGAATTATCCAAATCGTTATATGATAAAGCAAATTATATTAATGAAAAATTTATTAAAAATTTTATTATTATGATAGATACAAAATAATATTTTAAATAAAATCAAGAAGAGTAAGAAATAAAGTTATTTGTGAGTCTTATAGAATTAAATCCTTAATCCTCAGAAGAACAATTTGTAAAAAAATTAATTGATATTCATGATATCATACCCCCAAGTTTTTTAAGTATGGAGTTGATCATAAAGGATAGAAATATAGGAAAACATCATAAACTAAGACTTTTATTCTAAAATTTAATTGAGAAATACTTTCTAATTGGAAAAATTTTTAGTTTTTGTGAAAAATGCTACTCAAAATTTTATGAAATTGAAATGGTTATTTAAAAATATACATTAGATAATGATTTAAATTAAATAGACAAAATTAATCTATTAATTGAATCATTTGATATTCGTAAAGATTTACTAACTGAAGATGAAAAAGAAAGTCTTAAATAATTAAAGCTATTCTTTGAGTTATTTTATATTTAATCAAAATATAAACTCCATAGTAAAGATAAAATTAAAAGTGTGTACCTCAATAGTGATCAAGAAAACAATAACAATATGAATAGCCTTATCATATAATTAAACAATTTAAAAGGAAAACTGAAGAATTTAAATGTTCAAATTTTAAGTTTACTAAAAGTATTAAAGAATACTTAATATAAAGGTTATGAAACATTAGATAATCAATTTCCATTCTGCTCTTGGTCTGGAAGATTTTCTTATTGGTTTGGTTTGTAGGATAATTAAGAAATTATCTAAAATGTAGAATTAATAATTTAAAAAGTTTAACAAGGAAAATTTAAAGATCATGATTGATTAATTAATAATTATAAATTTAAATATGAATAAAACATAAAGTAAATTTTTATAAAATACTATCCTTTTTATTTTATGTTTTGATCAAAAAATAAGTAATTTTTTTAAATGATCAGGAAGATAATTAATATTTTTAAGTTATCTTATGAATTAATCCTAATTATATTTCATATATTTTTATTACTTCAAAATGATAATCTTCCAAACAATTTAGCAATTTTCTCTTTTCTTCTCATCGTTTCTAAAATTATTTTTAAATTGGGAATTACTTTATTTTTTAGATATTCCAAACATTTTCTCATTAAAATTTCAACAATAGAATAGCTTCTTACAAAAATGATTATTTTTTTACAATAGGACAATCTAACAATAACGAATAAAGTCTTTGATGTAAAATAAGAATATCCAACAATTTTTTTATCTTATGCTGCTGATTTATTTCTTTGAATATATTAATATATTTTGAAAGTTATTGTAAAATTCAAATTATTAGACAAAAAAACAAAAAAGTATGTAATTTCTTTAGCTGAATATAAAACTAGATGTTCCATTTGCTTATATTCATTTTCAATTAACTTAGTATATAAATCTTAACTCTTCAATTTGATTTATTAACTATAGATTCTTCAAAAATGTTATATTTTATTCTATCTAATTTTAAATCCGTCATATATTTAGTTTCTTACTCCTATTAGTAATCCAATGATATTTATTATCTTCTATTCTAAAACTCATATGACTATTTATACACACTTTTAATATCAATGTATTATATAAAATGAGATCTGATTAAAAAGACAATGGATTAGAAATCAGGCACTTTTATTACATATATAAAGCTTAATATTAATTAATTAATCATATGATTAATTCAAATAAAATATGCCTAAAAAAATTATTTGTACTCTGGATTAATATGCTAATATTTTTCGGCATTGTGAACTCACTTACAAATAATTTAAAAAACTGATTCATAAGAAAAACAAAAGATCATTGAATTAATAAGTATTCAGTTTTAGATGCAAAGTTTGTATGAATCATAGAGATACTTCTCCTCATAGAAGATGTACTGGATGTTAAGACCTTTTTCATCTTAAATGTGTAGATGAAGAAAGCAAATAGTTATGTTCTAAATGTCAAGTACAATTATAAAATCTCCTTCTAAAACTTTAATATATTACTCAAGTTGAAGGAGATACATTGATTGTTCATGAATGTAAATCAACAAATACTATTTGCAGTGTCTGTTACATCATTTGTGATGAAAATTAAAGTAAAACATGTTATAGATGTAATCTCAGATAACATGTACAATGTTATAATAGTCAAAATGAATTCTGTTCTGTATGTGATTAATATTTGAAAGATAATCTACCATACTAATATGATATTATTCCAAATTACATTCAATTATGGAAATCAGAATTTACTTGTTAAGATGATTTAATTATAATTGATAAAGTAAAGAAATAAAATCGAGTTAGATTATATCTACCAAAATATTCTGACACTAAAGAAAAGTAATTTTAAGAATCTTATTCATTAATTAAAGCTTTATGTGCTAAATCAATTTATTTTTCTGATGATTTAACTTATTTTCCAGAAGATTCTAAACCAGAAGACAATAATGCTAAATATGAACGTAAATTAGAAGATTTAGATGATGAAAATTTAAAGTCTTTTCTTTAATTTAAAGAATTTAGTAGATTAGGTATTACTCCTTAATTAATGGTGGATTTTCATATTAAAACTGGTTTTATAGCTAAATCTACAGGTTTTATTAAGAAAGGTTCCATTTTAGCAGAATATTGTGGAGAAGTAAAAAAGTGGAAGAATATTATATTTGATTAAAATGACAGCATAATGGTACTCTTTTATTAATTATTATTATAGGAACTTTTATCACATCCAAATCCAAAGAAAACACTATATGTTGTCCCTGAAAAATATTCTAATATAGCTAGATTTGTTTGTGGAATTGATAATAAAATCAAAGAAGTATGTTAATCGTAATTTAATTTAGTAAGTGGAAATGGTTAATGTAAAATGTCTGAGAGTTGCTATTAATAAATAAGCTAGAATTATTATGTATGCTTGTAAAGATATTCAACCAAATGAAATTTTATATTACGATTACAATTCAGGAGGCAAATATCTATATCCAACAGAAGGATATCAAATTCTATGAAATAATTAATATTTTAATTAGGTCATAAATCACATTTTCATTCAAACTTTATATATCTTATAACTTATTAGTTTATTAGTTTCACAAACATTTTGAAATTTCATAACAGATTTAACAATCTTTTTATAATTTTTCTAGTTCCTTTAAATTAATTTATTATATTTAGACTTTTATTTTTGAATCTCTAATTCATAATCCGCAAAGAATATATATTTAATCTCAAATAATGGTTTTTTAAAATAGTTTATAGATTAATATAAAAAATTAACATTCAATAAGGGTTATCAAAATATTATATACTATTTTAATTCTTTAAGAAATCAATCCATTTAGAAGTTTCAATTATTAGTTATTTATATACATAATAGTTATATATAAAAGCTTGAATAAAAAGTTCAAAATGATCTGTTAGAATGCATTTATAATTTATTATCTATCAAAATATTAATTTCAAAATAATTAAAGGTATTACAAAAGGCTGATCAATGAAAACTAAACTTGCATAGGAGTCTGTTTAGACTTTGAATGCTCTAATTTTCGACCTTATTGCAATTTATGTATTTCTAGTCACAAAGAACATTGTGACAAATTAAAATCCTTTGAAAACTTTCATATTTGGTATTAAGAAAGAACTAATTCATTAAGAGAGATTTAGAATTTTTTATAACAATGTTAAAAAATGATAATAACAATACATTAATTCATTGCTCTTATTTAAGATATAACTGTTGAATAAATTATAACATTACCAATATCAGAAGTAGATTAAATAATAAAAGATTTATGTTAACTTGAAAAAATAGAGATAGTATCATTTAGTAAAATGAAATTGGAAGAAATTATTGAAAAAATAAATAAATTAAAGACTTTTCATCCTTATTAATCAATTGATATAGCAACAGATTATAGAATTTTAAGATGAAAAGTTTTACAGTCATTTAAATTGGGCTAATAGTGGTTAAATTGAAAATTCAAAGATTAATAATTCTATTACAAGTGATTAAGAATAAAGAAATTAAAATGGTATTAATTATAGAAATATATCTGAAATATTTTCAAATTAATAAGAGGATTGGCAAAGTTCATAATCGGAAATAGTAGAATCTGGTTAATTGAGTTAACAATTATTATAATAAGAATAACAAAATTTAGATAATTAATTAGAGGAAACTTGTTTTATAATTAACTAGATATAAACTAATAAAATAAAAATAAGATTTTAAAATTTATCAAAAAATCAAAATGTTTTAGTATCATAAGAAGAGAAGGTATTAAGATTTTCTCCTTTTTCTCATGAATATTTTAATTATTTAGACACTTTTATTATTCCAATATCTGGGATTTATAAATTTGCATTTAAGATTGTATCAATTGGAAAAGCTATACATATTGGAATAGCTGATAGTGTAATTATTAAAAAATCAGATTTTAAATCTAATATAGAAGGAATTAGACATGGAACATACCTTTTAAGTAATTCTGGATAAATATATTCTCATATATAATAATTTAATGATTAAAAAAATAGTGGGTTTGAGTTTTTTGAAAATGATATAATTATAATAGAAGTAAAAATGAATGAGACAACCATAATTTGGACCAAATTATCATCCTAATAATCATTTATAATTAAAATTCAATAATTTTAGGCAATAAAGTTTCAATAAGCTGAAAGTTTATCTCCATTTATCAGATTAACTAGTTAAAAGTCACTTAATTCAGTAATAGAAGTATTTGGAAACTTTTAATGATATTATTTTATAATAATTATTAGTTTAAATAATGAATTATCTTTATCATTGATTCATTTCTATTAAGATTTCGTAACAACTATTACAAATATCTAAATCACATAATCTATCTGAGTAAACAGATTCTCCTCTTGAAAAGATGTTTAGATTACAATAATCACAATGTGTTTCTTTTATAGCCTAATATAATACTAAATAATACTTGTAAGCTAAATTAGAGAGGATGATTTAGGGGACAAAAACCTTCTTTAAATTATGGTTTCCTGCACTTTTGACAATAATTTTAAAAGCAAATAGTACATTAATATCGGACTGCTATATTTGCTTATTTACAGTTTTCGCAATATTTAAATGCAGGATAAACCCATTTCAAATCATGACCTTAATTGCATTTAGGCTTATTATCTTTTATTTTCTATTTCTCACATTATGTAACTCTTTCAAGCAAATCAGCAATCTTTTTTTGTGTACTTATTTACAACAACTCGAAATATATTTCTAATTATTTTATTTTATCATTTAGAGAGATGATGCAATCATGCTTTATTTAAAAGCTATATGGAGAATTGCATTTTTCACAAGTGACAATTCTAAATTAACAATTATTTTTATGATCTTTCATCTCATTTAAGGAAATTTATTTTTAACATCCTTAATTATTACAAATCTGAATTGTATGTTCACAATTTTTTATATGATTTTCAAGGCTGGAAAGTGTCATTTATTTATTGCAATTAATATTTTTACATTTCACAATTATTTATCCTATTGCATCTCTTATTAATCTATGAGGAACTGTTGCTAAGAAATTTTTACATTTACCAGGACAAGTTTCTAAAATATAATCTTATATTACATTTAGCTTTAAGCCAATCATCAATACAAGATGAACAAAATAAATTTTAGCATTCTTCACATTCTTTAGGATTGACAACCAATTATTTGCATAAAATGCATTATAAATTTTAATTAATGCTTTTTGGATCGATAATTAGATTTCTAATAAGATCAGTCTCACATATTGGTAGTTCCATAATATTTGAAATATTTAAATATTTAATAAATTATATCAAATAAAAATATATATTTAGAATAAATATAATTAATAAGAAATGAAGGAATAGTAAAGAATATTAAAAAGTATAAAGTTGAAATAGGATTAATAAATTTTATTAATTCATTGAAATTATAAATAATAATAATAAATTCTCACGTATGTGTATCTATATATATAAGTATAAATTTAATTAATTAAATCTTAATTATTAATAATATTTTTATAGAAAATGGATTGGGCAAGATTAGAGATAATAGTCCCTATAATTCTCATAATAATATATATCTTGTATTATAGAAAATTTAGGTTTTATCTGATTGCTGAAAAAGCATAGTCAAATGTTGTTAGACATAAATTAGCTAGAGGAACACCTCCACCTTCATATCCAAATGGTTGGTATCGTCTTTGTAGAAGTACAGAATTGAAGATTGGGTAAGAAATTATATTATAATTGATAGATAAGTAGAAGAAATCAAATTTGCTGGTCGACACATAGCTTACTATAGAGGAACAGATAAAATTGTTTATGCAGTTGCTGCTTATTGTCCACATATGGGAGCTAATTTAGGAATTGGTGGATAAGTTAAATTTAATTCTTGTATCGAATGTCCATTCCATGGATGGGCATTTGATGGTAAAACTGGATTATGTGTTAATTCTGAAAAATTAGATCCTAAAATTGTATCAACTTATTGTTACAATAATATTGAAAAGATGAGTCCTAATTAAAAAGGAGATTATTTATAGAAAGTAGAAGAAGGAGAAATAAAAATAAAAACTTATCTTGTGAAGGAATTAAAAGGTATAGTTTATATATGGTTACATTGTTTGGAATCTAAACCATGGTATGAACCAGTATTAGAATAGAGTGATCATCTTTAATTAAGAGGGGAGAGTGTGAATTATGTAAATTGTCATATTTAAGAAATTCCTGAAAATGGAGCAGATGCAAGACATTTTGATTATATTCATTCATCAGTAAATGATTATATTCCTACTTGGTTAATAAGTTTTAAATGGACGATGAAAAGTTTACCTGCAAATGATCCAGATTTTTATAAGAAGATGGAACATAATAAAGAGAAGGTTAGAAAATATTAAAAGAATTTATTTGATCAGTATTTATCAAATAAAGAATTACGATAATATATGAATGTTTTATGTTTAGATGCTTATTTAGTATTTTTTAATAAATGGAAATTTAATGTAATATGGGCAACAGGATTTTAAATGGGACCAGCAACAGTAGCATTATATGTATTATCTGATGTTTTTGAAGCTTTATATAAATAAGCAATATAACCAGTAGAGAGATTTAATTTAAAAGTGTTTCATACATTATATACAACAAGTTCATTACCTTATTGGGCAAGTGCTTATATTTTAGGTGGTGAATTAAGATAAGTTATTGCAGATGTTAGTTTATGGAATAATAAAATATTTACAGATAAAGTTGCTTATAATTTAAAAGGTGATGCTGATCCATTATTATTAAGATGGAGATAATGGTATGCACAATTTTATGAAGGATCCAGAGAATTTGAAAAAAGTTTAGATGCTCTAGAATGGTGATTATGAATTTAATAAATATAAAAAATGTTATAATAACAATAATTATTTATTGTTCTAATCCTTTTAGTTATAATTGCTATTCTTATTGCATATTTAATAACCAAATGTTAAAGCAAAGAAAAAGAATAATAAGTTAAAGATAGATTGAAAAAGAAATTTATTAAAAATAATATTGAAACATTAAATGACATGAATGAAGAAGAAGCTTAATTACTTTAATAAACTTTTAAAAATACACTTCACAATTCTAAATAAGGTAAAATCGCTAAGTATGATGCCAGAATGTAAAAAATATAAGAAATTAGATAAAAAACTGTCAAATTTATTCTTACACATGAATGATTTTATAATTGTATATAAATATAATATTTACATTTATATCTACATATATATATAATTAATTAACAGATCACGTATTTTTAATATTATTATTATTATTAACTAATGCTTCCTGATTCCAAGTATTATATTCTTACTTAATATTAGTAATCAACTATTCATTAAATTGTCTCCTAAATTTAAAGCTATTATAGTTGCCCAATTAATTAAAACTTAACCTTCTCTTACTATATAGGAGGCTTTCATAAGGTATACTACTTAACTATATTTTTATTAGATGGTAAGTAAGAACTAATCCTGAAATTGTTAAGAGGGCTGTTGATAAAATCTTATTGAATTCCAAATTAAATCAATTTAACGCTTTCCAAAAATTAAAATTCTTATTAGGGTATTCAATACTATTAAATATAAAGTACAAAACCACCTAAAGAAGCAAGAATGAATGCCAGAAAAAAAAAAAATTTGAGTTTAATCAACTTAGCTTTATTTATTCAGAAGAAAGAATTATAACTCAAAAGATAAGCAATTGAATCAATTAAACCATAATCATAAGATACAAATAAAATGTTGGGTTTATTGATTTGGTCTATTAGTACTAAATATAGAGAAAGATATTTAAGAGAAAAATTTAATCAGTGGAAATTAATTGCTAAAATCAAATCTAATAAATTAGAAAAATAACTAGAAGTCTTAAAAAAATTAGGAGAAGAATATAATATGAGAAATGATAGATTAGATAGATAAAGATTAAAAGAAGTATAAATAGTAACATAATTATTAGGCATTTGAAATATGGAGAGGAGATTTGCTCAATTTCAGATTAAAGAAAAAGTTTTTTGGAGTTCTTCTCAAAACAACATTTGGAAGATTATAAAGATGTTATACAAGATGGGTAGATTTACCAGATAAAAGAGAAAACGATATTAAAAAATAAGGATTATTATTAATTAATAAATTAGGTAACAAAGTAGACTAAAATAAAAGATTAGTTTGGAATGCTTTCAAAGATATTCATGATGAAGCTAAAAATAAAAAAACAAAAGTCATCAGAGAATTGATTGAAGTTACATTCAATTAATCTTATACTGCTTTTTATAAATGGGCTAATTATAATACTTATGCAAAACTAACTGAAACTAATCTAAGGAAAATTAAAGCTTTATAATAAAGTGCTAATGTTACTCATTAAATTGTTAAATAAGAAACCTAAAAATTATTTAATCTTAATAAAAAAATGTAAATTTGTCTATTCCTTGATAAACTTATTGTGAAGTTATAATAAAGATAAAAATTAGATGCTTTAAGATAAATCGAAAATTATATGGTTTAAAAGAAAATGGAAGAGAAACTAAATAATATAAATAAATAAGATTTAATATCAAAATTAAAAGATTCAGCAAATAAAACTGAAAAAGGTTTACTTAAATAAATTTTAAGAAAATTTTAAATTAATAGATCTACTTAAGAAATAAAAAATAAATATTTTAGTAAAATATTGTTATCTGTCAATGGATAATTGATTGATTCATTTAGAAAATGGAAAACCTTACCTAATCCAAATGATATAAACAATATTTAAAAGGCTTCAAAATTTTAGATTAAATTATAACTGTTTATAAAAAATAAAAATAAATAAGCATATGATCCTTTGAAATATTTGTATGATATTGCTTAGTAAAAGAAAAGATTTTGTATAAAATAATTATTTTAAGTAACAATGAGTGCTCCATAGAGATATATAAAATAATGGTAAAATGTAAATAGAGTTTATAAATCTGTAGTAGCATGTTAAAAAACTAATAATTTTTTTAGTTCTTTAGCTTAAATTATTTAATCAAATTTGTTAACATTTGTTTAAAATAAAAAAAATATAGATATTAAAGAGAGATGCATATAAAAAATATTAGCATCTCATCATAGTAATTTAGCTATAGCTTTTTTTAGATGGAAAAGTCATAGTAAATAGGATTAAATTTTAAAGAGGTTAGGAGAAGAAAAAATGAAATTTCTTATATTGAATTTAAAGAAATTTTTAGAAAATGATAAAAAATAAAGATTAAGAAGAGCTTTAAATTAATTTAATAAAAATCTATAGTTAGCATTATAGATTAAGAAAATAAATATTAGATTAATGTAAACTGTGATTGGATAAGTAAGTTCTAGTTTTTAGAAATGGAAATATTTACCAGAAGATAAAATTAATGGGAAAGCAGTAAAAGTAAGTAAATTTATGATATCACTTGGAAGAGTTGCTTATAGATTTATAAAAGTAAATTCCTGGAATAGATTGGAAGATTTTTTATTAGATGGATAAGCTAAAAAGAAGTATTGTATAAATAAAATTATATCTATTGGTTAAAGTGATTTAAAAACAGCATTTATTGCTTGGCATAGAAGATCATGGGAAATGAAAATGTTTGATTAATTTTCATAATTAAATGTTACATTGAATGATGAAATAATAAAGTAAAGATTAATTAATTGGATTAATTCTGGTTATAAAGTTAAACATTATGCATTGATTGAAATATTAAAAAGATTTCATTAAAATGCATAATCTTAAAATTTAAAAAGAAAGGCTTTAGCAATAATAAATAGAAATACAATATCATAAGTTTGGATTTCATTTAATAAATGGAAATCAATACCTGAATTTAATTATTCTAAATTAGCAAAAGTTACTAAATTTGAATAATCCTTTAATCATTTTTTTATAAGAAAAATAAAATAATATGCTTGGAATCCATTATATGAAATATATGATGATGCATAAGCAATAAAAAAGAGAACAGTTTTACTACTTGTAAAAACTTAAGAATCAGAATAATAAAAGGCATTAAGTTAATGGAATAAAAATGTATCTTTGATCTAAGAAATAAAAAGATGTAAAAGTGTTATTTTATTATTTAAATTTATTGGTGATTAAATGTAATGTAATTTATAAATTTTATAACCAAATAATGAATCTAGAGTAAAAGAGAAAGCATTATTAAAATTAATTGAAAGTAATTTTGATAATATAAGATATTTCTTTTTTAGATGGATTAATTATTTAAAATTTGAAAGAATATAAGCAATAGAAGGAGAAAAAAAAGAATTTTTGATTCGTCAATTTATATGTTATCATGAAAATAATATAAAGTCTAAATTGAGATAGGCACTTTCAAAATTTAAAAGAAATTCTAATATAAGTGCAGTTTAATAGAAATTTTTTTCTAGATTATATGCAACTAAATTTGGAGGTACAATCATAGCATTTTAAAAATGGAAAAATCTTCCTGAAATATAAAATTTTGAAGATATTAAAAAAGGAAGAAAATTAGAAAAAATATTAGAATCTTTTTATAGAGGTAGAATTAAATTATCATTTGATCCATTAAAAGATGATTATTAAGAAGCCATGAATAAAAAAATGCATTGCATTAGAAAATTAATAATCTTAGGTATGGGATTAAATAAAAGATTATTTTTATAATGGAAAAATACAAATAGATTATTAAAATCAATTGAAACCTGTAAATAAACTACTAATTTTTTTTAAACTCTTTCTTTTACTTTATCAGGAAATGTTAAAGTTATTTTTAAGACAAATAAGATTTAAGAAAAAGTGTTTTAAAAAATGTTATCATAATATAACAATTTATTAAGATGGGCATTTGTTAAATGGAATAATTAAGTTAAATCTGATAAGATAGCTTCATAATTAGATGAAGAGAAAAAGAAATTTTTAATATTTATTTTATAAAGAAATTTAAAAAATAATTAAAATGGATAATTAAGAGATATATTAAGAAAATTTAAGAATGGTAACAATAGATTAAATACAATTAAAAAAATTTAATTAAAATTACTTCACACATTAATAGGTTAAGTAGAGATTTCATTTATTAAATGGAAATAATTACCAGAATCATCAAAAATAAGATAAGCATCTATATTTGAATAAAAATTAAACTAATTTAAATTATAGATTTTAAATAAAAGTAGTTTTAAATATTTATAAAATATATATTTAGATGGATAAGCTAAATAGAAATATGTAATAAATAAATTGATATTTAATTGTATGAGTGTAGAAAAGAAAGCATTTTTAAAATGGAATAAAATAAGTGAGTTAGAGAAAACAGAATAGAGAGCTAATAAGGTATTTGGATTCTTTAATTCGATAAATAAAATATAATAGAATTAAATTTATTTTGTATTTGAGGATTAAATTAAAGAAATAAAGAAATAATAAGAACTAGTTCGATTATTAAAAGAATGGGAAGAAATGTTTAAAGATTCTTATTAAAAATGGAAATAGACATAAGCAAAATTAGATTTATTAGCTAATTAAAATAGATAGAAATAAAAGTTTTCAATAATTGAAATACTTAAAGATTATATATAAAATAAAAAGAATTATAATTTAAGATTGATTTTAAGAAAGTTTAGTAATTCAAATAAGAATTAAAAAGCAGTAAATAAGTTTTTATTAGGAATATCAAATTCATAAATAGGATAATTATACAATTCATTTTAGCAATGGAAAAGATTACCAGAACCTATTAAAACTAAGTAAGGATATATATTTGAAAAGAAAATGTTTAGTTTATTTAGGAAATATTTATTAAAATCATTTGATAGTTTATAAGACTTATATTATGAGGCATTAAATAAAAAGAGAAGAGTAATGTTATTATTAATAAGAACTACAAAATCATAATAATAATAAGGATTATAAAGATGGAGAGATGCAATAAATTAAATGAAGTTAGAAAAGAAATAAAATATAAATGAAAATAGAAAATTGGCAATATAATTGTTTTATTAACATAAAATGAATTAAATGAATGTTGCTTTTCTTGAATGGAGAGATAAAATAAGATTATAAACAAATAAATAAGAAACTAAGATATAAAAAGAAGATAGATTAAAAAAAGAAGCTATTTTATTATTTTAAAATTATGGTTATATAAAATTGAGAGTATATTTTACATAATGGAAAATAAGAGCAGTTAAAAGAAATATGATATAGATTTGTTAAGCAATATAGAGAATGATACATTTAAATAGATTTGCTGAAAAAGCTCTTAAAAAATATGTAATGAATATTTGGAGAGGTTAACCAACAAAGAATAAATGGTTTAAAAGAGCAGCAGATATTATAGCTAAGAATTCTAAAATTAATAAATAAGTTGCTTATTGGAGAATAAGAGATAATTGTTTAAATTAAAAAGCAGTTGGATTATCTACTTAATAAATTATTAAATTTAAAAAATTATTTAATAATTTATATATAGTTTTTCATAGAGTAAAATAAAGAGCATTTACACATTTAGAACATTATGGTAAAGGGATAACTGATGATAATTCATTTTAACCTTCACATTCAAGTTTTCTATAATAAACTCCTATTAAAAATGTTTTCTTTAAAACAGATTTTGATTCTATTTTATCAAAAAAGGGTTAAAAAATAGCTATTAATATTATCAATAGGATTTTTAAAGTATATCTTAAACAAAGATTTATTGAATTAATGATTGAATTGGATGAATAAAAATCAAAAAATTAATCTAATTCATAAAAAAAAGGAGCAGAAAAATTATTTATTATTTTAGAATAAAATTTAAAATTAAAATAATAAGTTATTTGTTATTAAATTTAATAAGTAATTATTAATATTATATATTATTAGCTTAATTAATAAGGAGTCTTAAATTAAATCAATGAAATTATTAATTGTTAATAATCAACTTAAAGTGTTAGTAGATTAGAATTAAGTTAAGTAAAAGAATAATAGATTAAACTTCATGATTAAGAAAGATTTATAGAAGATTTGTAATTAAAATTAAGAACTGTATCTATTCAAAAGTTTAATTTTATTTATTATACAATAGATTATCCAAAATATTACAAAAATATCAAAATCATTTTGTTAAGGATGCATTAATAAGCATTTCTAAATACTAACTTGAATGAATTATCATATAAAATGAACCTATAATAATATATTTTGATTGATTAACATAATATATTTAATCATGGGAAACACAACTTCTAATCATCCTCAAATTACACAAGTCTTTATAGAATATCCATTTTAACATAAAAATTGTCTTATTGCCTCTCAATCTTCATCTAGAAAAATATTAAAAGCTGCTTCTAAAAGAAATGAATTACCACATAGAATAAATAGACGATTTGCACCCAATATACTTAAGTCTTTAGAATTTAAAAGTTAGGGTAATCATTATATAAAAATGAAACAATATAAAAAAGCTATTGAATCATACACATAAGCTATTGTAAGTTCAACCTTATAACTAGAATCTCTATGATCATGATTCTATCTATTTTTCTAATCGTTCTGTTGCTAATAAACTTCTTAATAGATTTTAAGAAGCTAAATAAGATGCTTAACAAGCCCTTAAAATTGATTAATTTAACTCTAGAGCACATTTTCTTTATGGTACTCTTATTTTAATAGAAGTACAAATGTTTCCAGATATTAGTGATTCACTTATCAAGTAAGCTTAATTAGGAATCAAAGAACTTGAATACGGTAATAAAATCTATATATTTATAGCATCCGAATAGATTTAATTAAATTAAAATCAATAACAAAATAAATTAAAAGTTTTGATCAATTAAAATCTAGCTAAAGGAAAACGAATGATTTATTTAATAAGATAAGAAATAGACAAAAAAAGTATACTTATTATTCATTTCCTATAGATGTCCAATTTCTTAAATAAACTTTAAAGGATATTGCAAATAGATAACATCATCGATTAGATTGGAATTAAATTGAATAAAATATACAAAAGAAAACTGATATCATTTTGCCAGAATATTTTGTTTGTCCAATAACATATGAAATTATGTATGAACCTATACTTCTTAATTCTGGTTTAACATATGATAAAAATAGTATTCAAAAATAATTTAAATAAAATGGTTATTTTGATCCTATAACAAGAGAAAGTATCGATCCTTTGGGATTGATTTAAAATATATAACTTTAATAAGGAATTCAAGAAATTTAATCATAATATGGATGGGTAGGGATAGAAAATGAGAATGATTACAAGGCAATTAAATTTGAATGATAAATTTACTTTGTAATATGTATTTAGATAATAATTCTCATTTCTTTTTATTCAATTTTTTTGAAATCTTTTTCTTTATCTAAAAATTCTTAATTTATCCTTTTTATTTTATCTTTATGGCTTCAACTATTTTCTATTAATTTCGCTTTCTCCCTAGCTCCATTTATATTTATTTTGATTTCTCTTTAAATTCTACTTTTTATGTCATCCTTTTTATTTTTTATTTTAATTTAATATGTTCTTTCTCTAATTTCTATGATAATTCTTTTTATTTATCAGCTTAACTAGGCTTTTCAACGTTTTAGGTTTTCTCCCTTTTTTTTTCTTTTTTTATTCATTCTAAATTTTTATATCATAATTTTTGTCTGAAGCATACTTATTTTAAGTTAAATCTTAAATTGAATCCAAAATATCAGCAAATAATTATCCTTAAATTTTTTTTGTTTATCTTAATTTTGCATCTTTGTATTGTTAAATCAAATAATAAAAATATATTGAATTATTTAGAAAACAAATTTGCCTAAATTAATGCTTATTTTTAGAGTTTTTATTAATTTCTAATTCTTAATTAAGCATTTTTACCTCTTACTCGGTCACATCTTTTTAATATTATTTCCATTATTGTAAAGATTCTTTGCTTAATTGTTATATTGTAATTACATACTATTTTAATTAATTTTAAATGTATACTAATTTGGATTAGAAATCTATACTCTTTAAATTAATGATTGTAGTTGACTGCATTAAATATTTATTTTTATTCATAAATTTATAATATATTTTAATTTTAATTCATATTTTAAATATTTATTTAAATGACATCTAAAATATCTTATAATAAATCTTCAATAGTGTGTATATTAATATATTGATAAAGGTAAGTTAGATATAGAAATGCATTCAATAAATCTATACTCAGCTATCCTTATTTATTTTCATTCTTTATAATTATCAAAATTTATTAGAATTGTAAATTTGTGCTAAGCAAATGGTAAAAATAAGTAATCATTAATACAAATCATTAATTTAAGAAATTAACTTGATTGACAATTCTATTGTACTTTAAAAATAAATTAATATATTTTTCATATGGTTTTATTATAATATGAATAGAGTTATAAAACATTTTATTATAATTATTAATATTTGAATTATATTATTTTTTAGAATAAGAATTATTAATTTTGTTAAGATTGCTATAAAATTAAGATACATTTGATTAAAAATTTTAATAGTATTTGTAGATTTATGAATTCGATTAAAGAATAAAAAATAATTTATAAATTAATTTAATAGAGTAGATTAAATACATATGAGCAATTAAAAATATAAATCATATTTTCCAAATGATTTTATATACATGTTGCTTTCATTATATAGTGAAGATGAAACAGGTTATAAAGCTGGAAAATGCAATTTAGCAATAAATTAAGTTGTTAGCTTTTCTGAAACAAATTACAATCGAATGATGATGAAAAAAACAAATGGTTTAGATTTAAATGATTATGTTAAATATTGGTCTGTTATATAGATTATAGATGATGAATCAAGTGGATATTTAGGATTAATTTTGGAAAATTAAGTTGATAAATAATTAGTACTTTCTCATAGATCTACAAATTTTAAATTATCTTTTTAAAACAACATATTTAAATAATCTGGTGTTTAATGTGATGTTTAAGGAGTTGTTTAATAAGGTTTAACAAATCATCAAGCATAAGGTTATGAAGCAACAAAATTATCACTTGATATAGCAAAGAAAAAAGAATATTCTTTATCATTTTGTGGACATTCATTAGGAGCTTGGTTAGCAGAATTAAGTGTATATTATTGTCATGCTGAATTTGATGTTCCTTGTTATAATGTTAAAGCAGTAACATTTGATGGACCTGGAAGTTGGGAAATGATGAAAAAATTAAATTCAAATCATTTCAAAGGATAAGGTAGATTTTTTGATCAAAAATAATTAGAAATTATTAACTATTTATCTGCTCCTAATATTGTTAATTGTTTAAATACACATGTAGGAATAGGCTATAGATTATATCCAAAAAATATAGAAACAGTATAATACATTTCTAAAAAGTTTGGTGATGCTTTAGCTTCAAACAAAGGACATGATCTTAAATATCTTTTACCTTTTTTTGATCCTATTATTGGTAAACCAACTGAATTTGCTTTAATTAAAAAATGGCCAAAAATTAAATATTCCAAAAAAAATGAAAAGTAGAATAATAATAATAATACTAATACACTTAAATCTTTAGTTATATTATTTTCTGAATATTTAACAGGAAAATTCGATTTTTAATAATTTTGGGATGTTCATAGTTATTTAAATAGATCAGATGGATATAAAATTAAAAAAAAGGATGATTATTTTCAAGAATTTTGTATTTAAATGAAAACAGGATATTAAGAATCTACAGCTAATCTATATTCAAGAAAAATTATTGATAAAATAGATGAATATTTATAAATTATATTTGATAAAAAAGATTATGTTGAAATGTCAGAAATTAATTGTTAATTGAAATCGCTCCTTAACAAAATTATCCATGCATATAAATGTATACGTTAAACATTTAGTCATGAAATAATTATATTAATAGATTATAGATCATAACTTAATATAGATCTTTTAAGAGATCAAATTAGAATTATATTAAGAGATCATAAATAACAATTTCTCTATTTTTTAGATGAAAAATTTCAAGAAAATAACATTAAATATTAATGTTTTTTAGGTAAATTATGTGATACCTCATAATAACAAATTGAAAGATTAAATATTATACAATTTGAAGATTTATTTATGTCTTCAAATATAATTGCAATTGTTGGACCTAAGAGAATAGGTAAAACTATTTTAGCATATTAATATGCTTTAAAATTAAAAAAAGAAGGAGCTTTAATTTGGCCATTTAGTTATCAATCTGAATAAACCTTTATTGATAATATTCATTTTTATGCTTAAACTATAAAATTAGATATTGAAAGTTATGGATCAGATAAGGAGATTATTGATTTATTAATTTCTCAAATAGAATCCTCTAAAGTTCGATTAGTTTTAGTAATAGATAATATTGAAAAAGATTTTTCATTTCTTGAAAAAACTATTAAGAAGTTTCCATAATTTATAAAAATTATCTTAATTTCAACTAACAGCTTAATATTTCATACTACTTAGTATTAAATAATTAAAGTATAACCTTTTTCAGAAAAAGAATGTTTAAAATATATTGATGCCTCTTTAAAATAGAAAAATTTAACTACAACTTAAAAAGAATAATTAATAGCTTTATCAAATAAAATGCCAGAACATCTTTTTATGTTAATTAATTACATAAACAGCCCATAACATATCTTTAAATCTGTTACATAAATTTTTCAAACATTATTGAAGATTAATCAAAATAATGGAATATATACTCCATTAATCACTTTATTTGAAAATGAACATTTATGCTAAACTGCCTTGTAATATTTGGCATGGTTAGATCCTGAAAATATTGAAATAAATATTCTTAGAGATTTATTAAATCTTTATGAAAATGATGATTAGTAAATTGATGAATCTATTGAAAAACTATATTGCTCTTCTTTAATTACCTTGAAAGATGAGAATCATATCTCAATTCTAAAACCTATTTAAGATGAATGCAGAAAGTTTTAATTTACGATTAAATAATTAACTAAAATGCTACATTATTTTGTTAAAAAATTACCTAATATTTAAACTAATTAATATAATCAATCTTCAATTTAAATTACTGAATATTACATTAGTCATATAACAAATATTGTAAGAATAATAATTAATAATTAAGAATTTTATATAGAGTAATAAAATGATTAGGTTTTTTTGGAAACTTTAAGTATGCTTGTTTTTAAATTATGCATTATTCATCAATATATTTTAATAAATTACAAAATTTGTAAAACATATTATGATTTTTTAATTCAATTGCAAACTCTAATGAATCATGAAAATTTATTTATTAACAACTAATAAATTAGGGAGACATTTTTATTGAATAAAATCGATCTATACATTTAAATAGGACTTTATGATGAAGCTATTAAAGAAATTAATGATAATTTAAATCCAAATGATCATAAAATAACAGCTGAAACATAAGTTTATCTTAAATATGAGATGGCATGTCTTTATTCATATTAGAAATAATATAATATATCTTCAAATCATTTCCTTAATTGTTTGCTTTTAGAATAATAATCAAATTTATTCATTGCAAAATGTCATATTGGTTTAGCTATGAATTACTATTTATAGCAAAATTATTTTTAAGCTTTTTAAAGATGTCTTATTGCATAAAATATAGCTAAATCATTAATCAATAATGGTGAGTCTATATTGAATTCTTAAATTTTATAATCTTAAATTTTTAATTTAACTGGTAAAATTTATTAAAGGTTGGATAATTTAGACATGGCTAAAGATTGCTTTGAAAAAGCACTATCTGTTTTGAAGCGAAATTCAAATAATTTTTAGATAAGCTATCAAATTGATATATTATTAAATTTAGGATGTTGTTTTCAATAAATGAAGTAGTATAAAGATGCTAAAAATTTATTTGATCAATCAATGAAACTTCATATAAACTTATATGAAGACTTTAAAATAAAATAACTATTAGATATTTAATATTTCTTTGGTATAATGTACTTAGAAAAAAAAAAATTTGGTAAAGCTTAAAATAAATTTGAATTAATTCTTCAGATTGCTCACTAAATAAAAGGATTGTTACATATTTCAAAAATTAATTATTAAATAGGAGTGATTGAAAAAATTAAAGGGAATTCTTTTGAATATTTAAAATAGTTAGAAACTATTATAAAAAATCTAAAAGAATATTATTGTTATTTTCATCCACTTTTACTTTTTTTTCTTCAGCAACTTGGAGAAGCTTACAAAGAAATTTTTACAGATGAGGGAAAGAGAATTGAATTGTATTAGTAATCATACTTCTTGAAAATTATTTATATTAAGTAGATAGAATAAAATGATTAAAATAAAGATGGATTCACAGAAATAGATATTAATGAAGAAATAGATGAATTTTAAAATATATAATTTATGGATGATTACGATTTTTCATTGTTAGAAAAAAGAAATAAAGACTTCTACTAAACAAAAATCACAAGAGATTTAATTAAGGCTAGTGGTATAATAACATATTAGGAATTCAAAATTAAATCAAAAATATAAGTAACTTTGAATTAAATTTAACAATATGCTTTCTTAGGTAAGTGGAAAAAAGATGTTTTAGGAATATTTTCAGAAAGTATTATAGATTTAATTTCTGTTAAAAAAATCAAAACTAAATTAGGACCATAATTTAATTCAATTTAAGATCTTAAAATAGCTTTTATGCTGTGTTTTGAATCTATTAATATTGGAATAGTGCAATCAAATTTTAAATATATCGGTATGCTTGTTTATTTTTCTGAAAAAATGAAAAGAAAATCTAATTTGTAAAATCTCTTAGAAGAAATACTTATTTTACATCCAGAATATTTTTTAGATGTCAAGATTTTGAAATTTCTATCTAAAGATTAAGGTATTTTAATTAAATTATAAAGGAATTCCATTTTAAACTATTACTATAGATAGCAGCACAAATTAAACAATTAAAGATTCTTTAAAGAAATAAAAAGAAAAAAAATAAGTAGAATAAGTAGAACTCAATCAACTAATTTAAGAAAGCAGTATATTTATTGAATGATTACAATAAATAAACCTTAAAAATATTCATAAGTATTTTTATATTAATCCTATTATAATTAAAAGTCTACTTAGAAAATATTAATTTTTATTCTAGTCACTCCAAATTTTATTTTATTTTTGATTTTATAGTAATTTATTAAAAATTCTTAAAAGTAAACGAAGTTGGATTTAAATGCTCAACATAATTATTACCTAATGCCTAATTTAATTGTTTTTACATTGTTGAATAAGTTTTTTTATAATTTTGATTAACAGATTTTTTATTAAGAAAGATTTAAAATAAAATTAGGAAACAATTTGTTAAAATAATTTTAGTTGCAAAAAAAATTTAATATAAAAAAAAGATTAAACTTTTTATCAAATAAAATTTTTAACTATTTATAAATTTGATTTATTAATTAATTATCATTATAAATTGTTCATTACAATTTATAAGAAATTTTAATAAAAAATTTTATTTATTGATGTTTATAAATTGTTAAAAATCAGTTGATAGTTTAATCTATACCTTCAAATAAATAAAAAAAACATTCAGAAATGTAAATATTGCGTACTAATATCTAAAACTAAGGATATATTCAGTTATTATTTATGATAATTTGTTATTGAAGCAATTCAGCTATATTGGAATAAAATTTGGACAAACAATTTTTATTATTATTAATTGATAAATTCATTTTTTATTTCAAATATAGTGAAATTATAAACTATAATTAGTTTTCCTCTAAAAAAGTTAATTAATTATACAAACCTCTCCATCGACTTGAGTATTAATTAATGTTCTAAAAGTAAATGTGGTTGATCTGGAAACTTATTTATTATAGTCAATCTTAATACCAATATATAAATAAGATTATTTAAATAAATTTTAAGTAAAAAATTAAATAAATCTAATTTACTGTTATAAAATAAATATTTTAATAACAAAAGTTCTAAAATAACTTTTTCTTTAATTTTGTTTTGTTAAGTTTTTGAATTAGCATTATTTTCTTATGTTCTAAAAAAAATCATTTTGATTTATAAAACTTAAAACAAATAATTTCTTAAGATTTATATCAAGATAATGAGTAAAAATTAAAGAATATAGAGAAAAGGGACTTAAAAATGTTTGACTTAAATTATGTACTTATTTGATTAATTAAACCATTTAACTATCAAAAATAATATTAGGATAAATTATTTTCAAGTGGTATAAAGAAAATAATTTATTAAGGTGTTTTCCTATGATCAAATAGAATTAGAATTAGAAATAGAGTTTATTATAGATTTGTTGAGGGAGATAAGCTCTATAAGTTTTATACAATTTTTTAACAAATCAATACTTATCCCTAATTGTTTTTCATCATAATACTCGAGATTAACTCTAATAGAAAGAACAACATAAAATAACTAATAGTATAGTAGTTCTGACTATGTAGAAAAGGATTAAAAATATAAAATTTGATAATTTTACGATTTGAATTAAACAAATAATTAGTAATTTAAAATCCTACACTTATAATATGCAAAATAAACATCCACAAGATAAAATCTCAAAGCTTATGGTTCAGGTTAAATGATGAATTAAGTAGTAATAGTTAAATTGGGATTAAAAAAAAATGGAAACTATTACAACAAAAACCTACACGAGCCGAATTATGAACAAGTTTAATTTTATAGAAATAATTTGTTGTAGATTTTTATTCATTATTTTAGTTTTTAATTATTATATTTAATCAGTTTTAATCTATTTTATTAGAATAACACTGATATGACTTTGAATGAAATAATAAAATATACAAAATATGAATTATATTTTGTATATTTTAATTAATATCGCTTTTTATCCTAAAAAAATGAATTATATAATAGTGATGATATTTTCATAAATTAAATTAAGATTCATTTTTTTTATTTCTTAGATCTCCAATTGATGATTAATTATTTAATTTTAAAGAGTTCTATATGTTTCTATTTGAATTTGTTTCATATTTTTAAACTTCTTTGATTGTTTTTATATTTTTAGTTAAAAATAAAGAACTTTTTTCATCAATTGACTCTTGTAAGTTTAATTAAAACTATTCTAATAACTCTTATCTTTCTGCATTATATTTATATACTAATTCTTAAGCTTTTTTATTCATTTAAATGTCTTCACTAATTTAAATTCTATTTATAAAATTGGATTTAAATTAGTGTTAAATTGGTTATAAAATAGAAATTTTATTAATTGTTTATAGTGAATTCTACTAAACCTTTCTTTAAAATGCCTAAAATTCTTGCTTTTTTTTTTTCTCCTCTACTTTTTTTGTTTCTTCTTCAAGTTGTTTTTCTTTCATTAATAACTCAAAGTTTACAAGATCATCTTCCATTTGTTTTTTTTGTTATTCTCTAAACCTTTATTCTTTTTCTTTTCTATCCTTTTCGATTTCTTAATATTTTTTGTTATTTTATATTTTCCTTTTTTCAACATCTTATAATTAATTTTCTTATTATTTTTCATCTTGTAGAAAATTTTCATTTTTATTTGATTAATTTTCATAATCAATATTATTTTTATTTTATTCTTCTTATTGGAATGAAACATTCTCCATGAATTTATTTTAATCTTAATCATCTTTAAATTCTGAATTTTAATGATCTAATTATGATTGATAATCTTATTATTCTTTAAAATCAGATTCATAATTTTTTTAACTTTGATTACATTTATCAATATTATCAGGACCTTAAATCTCATTTTAATCTTTATCCAATTCTTTAAGTGGAGTTTAATGTTCAATATCAGAAAATTATAATTGTAATTTCATAGGACTATCTAAAAAGATATTTTCTAATTTTGAAGTGTTACTATACAAATTTTCAAATAAATCTAAGATATCTTCATCTAAAATATCAAGAATCTTTTTATCTATTTCAGAAATTTCGTCTTTTTATTAGATTTTTACATATGCAACGAATGCTTCTTGTAATTTCATAAATTCTGGTTTTTCATCTTAAAGAATAACTTTATATGCTTATTTTTATTCTTCAATTCTCATTTTCTTTAGGAAATCCTCTCCAAAAATAGATTCAGGTATAATAGGTTTAGGTAAATAATTAAATAGTTTTTATTATTATTCACTCAATAGAATTAATTTTAATCTATCTATTTCATAAACTTTCGAAATTAAATTAGCAATATCTAATTTATTCATAAATTTGTCAGTTGCATAATTAATGAGTTATTTTTCTTTTTTTTTACACCCAAAACTCATTATAATAATATCTTTCATAGATAAATTTAAAGATTATTTCCTTTTTTTTAATAATTCTATCATCTATTTATTATTAATAACTTTATCAAGACTTTTAACAAAAACTGATTTTTCCTTTTCAAGAGAACGTCTACTTGTATATGACTTTCTAATTTCAAGATCAAATTATTAAGAACTTCTAACATTAACTTTAGTTGGAGATCCAGACTTTTTAATATTTTCTTTATTTTCATCTTATGAATCTAAACTTTATTATGCTTCTTCATTTGTATAATTTTCAAATCTAAATAATTTATTAGCCATTTATAAATTCATTAAGTTTGAAGTTACTGGTTGTAATAAAGCACTCATAGCCAAAAATAATATTTACCATAGTCCTCCAACATTCCCAAAGATATCTTATAATTTTGAATATTCTCTATAATAAGAAGCTTATCTTGAATTCAAATTTATTATATGCTGAACAATAAATTAATTATTATAGTAATCCTAACTTTCTCTATTTTATGATTAAACTAATCCATATTCTGTTTATATATCTTCCATAATATATCCTGTATCTGTTTTAGATTGAGTAATTTAGAAACTTTAAAATATTGATTTTGATGTCACATTTGAAAACGTTGTATATTATAAATTAATTATATCTTGAAATGGACTTCCTTGATTCTTCATTTGAACTAAATTATCAATTAAGTGAACTGCATAATACCCTGATTATAGTTCTTTCCATATATTTTCTTTTGGGGCACAATCAGTTTTATTAGTTGTATTTTTACACTAAGCAATCGTAATCTATAAATATTAATATACTGTTCCTTAAACAGTACCTTAAAGTTACTAAAAATTATAAAAATATTCATACAGGGGGATTTTTCTGCCATTATTCTACATTGAAACATTGAACAAATCCAAGTTTAATTTTTTAAAAATATGCCTTTTATAAATCTGTTAGAAAATGTTAATTATCACAAGGCTCAGTTGGGTATACAGTACAACTATATAAAATAATTAAATACTTTTAGGATACAACAGTTTTATTAGTAGTTGAGTCTATTGATCTGACTCTTTTACAATTCTAGACAGTCATAGTGAAATGAGTTCCTAATGTTTAAAGAGATCCTAATGATAAATTAGTCATTGTAATTCCTATTGTATAGTTTTTCATTTCCAAAGAGTATGCCTGACATATATTCAATAATTACACTTGTGTCCACAACTTATTCTTCAGACATTGTTACTCTAGGGCCTGTTTTTGAGTATAGATCTTCCAATTATGTAATTGTATAAAGAATACACACAACTGATATACCAACGGTGAACAAAAATCCTAATGATGTAGTAAATTTTTCTTGTTTCAAAATTTTAAAGGCAGGAGGCTATCCGAATAAGTCCATGCTACCGTATACTTTTTTAAAGCAGGTTTAAGTTAAGTTTTTATTCTTTTTTTGAAATTTGAGCATTTAATTTAATAAGAATTATTTGTTTTTACTTAACACTTAAACTTTTTCCATTATATCTCAAATTATTTATCTTAAACCATAAAAAATAATTCAAAATTATATAAATGTCATCGTATTCTCTCAATAATTCATTTTTTATTAAATATATTTCAATTTTTTTTATCCTTATTCCTTGTATTTTACATAACATATTGAAATATGATACAATAATGTTATTATTTTTATTATTAAAAAATATTTGGAGCTATGAAATTTTGATTTTTAAATTTATTAGCTTTAAAACAATCCATCCTACTTATGATTTAATTTTTTTTGAACTAATAAATAATAGTTAAATTGTTTTATAAGAAGAATTAAAACATTATTTCAAATAATATAACAAATCCTAATTTTTTTTCATCTTACTTTATTTATATTCAATAATTATTTTATTAATATATCTCTTCTATATTCTTCTGATATTAAATAATAAGGCCAAAATTTCAAATTGAATTCTAGTATTTAAATTTTTTTTAAATTTTAAAAAAGAAAAAATTCATTAGGAATATGAATCAATAGTATATAAAAATAATAACTATCCAAGTTGATGTATAAAATATACGAAAGATTAATTGAAACTTCAATTAATATCTATAAATGAATAAATTGTAAAATTAATTTTACATAATTTAAAATCAAATAAGATGGTTAAAAAAATGAGATAATATAAATTTAAATGATCTTTTATTGTAGTCAATCTCAATAAACTAATATACATAATATAAATCTAAATCAATATAAATTGAACAAAAATATGAATTTTTCGCAACACAATAATAAAAGTATTGAGTTCATAAAATACATCTATCTATTTTATAGATTCAATATATATTTTCTATTGGTGAAAAAATCAAATTTTTTTCCCACCAACTTATTTTATTAATATTAAAATTCTAATATAAATTCAATGAAATTAAAGTCATGCCAGATATTTTTTAAGCATTTTTACTCAATTCAACCATTTTAAAAAGTATAATGATTTTTCAGTGAAAAAATAAAACAAATTTTCACCTTAAATTTAATTGAATTTATAAGATAATTTCATGAATTTATTAAAAATTTAATTAAAAAAGCATCCTAGCCTATAGGGTCACACAAAACTTAGTCATGGAAATGGGAATCCAATGCAAATGTATGAATGAATCATCAGACTCAAAGTGGAACAGAGTGAGACTCTCAATTAAAATTGATACCTTCTTTTGGTGAAAATGCTATCCTGAAAAGAATTGGTCGATGGAATAACTAAATTCTATCAATTTTATCATGGAATCATTTTAATATAGATAAAAATTCCTCGAACTAAAAGCACACGGAATAAAAAATTAGATATTAACGCAAAATAATATAAAAATACTGATTACATATTATTATAATTCAATCAGATTTGAACAATAATATTTGATAAAATATTTAGGACCCTTTAGTTCCTAGACCATTTTTGGTAAGGGTAGAGATGCCAAAATTATCTGAAGGAGATTAAATATAAAAACGACAGAAAATAAGGAGACAGACATAAATCAATTAGTAAAGCAAAATTATATATTTGGGTAAGATTAAGTTACATAAGACTAATATGATAAAAATATAAATAGCATCTTTATGATTTAACGTTAGATAAGAGGCATGAAAAGAAAATAGATTTGTTAGATATTATAAGATAGATGAAACCATATTAATTTTTAAATTGAAATATATTTTAAAAAGAAAATTTGTTTAAAATGCAATTTTGTTTTGAAAAAAGTAATTAATTTTCAAATTTAAATACAATTTTTTAAAATAAAAATTTTTTAAATTAAAACTTTAGTTTTTA